CTACCTGAGAGAATGGAAGCTTTATAAATCTGGAGTGGCCTATGTAGGCCATGTAAAAATACACCAATGAGAAGCTCAAGCTCAATACAAAATCTTAAGCTCAAAATCCAGCCAGTAGACAGACATGTTTGAGCTTTATACTCTTATAACGTACACACGCGTAGGTACAAGTATCTAATGGTAGAAGCAGCGCAACACCACAGTTTTGCAATTCAAGAGTCCATATTTGCTGCTGAAGCAGAGCGTAAACAATCTCTGCGCTTCACTTCGCCTTTATAATGCCTTTTGCCATCCAAGGCCTGCATGGGAATAGACGCCGAGAGCTCTTTCAAAGTCTTGTCGGGTGATGGGTTATTCATCCAGTGTCTGGTTGCAACATAACAGTCCAATATCGTCAAAAGCTACTAGGTACAATACCTACTACATTGGTACAGGTAGGAAGAAATCTATGAATTTTACGAGTCAATAATTGAATATTCCTAACGAACATTCCTGGCAAGATGCAGCACTGCAATCCACACCCGTGAACCATTTCAACTCCCTCGGCCTGACGGCATGTATTAAGGCTTGGTTTTTCACAACATTTTAAACGCACCCTTAGCCTGACTTTATATACTACTAGTATAGCTTTAATCTGGCTCCTAGGTTACTAACTTAGATTTTTTATAGTATTTTTAATATACCTTAAGCCTGACTTTATATACTATTAGTATAGCTTTAATCTGGCTGCCTAGGTAGGTACCTAGATGGGCCTTTTGTTGCAGGAAATGAGGCTTGGTTTTTTATAACATTTTAAACGCACCCTTAGCCTAACTTTATATACTACTAGTATAGCTTTAATCTGGCTCCTAGGTTATTAACTTAGATTTTTTATAGCATTTTTAATATACCCTAAGCCTAACTTTATATACTACTAGTATGGCTTTAATCTAGCTGCCTAGGTAGGTACCTAGATGGGCCTTTTGTTATAGGAAATAAGGCTTGGTTTTTTATAATATTTTAAACATACCCTTAGCCTGACTTTATATACTACTAGTATGGCTTTAATCTGGCTCCTAGGTCACTAACTCAGATTTTTTATAGCATTTTTAACGTACCCTAAGCCTGACTTTATATACTACTAGTATGGCTTTAATCTGGCTGCCTAGGTAGGTACCTAGATGGGCCTTTTATTGCAGGAAATAAGGCTTGGTTTTTTATAACATTTTAAACGCACCCTTAGCTTAACTTTATATACTACTAGTATAACTTTAATCTGGCTCTTAGGTTACTAACTTAGATTTTTTACAGCATTTTTAATATACCCTAAGCCTAACTTTATATACTACTAGTATAGCTTTAATCTGGCTGCCTAGGTAGGTACTTAGATGGGCCTTTTGTTGCAGGAAATGAGGCTTGGTTTTTTATAATATTTTAAACGCACCCTTAGCTTAACTTTATATACTACTAGTATGGCTTTAATCTAGCTCCTAGGTCACTAACTTAGATTTTTTATAGTATTTTTAACGTACCCTGAGCCTAACTTTATATACTACTAGTATGGCTTTAATCTGGCTGCCTAGGTAGGTACCTAGATGGGCCTTTTGTTGCAGGAAATAAGGCTCGGTTTTTCACAGCATTCTTAACGTACCCTCAGCCTGACTGCATGCACTATGGCTTCGATCTGGCTGCCTACACAGGTACCTAGATGGGTCTTTTGTTGCGGCTCTGGATTTTACAGCATTTTTAACGCCCTCAGACGGGCCATCATAGCTTGCTTATCAATAGCAAAACAATGCCATCAGACAGTTCTACGATGTTCAGAATTTGACATCAGATGAAATCACATGCAGTAACCCCACCATTCTCCTGTATAATGAGTCCATGGTGTTGAAAAGAATTGATCCGGTATATTTTTTGCTACAAATATCAAAGTTAGGAAAACAAACCTAGGCGATATAGATACCAAGTATTCACGGTCGCAGCGTGTATCAAGCTCCGTCACTGAGCACGAAATTGTGACATGACGTGGTGCCTCGATGTCCGAGACTGCTGTTCGCCGCGGCCGCCGCCGCCGCCTTCGGGCTATACCCACTAAAAGCGATGGCGACTCGGGCCAAGCCCATGAGCTGCGTGCTTTCCGGGATTCAGCCGCAGCTACCCATCAACTCCAGCCAATCGGCGTGCAGTTTATCACCGAGCCGACCATTGACAAATCCCAGAAACCGAAAACCCACGGCCTTAAAAACTGCTCTTGAGCAACCCCATTTTCTTGCCCGGCTGCAAACTTCCGCCCCCATGTAAACTTTCCATCAGCACCACAGCCATGGCTAGTATTGCATCGTCAGCGCTGAGGTCGGCGAGCCGCCTGGGCTCCGGCACAACGGTTGCTGCGGCGTCGCTGCGAGGAATTCAGCGGGCTGCCCTGGTGGCGGCTACGAGGAGGAGTGGGAGGCGGGGATACGTGACCGAGTCCAAGAGGGATAATGCGCGGGTCGAGACAGCTATCAAGCTGGACAGGAAGGACTTTGTGGATATCCCTCCTGCGCCGTTGGACGGTTCGCCCAACATGAAGGTTAGCCCGATGGCTGGTACGTCGTCCTTGGTTGCCTTTGTTGCGAAAATTCGACATGAAGAGCCACAAATAAAGGCATAGAGGCTAATGCGCATCTGCAGAGGTCCTCAAGACCGCGGCCGTGATGGAGGAGGGCCAGAGGCCCATCTACCTCGATATGCAGGCCACCACGCCTGTCGACCCCCGCGTCCTTGATGCGATGCTGCCGTTTTACGTCGGCGAGTTTGGCAACCCCCACTCAAGGACGCACGCTTACGGCTGGGAGAGCGAAAAGGCTGTCGAGGAAGCCCGAGAGCATATTGCGAATCTGATTGGCGCCGATCCCAAGGAGATCATCTTCACCAGCGGTGCCACGGAGAGTAACAACATGAGCATCAAGGGCGTAGCTCGATTCTTTGGCCGATCCGGCAAGAAGAAGCACATCGTAACCACCCAGACTGAGCACAAGTGCGTGTTGGACAGCTGCAGGCATTTGCAGGATGAGGGCTTCGAAGTCACCTATCTGCCTGTTCAGAGCAATGGCTTGGTCAACATGGCGGAACTTGAAGCTGCTATCCGGCCTGAAACGGCCCTGGTCAGCATCATGACTGTCAACAACGAGATTGGAGTAATTCAGCCGGTTGCAGAAATTGGCAAGCTCTGCCGCGAGAAGAAGGTCTTTTTCCATACCGATGCTGCTCAAGCTGTTGGAAAGATCCCCATTGACGTCAACGCCATGAACATTGACCTCATGTCCATCTCATCACACAAAATCTATGGTCCCAAGGGCATTGGCGCATGCTATGTCCGGAGACGACCGAGAGTTCGGCTCGACCCCATCATCACTGGTGGTGGACAAGAGCGTGGCCTTCGAAGCGGTACCTTGGCACCACCATTGGTTGTTGGCTTTGGTGAGGCCTGCCGTGTTGCCAAGGAAGAGATGGCGGTACGTTATCACATGTCCCTTTCTTTCTCTCTCTTCCCTATTTACTTTTCAATTCCCCGACCCAAATTCTCCCCTGCGTTTATATGATGATCTGCTTGTACATGCATGGCTTTCTGAATTGCCCGTGACAAGGCTCTTCGTGTTGAGTGTAGCAACCTGTCTGATTCTTGCGCTTCCTTTCACTGCCTATATACTCTTGGATATAATCAGTCTCGTCTATCATGGATTGACAATGGCTAACGAGAATCCTTGCATAGTATGACTCGAAGAGGATCAAGTACCTATCAGATCGATTATTAGGCGGACTGCTATCTATGGAACACACATCCCAGAATGGCGACGCCAAGTCATTCTATCCCGGTTGTGTCAATGTTTCATTTGCTTACGTCGAGGGTGAGTCCCTGTTGATGGCACTCAAGGATATTGCTCTGTCCTCGGGCAGCGCGTGTACTTCGGCCTCACTTGAACCCAGCTATGTGCTCCGAGCGCTTGGAAACAGCGACGAGAATGCACACAGCAGCATCCGGTTCGGCATTGGCCGCTTTACTACAGAGGAAGAGATTGATTATGTGTTGAAGGCAGTTCAAGAGCGTGTTACTTTCTTGCGCGAGCTTAGCCCCTTGTGGGAACTTGTGCAAGAAGGCATCGACTTGGACACGATCCAGTGGAGCCAACATTAGTGCGCCTCAAAATTGAAATGTATCTGTTTGATAGTTTGGGAAGGGAAAGGGAAGATTTAGCAACTGGGTCTGGATATTGGCGTAATCAGAAAAGAGCTGGCTATAGGCGCCAGAACTTACGCCGGCCAGGTCACTGTAACAAACAACACATTGTAGTATAAGATACCTGATTCTCACTCGTTGATGAGCACGAATAATGACAATTCTGTTAAAACAAGATTCAAAAATTAGTTTACTGGTGCAAAGCTCGTGATTATTGCGAGACTGGAAGCGTGGAGCTGGCTGGTGGTTTGATTCGACGTTTGAAACGACGTTCGAGATGTTTCCATGTGCATGTCGCGATCTATTCCTGCCGTTGCCCGTTGCCCCTTCTGCTCCAGTTGTCCAACCGACGCCAGTTGCGTGTCCCAAACCGGCAATAGAGCTGTTTCACATGTTGTGCGCCAGCCAATGTGGCAGCGCGGATCTCCAGACGTGCAAACGCGGCTGCCATCGTTGACGATGCTATGACGTCAGCGCGCCACCACAGCTGTGAGTGCCTGCCAAGAGGCTTCGCAACCTCGACGCAGTGAATCGCAATGACATCAGTGGTTTGCGTCAGAAATGCCATGGTGAATTAGTGGAAGCTGCCATCGTCATCGCGATCGTGATTGCGATTTCCCTGTTGGATGGAAGGTTTACGCGTTTGACAACTATTATAAAGGCCCGAGTGGCCTTCACTTCTCTCATCCTTTTCCATCTTCAACAAGCAAACAACAATAACCACAAGCAAAAAAGCATCTCAACATCAAAACATCTCAACAGTCTACAACTTTTCTTCATACACAGATCAACCGCAATCATGTCTGACAACTCCAACAACAAGCCCTCCACCCTCCAGTCCTACGTCGACTCTGCCACCGGCGCCGTCCAGAACGCCTTTGGCAACTTGACTGGCAACACAGGCGACCAGGCCAAGGGCGAGGTTCGCCAGGACAAGGCTCAGGCTGAGTACGACGCCTCTCAGGCAGCAGTCAAGCTCCCCGGTGGCACTATTTCCAGCACAGGTGCTTTCGCCAAGGATGATCCCAACCGAACTGATGGTTCATGGAACCAGACCGTTGGTTCTGCTAAGGAGACGCTTGGAGGTCTCGTTGGCAATGAGGTATGTTCACTTAATGAAACAGCTACCATCTCTGAGTAATAGCTAACATGGGCGATATAGTCACTGAAGCAGTCTGGACGTCAACAGAACCTCGAGGGCCAGCAGCAAGAGGCAAAGGGCCAGCTACACGACTACGGCCACGGCGTGGGAGACCGTGTCCAGGGAACTGTTGGTGGTGCTGTCACCGGTCTTACTGGAGACAAGTCAGGCCAGGAGCACTACGAGGAGCTGCACGATAAGGGCAAGACACAGCAGCGTGGCGCCGAGCACGACATCCAGAAGCAGGCCGAGGCCAACTACTAGAGTGGACACAAAGATGATGTTGATGGAGGGAATACCTAGAAACGTGGAAAGATACCCTAGCTGAGTTATGATTATGAAATTGTCATGATTAGTTTTTAGTCTTATTGTTAATTGATCACTAAATTGACGACTGCTTCAAAGTTTGAGTATGAAAAAGTGAATACAGTTAATAAACGTGCGCATGCTGCTCTAGCTTAATGTCTGACGCCTATGGATCATGATGAAGTGATTGTTCATCGCAAATTCGTCCGCCATGCCTGTTCGGCTGCTCCTTTATAGTAATAGCTAATCAAGATTATTAGTCAACCCTGCGAACCAACCAAGTCAACGAACACGTCAAAACTGCGATAACGAGACCAAGGCAAAAGGGCAGGCCAAGCCATGTCCCGAGGCCGATGTCAAAGAGCGGCCCAATAATCAGCTCGCATGCTAGTATTCCCAGGACCTCTCCAGCAGCAATCATTCCAAAGACAGAGCCGGTCTTGTGTTTGCCTATGAGAGCCACGAGCAGCGTACGACACAAAGTCGGCACGCCAGATCCAAGGCCAGAGAGAACAACGCCGATGATGATGAGGCTGGCCTCGTTGACCATCATGAGGAAAAAAGAGCCGAGAACAAAGAGAATGACACTGGCTCGGGCGAGGATTCGATCTCGCTGGAGGGCGGAAGCTGAAGTTCTCTTATAGAGAGCGTAGGATACTAGAGGGAGGATGACGAGCAGCGTGAGGAGAATGACGGCGGCGTTTAGCGAGAGGAGCAGCGCGGCTCGGGAAAGGGGCCAGTCGAACTGGATGGGCATGAGGCGCATGAGGATGCCGTGTTGCGTAGAGACGGCTGGCATGGTGAGGATGGCGCCGGGGAGGAGGTATAGGGCTGGACGACGGAAGAGGGCCTTGAAAGTGGATTTAGTAGATGCCATTGGTGTTTCATAGATGCTGTCGTCATCGTTGTCGTAGTGGTGGTTACTGCGGATGATGGGAGTATCTTCTCCGATTTGGGCGAGAGAGTCATGGTTGTGGAGTGTTTCCGGCATGAGCGTCACAAGTATGATGCCGCCGAGGGCAACGAGGCCGAGCGAGATGCAGAGAGGGCGCCATATGGAGATTTCGGTAAGAGGGCGGGCGATTAAGGGGCCGAGGAGGGCAGCGGAGAAAACGGCGGCGACGACCCATTGGAAGCATGTTGCTCTGGATTGGCGAAATAGAAACAGTTTAGCGAATGCATGAAGAGGCATGAGGGGGGGAAACGTATTACCGTTTTGACTCGGGGATCACGTCTGAGATGCTGGTAAAGACCATGGCTTCTGCAACTCCTCGTCCTCCGCCGAGGAGTATGATTGCGCCGGAGCCCCAGATGGCTCTCAGGGGGATGTCTCGCCATCTCCAGCAGATGAGGAGGAAGTAGCTCTCGGACAAGAAGAGGCTGAGAATGCTCAGGGCGAGGATGGGCACACGACCAATTCTGTCGGCGAGCATGCCGAGTGGGAGAGACACCAGAGCACCTATGCTTAAAGTATTAAACATCATATACATGTACGGAGGGAGAAGATGGAAGCACGACACACCAGCAACTGTTTCAGAGACGGCTGCTCCAATCTCAACAATGTTCAGCTCTCGCTGCACGGCTCTATCGTGGCATTGCGATTCTGGCAGGAGATTGTCGAATGTGAAGCCCAGGTGGTGTTTGCAGATGATGTCCTGCATCAGCTTCGTGGCTGGGTAGCTGGCTATCGAGAGGCCGAGGTTGATGATGAAGAGGTTGACGACGAGGAGGGGGATGAGACATTGTATGGGCAGAGCTGGGCGGTGAAAATCTAGAGTCATGGTTTTTTGGGGCAGAGTTTTTCCTCTTTGCTGCTTTTGATGTAGATGTTGGATGTGTAGATGGTGTAAGGGATGAGAAGATGAGGGTATCAAGAGGAGAGGTCGAGTTGATTACACTTTTGCAACAACTGCTCCCTTGTGATCAATTGCATAAAAAAAAAAAAACAAGCAAGGGGAAATAAAAACTTGAATTAATGGCTGAATTGATGCTTTGATTGATTGATATCTCTGTAGTATAGAGTTTATGGCTGCATTTAGTGCAGTGTTGGCTGTATAGAACAATGGGGTGAGACAATCGCGGACAATGGCTATTCAAAAATCGGGCGTTTGGATTTGTATTCGTGCATGGCAAGTTGCAATGACATTTGCGCATGCAAATGATGTTTTATCCTTGTCTTGCCCGTTTTCAGCCTTTAATCCTCATTTTACATGATGGAAGCTCATAAAGCATGTGAGGGCGTTCACGAAGCTGTGGCTGTTGGCGATGCGGCTTCATGTTTTCCGCTTTACAGTTCTGCAAAGGCATATAAAGTGCATAAGTTGTATACCATTCAAGGGATCGGAGTGTTATTTTGTGATACTCTATTACCCTACCAAAATTATTATAATGGAAATATTACCCATTATATTTGCCTGCACTCTGACTACATGCTCCAAAAATGCGAATACCAGTACCCAGCTTCTCAGTAAATGCCATCTATAAATATCCCATTGGCTGTCTAGAGTATTACAATTTCACCTACAGCCAATTAAAGCATTAATGTAAAGATGATACTTTCACATATAGGAGTGTCAATGCGTATGCGCGCGCAGACTCACCTCTGCCTATACCCTCGGTATAGCCAACCATCTCCAGCTTAGGAGCTGGATCAAACGATGGGAAATAAATCTTCTGCTCCCCCAATCAGTTAGAACATGTCGGTCCATACAATCTAGTCCAAGGAGAGCAGCATGATGAAGTATGCTCCATCCAGTAAGTTTTGCTAGCCGAGTTGCGATATCTGCAACCAACAGCTGCAGAATTGTGTGATTTCCGAGCTTTCCAACCTCGTTTCTACCGGATAGACTTGAGTCTTGCTCCCTTTCAGTAATATTTCCAGTTATTTGTTAACAATATCTCCATCAAATGGGACTGTTGGTTAAATTTTCCTTTGATGCCGCCGTAGTATTTTAGGAGGAGGATACGGCATCCGACTCTCATAAGCATCTTTCATCGTCAAATACTACACGTCACGATAGACTACTTGTCGACCTATCAGGTCTTGGATGACAGCAACATGTTAATTTTCTGTTGATCCATTGTTCTGCGTAAATAAATCATCTCATCTACATAGAGATTATTAACAATATGAGCTTTTCCTAGTCCAAGACGCTCCATCTCAGCACGGCAACAGCAGTTCATAGTACACTCTAATAATCTGAGTTATGAATAAATCATCATTATTGTTACACCATTGACATTTTCCCTCTTGGGGTATACATTCCGGTGTCAGTCCATGTGATACATTTGCTAGGCTACCAATGCAGTAAAATCGGAACGACTCTGAACGAGGCGGACATCTACAGACACCTTACACCCAACACACCGTCATCTTAGGCCTCGCATCTAATACTCCAAGTACCTGCATGCTATCCAAGGTGTCACAGGGCAAGCAGCTCGGAAGGATATGTGTCCACATCGGAGCCTTCAGCAGGCCATTGCCATGCCGTAGGATTCGGTCACTAACCAATGCACATGGCCGAGCATCCGCGGAACGGCGCCGCAACGGGAATCGCCGAGCTGACAGCCCCAAAAACGACGATTGCGCGATACGTCGGGGAGCAACTTTGCGCTCGTCTCACCACACGTCGCGATCCTCTCTGGGCCTCCCTGTTTGCGGAAGGACAGTGATGCTAATTGTACTGTACAATCAAGGCTCCTAACTACCAAGATCGACGGCATCGACAGCTAGCGGATGACTCCGCCGGGATGCGACAGGACCGGTAACGTGCAGTTCCCCATGCCGGCTTACTTCGTAGGCTTTTCGTTAGGCGCAATAGGATGCGGTGCTTTTGAGGATATTCTGTACGCGGTGAGATGCGGGATGGCCATGATTACGGCATGGCATCTCTCGCTGCGGTTGTATACTGCTATTGGTGAGCCTCTGTCCCAAAATGATATTCCGTGCGTCTTTGGTGGAAAACTTGGGCTTGACCACCGCAATTCAGTGACTATATGAAATACTGATTACCTACCTACGGGTCAGCATTGTTCACCTGGCACTGCCGGGAGATGTACCTGTATCGTTCAACTGCCGCTGTCCCTGCTTATAGCTAACGCACAGTCGGAGCTCCCCTGGCATACACAGCTGTGGGCCGACGCCTTATCGAGAATACTACAGTCCATGGCCAAATAAATTCCGCGGCATTTGAATCGCCCATTGGCAGCTTCATGTTGGGGTGTTGATGCGGTTGCAGAAGTGCAACTCGAGAGTTGGCTCTGGGAGGGAAGATATGCAGTCAGCACGAGTTCTTCAGGCAGGTAGGCCCTGTAGCGTAACATTGCCAAGTAAGAAAGAATGTGATAATCATGCATCGTGTCCGTGTACTTGCTCAAATAGGCACTCTGTGCTCTCGCACATGTCCGTTGCAAGTGTCACAAGCCGCTTTGTTGCTAGTAGCAGGTACAATGCAGTAAATCTTCACGTTCTAGTCTACAATTTTCCCCGAATCAACTGTCAAGCAATGCAGGCAAATCGGCTAATGCAAGCGCCATCTTCACCAGACGGCTCAAGCTGCACCTGCAGATTCCAAGCGATGACAATACAAGGGCCAAGCGATTGCGATAAGCGACAAAAGAGGCACCAGACGCCTTCGCCAGCGCTGAGCTTCAGCTTCGTCAGCGGCTGGTTGCTGCTCGCCACAAGGGCCACATGAGAGACCGCGCTCGTTCGCTTGCTGCCTACAAGGCGTTTCTGCACGAAGAATGCGGAGCAGTGCTATTGTGTTGAAGAAGCGAGGCGGGACCAGGATTCTAGAGCACACCTGGCTGATACCAGCAGTAGTTGGAGTGGGTGGCAACAGCGGGCAGTAGGAGAACCATTAGCGCAAGCCAGTCATCAGCTTGAAACGAAACATCAAAAATCAACTGTAACAAGTCCGTCCCCTCTTGGCTGCAGAGCCGTGGAAAACGCCACGCGGACCCGGGGCTGGAGGCCATCCCGGCTCGGGACTTGGGTTAGCGAGCTGTGGATCTGCGAATCCGAGACGTGGTCCTTTACAGCAATTAATCAAGGAACGACTGCTCCGTTGCAAGCCTTGTGCGTGCAATCATGATAAACCCACGTGCATGGAGAGGCGTTTGCTCGACTTGCAAGCATGAGCCATGGGATCAATCAATCAGCCTCGCCCGCCTCAAAGGATCACCGCCGGGGACACAGCGGTGCTAAACCGTCATAGCGGAGGTTGGCTTAGCAGTTGGCCCCAAAACAACAAAACATTGAAGGCTCAAAGGCGCCATACTTTGCAGCGGGTGGCTGCTGGTCGGTGCGGCAGCACGCGCCGAGGAGATAGCCGCCAGTGTGAGCTGTGGCGGGCTTTTTACTGTTCGACATTTCATCATGCAGAGCATCGGGCATGTCGTTCCATTTCCTGGGCAGAAAACGGGAATCAAACTTGAGACGACGAATGTCATTAGACATGGCAAAAGACCCTGATGCGCCTAGATTGTCGTTGTGCCCTGATCCCTGGCGCGTGGAGCTATAGTCTGCGAGGCTAGCAGTTTTGTCTCGTGTCTCTCATGTTGAATGTTGCTTCCAGAGATTAACAGCCCTGTGCCTTGAGTCAGGTTCTCCTCAACGGCCGTGTTAGCGACTTGCAAGTATAATTACCCCGAGCTGCAAACTCCATTCAACTCCAGCTAAAGAGTTTTTTCTTTGCTTTTTCTTATCTTACACGGATTACAAGTATGTAATCTATATTAGACATCATTCAATAGCGTCGGCAGAGGTTGCTGATATCAGGGTTGCCACTTTGGGCAGTCTTGGCTCGGCCGATTGATGCGATTTCCCGGCGTGCTTGTTTCCTAGCAGAGTTCTGCAAATCATTCATTATTTATAGAATACTCCGAGCTCCGTGCAGGAGCGCGGATGCGAATGGAGTGGAGGCGTGACGTGAAGGAGTGTTGACAGTTACTAACGAAAGAGGCAATACTGTGAGCCATCTGTGATCAGCCAACACAGTGTTAGCCCCTTGCGGTATGATGGAGGATCAGAGGGTAGGAAGAAGAGCAGAATTGCTGCTGTCTGTGTTGCCCCAAACCTGTGAAAAGCACGCGGGCGTCAGAAGAAAAAAACGAGGCGTTCAACGTTGTTCTTGTTGCTTTGACATCCATGGATGCTTGCAAGCCAAGCGGCCTCAAAATCGTGTCCCGCCGTCGGCCTTAATCCAATCCAGCGTCGACGTTGAGGCAACCCCTGAAAGCTGCTGCTTCTAGCGCCTGTGGGGGCCCTTCGCTAAGGCACTAAAGATGACGCTAGGGTCCCCATGCCAGGCCGCTTTGGGGCCACAAGTTGAGGCAAGCCAGGGCCAGTCTCGCCAGGGAGTGGAGGCGGGACTTTGCAGTGGGATTGGGAAATGGGTGAGCGAGTCGAGTCTGCCGCTGAGGAAACGAGGAGCAATAGAAGTGAAAGAAGAAGGAAGAGATGAGATGGGATTTGAGAGGGTGGAAGAATGAAAAGAAAAGAATGAATGAAACAAGAAGTTGCGGTGAGGCGAGAGACAATGAAGCAAGTCAATAGGAGGGATGGAAATGAAAAGACTGTAGGGCGATGTGGGCGGTGCTTTGCACGCAATTACCGGCTGTGATTCAAGCATCGATTGATCCACGGCCGTCGATCCTCAAGAGGCTTCCCATTTCGCAGCAACCAAGTCTCGCGCTTATACTAGACTGAACTTGTTTGAATGTAATGTATGGCCACCTATACGCCGAATCGATGCTACAGTACCGTACACTACTGCTGTCGAAGACATCGGGCCTGCACTAGCACTGCTACTATAGAAAGGGGGTCGACATCAATCTCCAAAACAGCCGGAGTAAAAAAAAGAAAAGAACAGATGCCGTATATCATGCAAATCTCCATTTCGCCGCCTTGATGGCCCGGCTGGCCACTGTGGACGATTCAACATCTCGCAACCTTGTCCTCTTTTCGACTTGCAACTCCTTCTCCTTCTTTCCCAGCAACGGGCACGTCACGGGCTGTGCTTCTGCAGCATTGACTCGCCAGCGCACAGACGCCCACGATTCGTCCTCGTGTACAGCAAGTAAGGCGCTCGCTCCAGGAATATACATGTAAGTACCTGCTGCGCGCTGTACCGGTACCAGCGCCGTTGCTCGAGTACCTGCCGCCCCAGCACTGTCCCTGCGCTACACAAAGTACCACATACCGCTTCCCCGTAGTGGCTGCTGTCACGGCACAGTCTCCCCGTGGTCCAACTGCCCCCTTGATGCCCTCCCTCTTTTCTCTGCTTCACCCGCGACATGGCCTCCCAGTTTGCTCCCTCACGCAGCTGAAGCGCATCCTGTCGGCCTCTGGTTGATGCCATCCATCGTTTGCCTGTCCCGTGGATTCAGCGCCATCTGATTGCTAGTGCCAACACCAGCCATCAATCCAATCAATCAGTCAATCAATCCATCAATCAACCGGCCTGGCCTGCTCCTCCATTGTGACACCCACCGCTCACACTCGTTTCTTTTTCGTCACAGACTGGAGTCACTTAAACCAGCCTTTGCCCTCCTGTGTCTCATCTCATCATCCCAGTCCCCAGAGCCATGTGTTAGCGGGCCTGCCAGTCCAGTCATTCGATTGTGTCCCGATTCATGAACTAATTTACGACCAGGGGGTCCTCCGTCTTAAGCATTGATTACCCTTCTGCGGCCCCATATTCCACGAATAGCTAGGGACAGTCGCTTATTCGCCTTGGTCGACGAGTTGCGAAACCTCGACACGGGCTTCGATTTCGACTGCACTCTTCTCTTTTCTTGCGTGGGTTTCATACAACTATACAACTGTCGTTTTCAAGAGCGGCCAAGAACAGCGGCCAAGACGAGAAACAAGCCAGAATATACATGCTAATTCACAGCTACATTCGGTAGAAAACCAGCGTCAACCATGGCTGGCTCCGCCGTCGACTCGCGCCCGACGAGCAGCGTTGGCTCGCCGCGCGATGTGCGACCGCGAACCCAGAGCATCTCCAGCGACAGACCTTCGATCGCGAGCCACACGTTTCTTGCCCTTCCACAGTCTACATCTCCAGAGGCCGCCTTCATTGCGTCAACTGCGGCTTCACAGATTGTAACAAACAACCACGACGGCCACCAAAGCTCCTGGTACGACCAAAATGGCGTCGAGCCGTCTGGAGAGGCCGCTGTGATATCCCCTGCTGCCTTGCAGCTAGTCAACAGCTTCCTCGATCAGTTACTACTAAACTTTTTGCAAGTTGCAAAGTCTACCTCTCTCTCGGCCCTGCGACCTGCTGTCTCCGACGTCCTCAAGCCAAAATTGGCCAAAGAAACTATAAGCAATGCTGATGAAGAACTGAGGGAGTACCTAGGGGGCTCCGAAGAGGAAGAGTACACCGACCCCCAGAGCCCCCATGCTCGAGATTGGGATGTTGAATTAGCTTGGAAGAGGGCTAGATTGCGGTGCATGGTCTACTCCTCTCTCGGAGACTTGGAAGAAGAGGACGAGGACAAGTACATGACGCAGGAAAATCTCGAAATCAGCGAACATGAGAGAGCCTCCGACATCATCTCGCCCGCCGTGGCCATCTTCCTTACCTCAGTCTTGGAATACATGGGCGAACTCACGCTTTCTGTGGCTGGGCAGGCGGCGAGCACAAGGTTGCGTTCCAGAATTGAAAAGGAGCTCAAGGATGGAGCGCGCAGCCCGGCCGCCGTTGCTGAAAGAATCGTCGTGGAGGATATCGACATGGAACGCGTTGCGCTTGATCGAACTTTGGGCCGCTTATGGCGAGGATGGAAAAAGAGGATGCGTGCGCCGCCAGGCGAATATGTCTCCAGTCGATCTCTTTCAGTCAGCCACGCTGGTTCTCTGTACGATCGTAAGAGTTCCATCAGTGAGCGTGGAACTGACTCTGCCGAGATGCAAGATGACGCAAAGGATGCTGTGGAAAAAGACATTCACCCCATGGATATTCCACTACCCATGGGCGACAATGACGTTGCGGAGATTGAGGTGCCAGGTTTGGCCCATCATAGCGATGATGAGGAAGATGGAAGCGACGAGGAAGAAAAGGATTTCGACAAACGCCGCGTTAAATCTTTTGCTGGAGCGTTATCCTTACTCAAAGACTCTCAAACATCTCCAGATTCAGACAACTATGCCACCTTACTCAGCCTTCACAGGAGATCCACCTCACTGCCAACCCCCAAAAGGTCCGTCTTCTATGCAACTGCGCGACCAAGGTCAAAAACCGCCGATGCAGCAAGCATCCCGGAGCTACAAGAGCTTACGAGGCTCTCTGTTGTCGAGGTGGAGGTGGAGGCGAAGGCGAAAAGCCGCGAGTCTGATGAAAGCGGCTCGGATGAATTCGATGAGGTGATATACGAGAAGGCCGAGATCCTGACCTCGTCCAGAGTCTCCGTCTCCAGCACCTCCTCTCGTTCTGTCTCAGATACGGGTAAGGCCATTCATCTGAGCAGATCTTCCAGTGTGCACTCTGCACGCATCATAGACGTTCCGCCCCGTAGTCCAGCCACTAGTCGGCCGCGTTCAATGGAATCAGCCGAGCGGCCGCGAGCAAGCACTGTGTCTGGAGCAAGCCCTCTATCTCGTCCAGATGAGATGCGGAAAGTCAAGGCCATTGACACCAGCTCGCGAACAGGAGCGCCTCTCTCGGCGGTGAGATCTCCAGTCGAGAGGATGAGGCCACCCGTCCCAAATGCTGCCACCATCTCAGAGTCCGAGGAAGACGCTGATCAGGTGCATCCGATTGTCAAGCCTGCACCAGCTTCTCGAAGCCGAGACCAGCTTGGCCGACTCCCACATGGCTTGCAAACAAATATCAGAGCTGCTGATAGAATCTCGGCTTCCCCTCAAAGCGACCAGCCTCAGTCAAGTACCAGGAGCTCGTCTCTAAAAACCGCCCAAAGTGCCACGGATATCCAATTTCCAGATGTTCCTTACAGATCGACTGGGGGTAATTCCAATCGACAGAAGGGGCGGCCCGCCGCTGAGCAAGACGACGAGGAATCAACTCCGTCTCTACATTCCGTTGCCCCTCCTCGGCAAATCCACACATCTGGGTCGTCGGCATCTTCTGGCGCCAGCCGCTTCAAGGCGGTCAGAACTACTTCAGACGACGCATCAAACCGTGCTGAAAGCATGGCGCGCAACTTTGAAGAGCTTATTCAGAGCAATCAAACCATCACATACACATTGACACCGGAGAATATGCGTGATATTGATGTACGTCCCCAACCGCGAGCATTTTCCTTTTTTTTTTTCCCCTCCCCTACCTATGGAGTTTGCCTGTTTGCTAATTCGTCTTCCAGGTCAATAAATCTGCCGACAGCCCTGTTGCGGCCAAGGCCTCCCGTAAGAGCGAAGACCTTATGCGATCCTCGCCTGTTAGCTCAAATGCATCACCATCAATTCCGCGGGCGCAGCCAGCCAACGCCCAGGCTTCTTCTGAAAGCACAGCCAAATTTTCTGGACCGATTCCCCGCGCTCCGGCGGGAGCCTCTGGCCGCACGGGAGGGGCACAGGCTCGAGATGCTCGTGCACCTGGCGAGTCTTTGGCGGATTTTGCCGAGTTTATCAAGTCTACAGGCCCAGCTGGCGACAGAGGCCCGGCAGCTCTGCGCAATGTTCACGTCCCTGTCAACCCACCCAAGACAATTCCGGAATCCCAACCACTTACCACCATGAACAGTCGCAGCAGCAGCAATCGAAACCGATACCAGGCTCGAGAGCCTGCTGCCAACAGCAGAAGCGAGACCTCGGACTTGATCGACTTTATACGACAGGGCCCAGCCAATGGTCAAAATCCCATCCCTCGGCACGTGGCGCCTTTCCGTAACCCAGGAGATTCGGAGATGATGTATGGCGCGGCTGGAGGTAGGGCGGTCGATCCGGTACTTCCGGATATGCGACACAGCCAAGCATCCACCAGCGTGACGGATTACTCGATGCCGTCGATGCACTCCTCTGTCAACTCCAACTCTGCACTCCTCAAGAACAAGAGCATGTCCAAGGCAAACGCGATGTTTGGAGAGGACGATGATGATATGGGCATGCCAATGCCCGTTCGGAAAACTCGCCGCGTTCGCGATCCATACGCAATCGATTTCAGCGATGAAGAAGATGATGATTTCGATATGCCTCCCAGACCGCCCCCCAAGAAGGAAGAAAGTCTGGCAGAGTTCTTACTCAACTGTGAGCCTCCGCCGGAGCCTCCGTCTCTGCCTACGAAGCAGCAGCCAAGGAGGAAGTCGAGCACACCCGGTCTTATGGGACGATTTGGTCGTAACAACTCTAAGGAGGTTAACACTCTTAACGAATCTCAATCACGTCCTGGCGCTGTGGGCCTCGGCAACGAAGCCCGCCCGTCGACTGTTCGCAAACACGTTCCGATTCAGATGCCTCCAGGATACGACGCATACGGGCCTACCCATGCCGACCCTCCAGTAAACAGAGCTCCAGTGGAGAGAGCTCCGATCGAGAGAGCCCCAATGGAGAGAGCCCCAATGAACAGAGTCCCAATGAAGAAATTTGAGCCGAGAGAGCCTGCGTACCTAGGACAGACAGGAGATCTAGCCCAGTTCTTACGCGACTCTGAGCCGCCGCCAGACTTTACTCCCGCTCCAGTTCCAGTCCAGCAAGAAGAGCCCAGCGCGTTTGCGAAATTCTTTGGACGACGAAGGAAGGCGTCCGTTGTCTAAGCTCCGAGTTCTCTACACGCCAATCTATCAGCATATTTTATTCATTGCGCTCCTCGATGGCATTACTCGGTTCTGGAATTCTTGCATTTAATAATACCTTTCTACTCGACGATACATATCTATACACTAAACAGAGTATAAATAAACGGTCCAATGAAACAGAGATTGGGCCAAGGGGGGCACCCAATGTTAGCCTGCTCTTTTACATTCATTCATGCGCGCTATTATACCTGAAAATAACTTGATACCCGAGACTAATTATTAAACACTAAAAGAGATTGTGCGCGTGAAGTGGTCTTGAAAAATACCCGTCGCCGATATAGGCGGCTGATACTGATTTGGCCATTTGCTAGGATAGGGGACAAGGGAAAAGGGACAAGGGGAATTCAATTACTTGTTTGTTTGTTTGTTTCTTTAGCTTCACACACGTTTACTTTTTTTGTCAAATTCTCTTCGTTAGCTTTGTGTTATTTAGATCAATGGATACCTCGTGCTGCATCACTGCTATTTTCTCTGCGCGTGGATCATATTTATGTTTGTGTCTCGGACAGTATAAAGATTCTTGGACCTGTTTTGTATGCCAGGTAGATTATATTGCGCTTTGTACCTAGTAACTTTACATGTATGCTTCTATCTAAGGGCTTATGTCTATTCACCGCTTTGCTATTACCAGACAAGTGATCGAGGTAGTAAGTGTTTGTGCTTTCAAAGTAGAAATGGTACAATTGATATACTGCTAATCTGCGTAAACTATCAAAAAAAAACTAGCCAGCAAAAGTCTCGTTCCCAGCGAGACGGAGCCAAAAATTCATAACATTACTGCGTGATATGTATATATATATATGTGTGTGTATATATATACATGTTTTATAGGTAGCCCACCTCATTCCCTAGGATTAAAAGCGAAAAGAAAAAAAGATAAGAGAAGAAATAAAGAAGAGATAAAATAGGCAATAAGAATAGAATAACAAAACCAGCCTTGCCAAGTTTTTCGAAAATAGGTAAAAAGAGCCACCAAATATTTCAAATAACACAGCAAAACGAAAAGAAACGAGGAAAATATACAACGGCAGATAGATAGTTCAACTTGATCAAAAGAAATGCGACGATAGGAAATTGAACCAACTAAAAATCAGAGAGAAAACTCCGGGCGACGTTGTTCCCAGTCGCTCTCACCGACCAGAAACCAGGACCTTGCGCCACGCTAAAAAAAAATGACATTTCGTAATCATGGCAACGATAGGGTAGAGTAGTTGAGTAGGAAATCGTTGGAAATCGACTCCAAATAAAAAGCGGTAAAGCAGGATAGGAGAGAGGGGAGCTTCGAGAATGGAGGGAGCTGGAGTTCCATCTCTGTCCATATCAAGTCGAGTGCAGGTAATGAGTTCATGGTAAAATGGATCAGCCAAGGTGGATCAGAGTCCATCCAAGCAGATTTGAAATGAGAGAGCATATCCTTGTTGAAAAGATACAATATGCTTCGTCATCTTGGTGCAGACAATACTATGACTGTTGCTGTCCCCCTTTGTTGCAGAAATAAGCGTGGTTTGGAGAATATAGCCTCAGCTTAAATCTCCATTCGTCCTGCAACATCCTCGCTCATAAGCCTTTCTCGCCTTGTACTTGTCATGTCGTAATCATCGTCATCATCCTCATCCTCATCCTCATCCTCATCGAGTGGTTCATCTTCAGCCAAATCATCATCCGAGAACTGGACGATATCGCCATCCTCTCCGCGATTCCAGTAGAGGCCGTCATCCATCGGCTCTTCGTCGTCTTCAAATGGTGGTACCATCTCGGCGTCTTGGTTACCAAACCAGTACTTGGCCCGTTTCTTGGTGCCCTCTGACTCGGTTGCGGTATGTCGCTTGTGAAGACCACCTTTGGCCGGTCTCAAAGTTGGGCTCTGTGAGGATATGACGGGAACGACTCTGACATAGAGGTAAGCGACCCTCTTGAGCATTCTGTTGAAAAAGAAGTAGTGGACGGCCCAAATGGCGCTTTCGTCTTCTTCAAAGGGGTCGACTTCTGGGTGATAGCTAAAGACGGTGCACTCATTAAGACGCATCTCCTTGTTAATCAAGGACCAGCACTGTGGGCCCCATTGTGCGTTCATGTCGCTGCCGGCGGATGAGTCGTACGATGAGCCTTCAAACCCGGGCCGTACGTTTTTCAAAATTGAATCCAGGTTGGCAATGACACGCCTCAGGTTCCTCTCGCGCTTGAAATCGCCGGGCCGCAAGACGTGGGAAAAGTCGTAGTGAGGGTGGCTTGCATTGAGCGTCGCAATCAGATAGGCAAACGTTCGTCGACTAGCAAGCTCAGACAGAGGGCCAAATGCGCTCGAGTGCGAGAATAACTGCATGCTGCGCGACGTAGCGAGCATGTGTTGTCGGTCGGGCGGTGACAGGCTGGCGCCCAGCTTGAGCAGCGCGGCATGCTGGGAACTGAGATCCTTGTCGATACTCTTGTACAGTTTCTTGTCGGACCCGGTAGATTTCGTGGTGTAGAGATCGCATCCGCCTGTGACGTTGCAATCAGGGGTGTTGAAGTTGAGAGCGCCGGTTACGGTCTCGAATTCTTGGACTGGGAGGTACTGTGTCGCGGGGAATGTCTCGTCAGATTTGGCTTGTCTCGGGTTGGCGCCCACTCAATCATTCTGATCACCTACCTTCATGGTGGCTGCTAGTCACGAGTTCGTATCTCTGCATGAATATTTGAAAGATGGAAGGCGAAGATAGAATGTGCCGCGCGTATCGGGAGGTTGCGCTAAAGACAGAAGCTGGCGGGTGGAGGGCGAGTGTAGATGTTTTGTGAATAAGCTTTGGAGGCGGAAATCCAAAGAATCGCCAAGTATCGGCGGGATTAATAGGACTAGTAGTAGCTACTATAGCTGGTGTGTAGTTTTGGGTTCAATCAGGCGTGCGTGCTGCGCATCAAAGGCACCCAAGCCGAGGACGGAATTGGGCTGCGATGGCTTGGTGGATTGGTATGGACTGCGCAGTTGCAGTGACGCTCGAAATGCCGATGTTGTCTGCTTCGAGTTCGCGGATCTGCACGGGGTTGGTGGATCGAGACTGCAGCAGGGAGTGGAAGCGATTCGCTCGGCTCCAGGCTGTTGTCGACTGAAGCCGGTAGGGATTCGACGAGGTCGTCTTGTCTTGGTAATGCGAGGAGAGCGGTGATGCGGCAACTAGCAGCGTCGAGGGCCGAGCAGTGCCGTCATTCACGGGCACAGAGGAACAGCTGCTCTCAACTCCAAGCAGGTTGGCAGACGTTGACAGACGTTGAATTGGAAAGACGGGTGGGTGCAAGGCCAGCTGGTTGGTTGGAAGAGTTCGGAGTAAAGGGGAGAGCGAGATGGATGCAAGGTCGTGCAGATGGCGTCTCCTGTCCTGTTATCGTCTCGTTGTTAGTGGCACGGCCAGAAGCCGGATCGGGTGACACGCAGGTGGGAGTCGCTGAAGGCCTCAAACCGGCGGCGCTCAGTGCAGCGCTGCAGTGACATCAGCTGGCAGATGGAGGGGCTGTTGCGTGCTGCAGCGGTGGAGCGCGGAGGCGGGCTGGTTGGGCTGTTAGGGGGCGGGATAGGGAGTTTCGGCCAGTCGCCAGCGCTGTGTTGCAGGCCAGCAGAAGCGTGTGTCGACCTCGAGCCAGCGCAGTGCTAGCAGAACGCCAGTCGGTCGCATTGCGCATTGCGCATTGGACCAGATCGTCCACAGCCAGAGTGTTTGCATGGCCATAGCCGTTTCGCGCATCGCCCACGTTCCCGCGCAGCGCCGAGTTGGTTGGCGAGTGCCGGCAAGTCGGTGTGCGGGTACGTGGCTTCTACCCCCTAAAGCTCTAGTCATGACCCGATCGCCCGCTGTCGGCTGCGCCCGGCAGACGCGAATAGCAGCAGCAATTATTAGTAACTAGTAGGTAGTAGCAGCAGTAGCAGTAGCAGCAGACTGCTCAGACTCATGGCGGCACCTCCGCCCAAAAGAGGGGGCCTCTGGTGAGCCGATTAGTTGCAACGAATAGAGACTCATGGAGCTGCCACGCGCGGCATCGACAAGACGAAGCGTAGCAGCCAACGGCCTGTCACCAATGGCAGCATGTGCCATGACGAGAACGACTGTGTAGTTAGTTGACCGGATTAAGCTCAGTGACGTGGAAAATGAAAAAAATATCATGAATTGGCTTTGCGCTTTCTTTCTTTGTTTCTTGGTTGCTTGCTTGCTTTCCTTTGTCTCCTGGTATAGTATTAGATTCAGGCCTCAAGCGCCAGCCGATATGTTCCCCGATTCCGGGGACTAGTCCGTGATACGGAACATCAGTGCGACGCTTGGGTCTCTCTTCGTCTCTCCCTTCCTTCTTCTCTTGATATGGTAGAGGATGGTTTTCCATTCTCCAAGATCTATACACACAAAGAAAAACATGGCCATATCCTCTCTCCAACACATCACCCGCCCCATTCATTCTTCCCAGTGTGCCCTCTCTTCTCATCGAAGAGATGCTCAGTTTCCTGAGACTTCTGTAATCAAAGAATCCCCACTGTGCGAAGCTTCTCTAGAGTGCTCTCGACCTGCAACGCCAAATGTTAATAGTCAAATCCTTTTCGGATTGTGCTCTCGATGAATCCAAGTAGCCGGTGGGACAGTAAGGGCCTTCGATTATATATATATGTATATGCCAATGGTACTCCGTAGCGGTAAACGTGAGGGTGAGTAGGCGTCAGTCAAGGCGATGGGTAATAACCATTTGACCAATTGTTGCGCACGTCCCGACTGTGTTGGCACGTGTTTTACATGAGTTTGGTGACCTCGTCTTCGACCTTTGCGTTTGGAAATCCCGTTGTCAGCTGTGTCAAGTCGTGTTGCCATAGCCGAAAAATGATGAAAAGATGAAAGGCGATGGCGCATCATAGTGTTGGGAAAGAGCCAGGATCGGTGCGATGCACCCGGGTGAAACTCTACACAGCACTCACCTCCATGTCTTCCAATGAATCCTGCTGTCCAATGCAGCGCAGCACGTTCTTCTTACTGCTCTCCTGCAGTTCTCCTGCGAGAAGCAGCTCGTCGAGGATATAGTAGGCCTTTGTGAAGGAGAAGATGATGTCAAGCTCGCATACGTTGCCGTAGTACTTGTCCATCTGTTCGACGTATCGGTGGATGATTTCGAGTGTAATCAGCTCGTTGTCCTCGGAGGAGCATCCTGCAATGAAGAAGAGCGAGGCGTATCGTCGATAGACAATTTTGGTATCTGGCCGATGAAAGACACAGTCAGTCACCTTCTCTGAGTAGGGAAAAAAAGGGGTGCATATGAGAGCGTCCATCTACTAACCCTTGTACTCCAAAAAGTTGCACATGCGTGTTCTTCGAGCGAGGACGAGCTGTGATACGTCCTTGACGATCTTGGCCTTGTCCTTGGGGGACAGCGTCGTGAACCACTTTGCAAGCCGCTGGAAGCGAAAGTCAGCAAGGCTGGTCCCATGCCAGTTGCAAGCTGCCATCATCAACAACGAGAGCCACTCACCACCTTCCCCTGACGGGACAACAGAATAAGATAGCTAGAGAAGATGCGAGTCAGCTTCATCTGGCCGCAAGAGCACACGCAGCAGGCGCAACGTACTGAATCGCCATTACGACGGCTCTCTCACATCACCGAGAGGGACACGATGACGGTCGAGGCGCAGTGACGAGGTGGAAGCGGGACGAGATGCGGTTTGAATAGACTTGAGCTGGCGTACTCTGGATGAATTGGCCAGGTCGGTGACGAGGCAGTAGCGCGTGCTTCGGATTCTGCCTGTACCTTGTTCCGTGCCCCCAATTTCTCCTAGCCCAGAACATGTACTTGTCACTTGTACTCTGTTCCGCTGCCCCTCTTGTCGGCATGAACCCTCCAGCGGCTTTGACAAATGGCCGCAGCGCCAAAACTAACACCGCAGCCTTGAATTCTATTGAAGACGTAGCAATAGGCCGAGACATTGAAGCTCGAACCCCGCGTTGCGCTTTACTGGGCAACCGCCCAAGGGTCTTGTCTAAAAGCTCCGAAAGTCAATTGTACCTAGCAGTGCTCTTACAACGTACAAGACTCAACTTTGCGTGGGGGACTATCAGTTTCTTAGACGTCACTTGAACAGTAATTGGCACACGTTGAGAACCTCACATTTGAATAGGCCGCGCGCCCTCACCTCTGGAAAATACGGTTCGAATATTTCTAGCAGCCACGAAAGCCAAATAAACAGAGACTGTAACCTTGTTTACAAAACTAAAAAAACTATCATTGATCCTTCTCCGACCAGCCTTCCTTTCAAATATCCACTCGCCTCATTAGTAATACGGCGTTTACATCCCGCCCATCTGGAGTAGGTAAAATTCGCAGCTTAGTTCGTTGCGACGAAGAAGAGAAAAAAAAAGCTACTGTTCTGTTACTCGCATATGCCGAGAATGGGTCTTGGGCGCTTTTGACTTATAGGGCGTCGTTTCTAAAAACTTCCTCTTTCGCTTTCGCTCTCTTCAAAACCCAACCTACCAAAGTCGCATTGAGGATCCATCAGACATCTAAAACTCTCCTCACATCACTTTTACAATCAGCACAATGACGAAAATTATTCTCTCTACGGGGTTCGGTTTCTCCCCTCGCTGCTTGTAAAATGCCGAGCTTTTTTTTGCTAACCCTGCTGTGCGATCCAAACAGCAATGTCATGTCCGGAAGCCCATCCATCATCCGCAAAATCAACGGCGGCAAAAGACCAAGATCGAACCAAGAGCTCGTCAATTCTCTGCGGGACAACTTCGTGGCGACACGGCTAGACTATGCGCTCGCCGCATCGCCGGCGGCAGCCAACGGCGCCAACACGCTGCCCTCGCCGCCTCAGACGCCGGTCGAATTGTGGACGGAGCGAGACGAGAAGACGCTGTACATTCCCAGGATCAACTGGCAGGCGGCCGGTCTGCGCGAGGAGGCAAACGACTACGAAATCACCGTCAAGCTGTTCCTGCTCCCCGGCACGACGGTCCAGGACCGCGAGCAGTATGCGCGCGAGGCGCTGGATCTTGTGCGCAAGGAGCTCGGCATCCAGGCCATTGACCTGTTGATCGTCTCCTTCCCCGGAATGTCGTTTGAGGGCACATGCGAAAAGGAAGCCGAGCGCATCAACGCCCAGCAGGGAAACCTGGAGGAAGAGCTCGCGTCCTGGAAGGTCTTTGAGGACCTGCACAGCCAAGGCCTGGCCAAGCGTCTCGGCGTTGCTGAGTTTGGCAGCGAGAAGCTGCGTGCGTTTCTCCAGCAGACGGCGATCCGCCCGACCGTCGATCAGGTCAACCTGCAGGACTGCTGCAACGTCCCCGAGCCCCTGTTGAAGCTGGCGGAGGAAGAGGGCGTGGAGCTGCATGTCCACACTGATTGCACCGACATCCTTCCTCGCGGCACCCTGCGAGAGCTCCTCGGCCATGGACCCCAGGGTGCAGGAGTGCTGGCCGATGCGGCCAACGGCGGCGCCGGCCTCGAAGGCGAGCTCTTCCCGCAATGGGTTGCTCGATACGTTGCATATGTCACGGATCGTGGAGTGATTGAGAACAAGGGCTACTTTGCGGGGGCTGCGCTTCAGTAAGAGAGAAGCCTCTGCCAAGACCTTTCTTTTTTCTTTTCACTCGGATATATCATGAATCTTCTCTAACTGTCACTAAAAGCGGTGTTTTTGTTTTGCATTTTGAAGTTGATTTATTCATTTTGGATATCATAACAGCGGGCATCATTACATGGAACTATATCTATATATGTCTCATAAAAATTCTTCTCGTTCCTCTTCTCTGGCTGGCGAAGAACATGAAAGAAAGATTTCTTTTTTTTTTGCCTTTCTTAAACTGGTCTCCTCCGAATGTCTCGTCATATAATCACGGTCTAGCCAAGCATACTTCTCTTGCGGCCCCTCATCCTTACTTCTTCCAGCTTCTTGAGCGCCACGCCAGCCTGCTTAAATGACTTTTTATACGCCTCCAGGACCTCGTCGAAGATGCATTCAGCTCGGGGGTGTGTGCTGCCAAAGGCACGCTCGAGGACATATAGATCGACCGCCCTGTCCTCGTCATGTACACCTCCGCCGGCAAGCCCAAGATCTATAATGACAATCTCTCCCTCGAGGCCGGCTGCGCCATCCGACTGACTGCCCGCGGATGGCGGCTTCAGCATCATGTTGCTCGTCGTCAAGTCGCCGTGGATGATGCCGATGCTGTGCATCTTGCCCACCGCCGTGCCAATCTTGCGCATCAAGTCCTTGAGCTGCTCGTCGTCCTCGATGCCCTCGGTCCTGTTCCCCAGCCTGTTGTTGATATTGACGCGCACGGGCGTGCCCTCGATCCACTCCAGCATCAACCATCCCGCGCTCTCGTCCAGGGCATAGACGGAGGGCACGCGGAGCCCATCGCGGCGGCACTTGGCGAGGATGCGCGCCTCGGACAGGATGCGGTGTCTGGTCAGGCGCTGGTCGAGGGCGGGATGGCGCCACGGCTTCGGCGGACGGTATTTCAGGGCGCAGGCAGTGTCGGGCCGCAGGTATGTCGTCTTGTAGAGGCGGCCCTCGGCGCCTTGTGTGATGAGCGTTGGCGGGGTTGACGCGGGGTTGGTGAGAATCTTGGGCAGCGGAAATTGATGCGCCGGCGCGGCGGCGTCTGATACAGTGGCCGCCATGGCTACTAGGGATTGATCTGGTAGGGACAAAATGGATGTGAGGAGAGAGAATTGGTTTAGTCACAAGCTTGGGTCAAGAGATTTTTCTCCGAAACAAGGTACAGGGAGCAAATTCAGGCTTCTATTTCGGGGTTGGGGCTGCTGCGATGCGATGCACTCTGCAAGTCAGTTCTGATAAGATCAAATGCAGTCACGGCCTTTTTTTTTTTTTTTCCTCGCTGGAAAGTTGCGCTATGGTGGGGTTGACAGGTGAAGATGGCAGCGCTATTGGCTGCAAAGGAATAGCGGCGCAATGGAAGCTGCCATTATGCAGGACAGCGGAAGCTCGAGTCACTGGACACTCCATTTGTGGGCTGGATTGGGGGATCGCTGCAAGGGCTGCAGAAGCTTCAATGTTGCATCAGATGCCTCGAAAAATGATGTCGATGTGGATGTTATTGCTGAAAGAAAAAGAAGCTCTATTGAAGGATGTACTTGCTTCAGCACTCAAGCAGTGTTCAATGCTGCCACGTACCCAGGCACGTAACCACAGCTGGTTTCTCTTGGCTTCCATGGAATCCTGTGTCATGCAAACACTTGCGTGTGCCCTTGTGACTGGTCCAAAGGGCAGCTCCGGTCTAATACATGCATCTACTGCTAGCATAAACACCCTCCCCAACATCTTTTCCCCCCTTCGTCATACTACTACTAATAAATAGTAGCTACATGTAGGTGCATGGAGTCTTTCGCCGCGGCCCTGCAGAGTGCTACGGAATCCGGGAAGAGCGTTGCAATATCGCTTCCAGGCACTTCCAGGGACCAACGGCATCAAGAATTGCACATGTATTCAGGTTTGCTTCTCCGCCTGTGGCACTGCGAGTCTTCCTTTGTGTCTCTTCTGCTCTCCCTCAGCTCGCAGCCCACGATCCCAACAACTTGCCCGCCAGCTGTAAGAGTGAATTGTCATTACACACATGTACTCTATGCTGCCACACCCACCCAATCAGGGCTTAAATCAGGGCTTAAATCAGGGCTCCCTCTCCTCCGCTACGTAACTCGTCATCCATTCCGCCGCTCTAGTTAATTGTTTCTATTTCTTCTCAATATCTTCATTCCTTTCTTCTCTCTTCCTTTCTTCCTCTATCCAGTCTGTAAGTCGACCAAAAATCAAAACTCCCGCCTCCTCGCCGCAGGCCATGCCTCTGCCCCTCCGGGACGGCATCACGACTTGTGCTTCGCCCTCCGCCGCATAATGGCCGACTCAGGCTGGCTCCAGTGGGCATACATCTTGGCCGGCTCCGCCACTGGCATGACCATCGTGATGATCGCGCAGACTGCGAGTTCGTACTGGACGGCCTACAGGGTTGCGCCGCAGGAGGTGGCCAGCTTCATCGACACGCTCGACTTTTCCATTGAGGAAAACGAGGGCTACGACCGGGACGTCTCCAAGATCCAGCGGCTAGAAGACAAGATCCGCCTCAACCGTCTGCTGCGGGAAATCCAGAGGATTGGCGATGACTTGCGCGACGACCTGAACCGCCTGGTCCGCGAAGAGGGCGCAACCACGCTGCGGACCAGCTCGAGGATCATGTGGGCGTCGAAGCGCGCGCAGATTGAGGAGAGGATGAAGCGGTTGGACTCGCTCCGCATGCGCTTCATGATGGCCTATCTGGGCATCATCGCCTCCATTGCAGAGAAACAGCCTCCTCCTCCACCACCACTGCCCGAAAAGACGGCCGTTTACACAACGCCCAACAGACTCTCAGCGAAGAAGTCGCTTGATGATCTGCCAAAGCGCACGCCTAGCCGAAGACTGACGACCCAGGCCATTGGTCACCACGAGCATGTCGAGACCCCCCATCGGAGTGGCTGGGCCGGAGTCGTCCAGGAGCTGCAAATGTCGCCGCGAATGCGGGCACGACATGCCTCTATCGAGAAGCTCATGGAAGGTCCGTCGCACTAAAGGAGTTGGCCTACACACAAACAAACAAACAAACAAACAAACAAACAAACAAACAAATAGACACATTCAACAGCATGCAAGCTGTAGAATTTACGACATGACGACGACTTTCCTTATGAATCTTGCACGAACACTACCGGTAACGAGAATGACTAGAAGAGATGACACGATAAGCCAGAACAGATGTTTGCAAACAAGTTTTATCAACGACGTATACGAGAAGAAAAGAGATTTGACTATGGGGCAACGGGATTCCGTGCCATGGCGCACGCGGTTATGAGGATGTGGGCGGCGGGATTTGGGCTTTGGGCTTGGGTTTTTGGACTATTTTACCTCCTTTTATTACTTGGATTATTTCACACAAGCACTCTTTAGATATTTTACCCCCTTGATTTTCTAATTCTCTATTACAGAAAAAAAACCGCGGAGAGAGCATGAGCAATGTTTGCGGAATTGAGCTGCTTAGACTCACTGAATTCTGATATTGAACAACTTCATTTGGCTACCTATGTCGGCCCTCGTTTGGCGTCTCGGTCTTGTCTTGCACAAATCATTCCTGTGATGAACCTGCTGGCTATGAGGCCATACACGTTGCTATATTAGGCGTGTCTAAATGAAAGAGGGCAGAACGCCTGTGCGCCACACTCATTGCATCTGCGCTGCCGAAGCTTCATAGTTCCCCATTTACGCAGAGATGCATTGTTGAGGCGCTTTACTTTTAAGGACATCCTGACAACGATACATACTGGTGTATCAGCTTTATCAACCAATCGGACATGATATATATAACGCATCCGTAACCTTCCATCAATTACACATTCCTTCTTGCTGGATTGGCGGAAGAAGACGTGTTCTTACGTTGTACTTAAGTCAAATCAACGCATGTAATCTCTATCACAGCTCGAGTTTAATAACTACAACAGACGTACAGAGAAGAAAATACAAAATCATTTCACAAACAGCGCATACACAAGCTTCTCACTCGCCGTCTTATTGCTCTCTAATACAGTTCGTGATTGATGTATTCCCTCTTATTGTTCCCAACATCCTTTCACATTCATTATTCAGATCAATGCTTTTCTTTATCCCCAACTCCCTTCGCTCCTTTTGTACCATCAGCTACAAGTGTGAGGTATTCGCGGTAAAGTCCAATCAATGAGGAGCCAACTCAGAAACAGGTCCGGGAACAGTGCCGTTCTTTTCACCCACTATATTGCGCAACGTTAGATATGGGCAGCCACTTCGAAAAAAACATGATGAATGAGCAATAAATGAAGGAAGAATTTATAGCTTGAACGTACCATCCAAGGCGACCAAAAATCTGCTCACACAGTTGTAGGCAGCGACCTATAAGATATAAAAATCAGCAATCATAAAGAAGAATCACAATCTTAATCTCACATCTCATATGTGAGATAATCATGGAAACCAACTCACCGTTGCCGTAATCTCCACAACCTCTTGATCACTAAAATGCCTCTTCAGCGCCGCAAACGTCTCATCCTTGACTTGCACGGTTCTCGTCATCTCATCCGTATACACCAGCACAGCCCACTGCTTCTCGCTCAACAGTCCCTCCGGCCTCTCTCCCAAAGCATCGCTCTTTACAGCCTCCATAGCATCCACGCTCACGCCGCCCTGGATAGCCAGCGGCGCATGGTGCCCCCATTCATACCACGCCTTGTTGCACACGGCAACGCGCGAAATGGCCAGCTCACGCACGTCGTCGGCGAGAGAGGTCTTGGTGCGGACGGCCCCGAGGAATGAGTTCCAGCCGTCTGCTACCGGGGGTGAATGAAGGAGCGTCAGGTCCAGTGCTTGGAGAGGCCGTGGAGCGCGGCGCTCGCGGATGCGCTGCACGATGGCGGCATCTTCGGTGGTTTGAACGGGGGGAGGGTCGGCGACGTAGGGGAGACGCATGGTGTGAATGGGGTCTGTTTAGATTTAACAAACTGATTTAGATATGAGATTTGGCTTCTCGTTTTCTTCTACCATTTACAATAGAGCTGTCAGTCTTATATAGGTCGTGTACTTACACACCCCAGCAACCCGGCGCGGGGTATCCGGAGTCACATCTCCACATCGGGGCCGAAAACCGGCAATTGTATTATCCCCCTGCTGGGAGTAAAGAGTCTGGCCAATGATATGACTAACCTCGGCGAAATAGGTTACAAGTTGTTCAACCATTGGGTAACACAGCAGATCTCTGGAGCATCTTATTTCTTTTCTTGGGATTGGTGTACTTAAAACAGAGAGGCGACTACGGAAGAGCATAGCTACCCGTGTGATCAACAGTTTAGCAAAAGACAATCCTGAGGGCTAGTCGCTATTGCTCGGCTGGCTGATGCTTCATTCCTTATTAGGGCTTTACAAAGAAGAATGGTTAGTGCTATATACTTATGAGCTCGTAACACGAGTCAAGAGACAACACAACGTCATACATGTATCGAGCAAAGGCACACAACTTGAACTTCAAGTCTTGTTTGGTTGAGAGAGGACACTTGATGGCTCGGTGCAAGCGAAATTAAGTCCAGTGCCCAGCCAACAAAAAAAAAACAGCCAAAAAAGGTCCTGGAGGGAATCGAACCCTCGCTGCTGGAATCAAAATCCAAAGTCCTAACCATTAGACCACAGGACCTCAAAGGTTGGTCGGAAACCGTCGTATCTAGTCTTATACATGGTTTGCTGGTTTTTGGAGTCTTGACCAATTTTTTTCGGGTTGCAGGGTAGCATTCCTCATGCGGCGGAAATGTCGAAAAAGGATGAGAAGGTAAAATTCTGCACTAGAAAAAAGAAGACTCCTTTCGGCCTCAATGCATCAGTATAGACTACATAGAATTTCCTATATCGTGAAGCCGTTTTGGCTCTTTGCAAGCTCAACTGCTCTTGTTTTGTTTGCGACTGAGTCTGTATTTGGGACGAAGAAGATTTTTGGCAAAAGAGGCTCTGGTCTTGTTGATTCGGTAAAGCCGCTATCCAAAGATAAGAATGTTTATATATGAACCGACAATTCGCCAGACTTGACTCGATTTGTACAATGCTCCATACCACATAAGGGCCACTCGGAAATCTAACCGCAAAGAGTCCGGGACAGTGCGCCGGCCGAAGAGTTGAAAGAAAGGCAGACAAAGAACTTGGAGTAGCAGTAATAGTAAAGCCTGGAAGCCAAGAATGGCAATTCCATTCCATTTCATGAGTTAGATTTATCATTTCGACGGCAGCACAGAAAATAAGAAGAAACCGGAAAGTGCTCGGATGGTCGATGTTAGCCCCTGCTTTCTCTTTGGAGTAAGTCCGAGCGAGACACAGTAGTCGTACTGTAGCTTCCAACTTCTTGCACTTACACCTCTGCATCCATCTCTCATCTCTCCACAACCCCCATCGTTGCTGTCTTCCATGGCATTGACAAGTACAATGAGAGCCTCATATCTAGACTCCCTTGCGGTGCCATTTGAGGCCGACCGTCTCATTGAAATCCGCACCTCTGGAATGAAACAAATGCCAGGCTTGAATGTCATGTCGGGAATTGACAAGCAGCTTCGCACTGTTTCTATGAAGATTGATAAGTTGGGGCTCGAAGGCGATGAGCATGACCCTACATTCCATGGCGGCGTAGACAAAGCAATTCTCGGATGTAAGTAATATCCCTTGGTTTGTGTTATAAGCGGCTTCAGACTAACCCGCTGGCTTCATAGATTGCTCTTCTCATTATCCGTCGTGGCAAGAATCTTATCCCGACCGAGTCGACAAGTTCGTCCCAGGCGGTTTTGGAGAGAACTTCGTCACGGCGCACATGAATGAACGAAACGTCTGCATTGGGGACGTTATCTGTGTTGGCTCAGAAGTCATCCTCCAAGTATCCCTCCCACGGCAGCCGTGCTTCAAACTCAACCATCGCTTCTCGTTGAAGAATTTCGCCCCTGAAACTTACAAGACAAGCCGCACCGGATGGTATTACCGTGTCCTCCGCGAGGGCACTGTGAATGCCGGCGATGAACTGAAGCTCGCTGAGAGAAAATGGCCAGAGTGGACGATTGAACGGGTCCAGGAGTATCTCCATCGCATAACTGACAATGACGAGATGAATGAGAAGCTGGCTGAAGTTGAGGCTCTCGGCAACGAGGCCCGCAACCAGTTTCGGAAACGCGTAGCCAAGGCTCAAAGGCGGAGACTACATAAAAAAGAGGACGACTGGGAAACCTTCAAAGTGGTTAGCCGCAAAGTTGAAACACCGAGAACCGTTTCGCTGGTGATTGAGGCTCCTCCAAAGGCTCATTCTGAGAAATACCCCATCGGAGCCCATGCAAAGCTCAAGATGGGAAATGGCCTTGTCAGAACATATTCTGTTGTGTCAAGTAGCGGAGGCGGAACTGAAGACGTCAGACGATTGGAGTTTGGTATTGCTCTTGACGACAATAGTCGAGGCGGCTCACGATATATGCATAAATCTCTCAAAGAGGGGGATGCCATCCAGGTCAGCAATGTTACGAGCGATGTCAACGGACCAGTAGGAGCGGCAAGTCACCACGTTTTCATAGCCGGAGGCATTGGCATTACCGCATTCCTGCATATGATGAACAGATACGACAATATCAATTGGAGCTTTCAACTCCACTATGCTGTACGGTCTTCCGAGGATATCCCTTTTCGAGATCGATTGGAATCATATGGAGATAGAGTGATCATATACGACAAGTCAAAAGATCAAAGGATGGACATGGGCAACATCATGAAGACTCTTCCCTGGAACAGCTTCACATATGTTTGCGGGCCGAATCGTATGATGGAAGCAGCTAAAACCACTGCCGACGAGGCCAGCATTTCGCCGCAAGAGATACATTTTGAGGCCTTTTCTGCCGACACTACTGGAGATCCTTTCCAAGTGACAATCACCAACAGAAAGAATAAAGTTATCACGGTCGGAGAAGAAGAGAGTTTATTGGAGGTCTTGAAGCGGGAATTCGACGACATTCCTTCGAGCTGCGAAGTGGGCAACTGCGGCACATGCAAAGTTTCTGTCAAAAACGGGGAGATTGTTCATCGAGGCTCTGCGCTTATGCCGGATGAAAAGGATGTTTCCATGTTGGCATGCGTGAGTCGTGGCGTGGGAAGAATTGCTATTGAAGTGTAGATGCCAGATGCGAGCAAGATGGCTATTTTCATACATGACTGTGACTTACTTATGCGATATATACTGTACCTTCATTTATCATTTATACTGCTCTAGATCTTGTCACTAACTTGTGAAGACCACTTCCAATTCATTCTGTACTACACCCATCTCATGAGCAAAGAAGTATTGGCAAGAATCACAAACGGCTCGGTGAGAGGGTTCTTAGCATAGGCTTGGCCCCTGTACATCATCTAAACGGCGAGATGGCCGAGTTGGTTATGGCGTCAGGTTAAGGCTACCTTAACAGCAATTCCTGGTGGAGCAATCCGCGTGGGTTCGAGTCCCACTCTCGTCATTTTTTTGCTGCTCTGAATACCGGTAGAGCTAGAATTTTTACCTATAGCGAACTATCTTTTTCTTTTTCTTTGTCTTCTCCTCCAACATAGCGGTAATTCTTTTTGATAGTAGTAATATTCTTTTTTTTTTTTTTTTTTTTTTTTGGCTTGCCGAGGGAGAATTCAGAGCCTGCGGCAGTGATCGATACCAGTACAGCTGAAGAGCCCGTTCATATCGATACGGATAGTGGGGCCAATTTTTTCTCAAGATCTTGGAGCATCAAGCACGAGCAAATCTTTGTTCCTACGCAAGAGACGCAGAGCTGCCATTTCCCAAATATTTCGCCAACATGGCTCCCTTAGATGCGACTGGCGACCAGTTCGCCATTCTTCCCATTCAGATGCCTCCAGTTGCTTCATTCCTCGAGACAGCCATTCACGAAGTGCGGATACGAAGAAATGCGCCCAAGATCCCAACGGCGAATGATTCCCGCAGCCTCTTCCTGAAAAACATTCCTGCAGACAGCACAGAGCCTCATTTTCGGGCAATCTTCACCGATCTTGTCGGCGCCGGACGATTCGAGACGATAATTTTCGAAGACGATAACAGAGCTGCTGTGGCAATCGATCCTGCCCGAGCGACCAAGATTGCTGGATTTGCGCGTAAACGGAAGAGAGGAGACGTCGAGGATGAAGAGAGGGCGGAGGAAGAAGCTGCGCGACTACCAGATATCTGGACACGCCAACTGCATAGAAGCAGTAGCACGGCCGTTGTGCTGCTTGCTGACGACAAAAGCGTGCAACTCGTTCTCAAGGCGATTGCGAAACTTCAAAAGACCAAGAAATATCCTGTATGGGGCCAGAGCATCTCCGGGGACGTCCAGTCATTAGGCTCACCGTGGGTCTCTGCCCATTTACGACTCTGCCGCGCCAATAAGAAAGAGATACAAAATGCCACACACGCATTCTTCAACGTGTTCAACAGAAAAGAGAAGGAAGCCGCCGAACTCAGCAAGCGCCTGCGTAACGAGCCTGATGAAGATGGCTTCGTTACTGTTACTCGTGGTGGAAAGGTCAACCCGGCGAACCAGTTCGAGGCTGAGGAGGCTAGGCGCAAGATGGTCGAAAAGGCTGATAAGAAGAAGTCTGAGTTGACGGACTTTTACCGCTTCCAGCTGCGAGAGCGACGGAAGCAAGAGCAGGCGGACCTGCTGAAACGCTTCGAAGAGGACAAGAAGAAGGTCAATGCGATGAAAGAAAAGAGGGGAAAATTCAAGCCGGAGACATGATGCAGAAGGACCTCTCTCATACGGTCAATGAAGTGAAGTAAGTTGAGAATTCTCATTTTCTTTGGGGGGCTTTTGTTTTGTACGAAATACAAGCATGATGACGCACGCGGGGCCATCGAGAGGCTAGAAGACATCTCAGGCTTCGCCTGGGCTCGATTCCGGCCGATGTCGAAAACAACCGCGTAACCAAAATCTTCTCAATTTTTCTGAGGCTTGGAAAAACCGACGAGACGCTTTTTTCATCAATTAGTGTTGTGATGAAAATGGTATTAATGCCGTGTCTAGGAATACTTGGGCTTGTCGGCTCAACGAGGGCCTTGAATATTCGAATAGGAACGTCTCTATGGAGCAGACGCACAGTCTCGACATCACCTCCCAGATGGATTGCAGCTTCATTAATATTGCTCGTTCACCAACTCTACCGACTTCGTTGCAGCGAGTCATTAGAAAGCTATTTCGCAAGTTGAACGATACATACTACTGAAGCCGCTAGAAGATTTGACAATGAGGATATCGTGCCACGGGAATGTGGTCATATAATGATACCACCACTGTATATAAATATCAGGAGCATATATAATCTCAGCAAATATGAATTCAGTTACTTATGAGTACTCATCTACGTGCCCATGATGTCTGTGCCTTGTTAAAAAGTGATGGATGCAGCCATAACCCTTACCATGTGCAAAAAGGCGTACTTGTTTTATCAAGCCAATATTTTCCCCAAAATCATTGGAGAACGCTATTCTTGTAAATGACCATGGTTTTATCGCGTAGATGCGTGTAGTTTGTTTGGATGTATCTATGCTTAGTCATGCAAAGCTTATCAGGCGTTGTTTACTTCCTCCACACGGCAACCAAAACCTTGCGGTCGCATAGGGCCAATACAGAGCTCAGTCTGCCTGCAATCGAACGCTCGAGTTTGTGTTGAGGCATGGTAACAGGAGACTGACTGATTGCCTGATTTATCTTGCCATCTCGTACCTTGGCCGCTGCATCCAGTCAACATGATTGATGCGGAGAATCTGTGGACAGCTTCGCAGTACATCAACAACCAGCTGCTGTCAAGAGGATTGCTCCGCGATGGCCGCGACATCGATTTCAACGGCCTCGGGGAAGAGGAATACAGCACTGCAGAGACTGCAAGCCGCATCATCAGCATCTTGAATGACCTCATTATCCGACGAGATGTACGTTTCTGAGACACCATCACCAGGCCCAACAGAATGAGCCCCTCAAGCTAATACACCACCAGCGAGATGCGGAACAACGCGAATCCCTCTCGGTAGCGCTGCGCAGTCTTCGAGCGGAGAACTTGAAATACACAAGCGATATTGCGCGACTATCAGACAAGGCTGCCGAGGCCCAGCGCAGAAGCGACATCGCCACGGCATCCGAAGCTTCGCTCAAGACCCAGCTCAAGTCCGCAGAGTCGACCGTGCGAGGACTCAAAGATGAGCTGGCCCGCACAAAAGGATTAGTGGCGCAGGTACGAACCGCATGTGCAACCGAAGTCCGGAGGCGTGATCGACAAATCGAAAGCCTCAAGAAACAGGTCGGCGAGGCGGGTCGTGCGCGAGGAACAAGAACCAGCTCTGGAGTCGTGTCGATTACCGTGACGGGTGATGCGGGCAGTGAAAGCAGGAGATCGCTCACGCGCGGAGGAAACATGGAAGACGAAGATTATTCTTTGCGCAGCGAGACGAATTCTTTCCTTGCTAGCCTGGCGCAGAACTTGAGCGAAGAAAACGAGACTCTCTTGAATGTCGTGCGGCAGGCAAAAGATCGGCTGTGCGAGATGAGTGGATGGAATGGCCAAGTCAAGGAGGAATCTGAGGTTGTAAAGCCGCAAGGCTGGCAGGAGATGGCATCGGAGCTTGGCGCTGTGATGGAACACCTGAGAACAATCTTGACGAACCCATCCTTTGTGCCAATTGAAGAGGTCATGGTGCGAGAGGAAGAAATCGATCGTCTTAAAGCTGGCTGGATCAAGATGGAGAGCCGATGGGAAGATGCTGTTCATCTAATGGATGGATGGCGGAAGAGAATGGCTAAAACTGGTAAACCTATTGGGGAGGAAGATCTCAAGATGGGATTGCATTTGAGCCCGGTCCGCGTCTCCAATGTCGAGGAAACAAGAACCGGACGAGAACCTGGCCTACCAGTCGTAGCCGAAGAAAGCGAAGAAGAGGAGGAAGATGACGAGTTGAAGCAATCGCCTTGTCCCCCCAAAGGATCGTACCAGGTCATGGCTGATGTCGCAGAGGAAGACGAAGAAGAAGAAGACGATCTCGAAGAGGACATCTATGGTTATAGTAATGATGAATCAGGTGGCGGCCTTGATAACAACGATGAAGGTGATGTCGGTAACGAAGGTAACGACGACGTCGACGACGTTATGGAAATTGATGAAGAACCAAACAACCATGCCCCGGGAGCAGAAGAAGCTTCGAGGGCGGCCGATGATACAGAGTCAGATCAACCTCCCATACCGCCTCCTCACTTGGTCCCGCTTCAGCATTCTTCTTCAGCGGGCAACCGCGGTCCTCTGCAAAGTAGACATCGGCAAAAGCCCAGTGGCTCTATCATGCAGCAGACAACTGCATTCAACGGCGCCGAAGCCCCTAAAGTTACATCGAATCGAGTTGTAAAGCCACTAGGGACTTCCCAGAGGCAGCGGCTTGATGGCGCAAAGACAACCAGACCCGAAGAGCCGCCGCTTGTTGCATCGACGTCATCTCTAGATGAAGCTCTACTGTCAAACAACCGAGTAGAAGAACATCCGGCCTCTCGAAGCGGGCCTGCGGTCGGTGCCAGCTCCAACCCAGGAGGCATACGATCCAACCCACGCCGCATGCCCGTCCGTCTAGCACCAACACAGGCAAACAGAGTCTCACGGCCACAACTTGGCAGCTCACCATCCAAAGCTGCCATTGCCGCCAAGCTCGCCGCCTCGGAAAAGCAAGCTGATGCTGCGCGCGCAAAACTCCAAGCGCTGCGAGCTGCCAAGACTGCCCAAATACCTGCAGTGGCCTCTGCCACGGAGCTGTCGAGACCTTCGGCGGCGGCAAGAATAAACGCTTCGGTGGCCGGTCGGCCCAGGAGTGCCAGTCCGATAAAGCGAGAGGTTGCACAGCAAGAAGTGCAAAAACCCGAGAAACGCAAGAGGGATGTTCGGGTGGCCAAAGTCTCATCGAGACGGAGGAGCACGCTTAGTCCTTTTGAACTACAGGGTTTGATATCTGGCAATGTTGAATGAGCATGTGGTAGACATGGACGCGGGCGTTGAACAAGATTGGAGGATGGCATGGCTTTGGGATTTATGAATACTGCAACTATGACGGCTTTTATTTGGATAACACTTGTTCATACTGGTGTCTTGGAGCGGAGGAGCATTTTTTTTTTGCTTGGCGTTTGGGGGGGTTTCAAGATATTGCTATTTACTCACGATGGGATATATCATGAAGACTGATTGATTATTATGATACTTTGCTAGTCAAATGAATATGAATATGACCTTCATTATCTGTGCTAATTACCGCCTTCTTGAAATTTACCTCCCAACAATAAGAAAAAAAAAAGTAAGTCGAATTCAACTTTGAAGCTGCACTGACTGCTGTTACTTGCCCTTCTCAAACTTGCCCAAGACCCTTAAGCACCGAAACCACCGCTTCCCCTTCCGGAGAGCCAGGGAACGCATTAATGAGCGAGATTCCATATTCCAGAATGCCCATCGCATCGGTCAGAACCACAACTCCTTCATCCAAACGTGTCAAAACTGGTATATATTTCTCGCTCCAGTCGGCGTCGCGGAAACAGGCATCTTCAGGGGCAGCACCATCAATAGCAATGATGCAGAGCTCAGAGGTCTCTGGCGCAATGTCCATGCAGGAGCTCTGCTGCCAGAGATGTTCCATTAGGAATACGGATGATGCCTCTGGGATGTTTGGGCACGAGCTGATGGGCGCAAGATGAGAAGCGGTCCACAGCGTCAAGATTGCTCTCTGTACGGCTGTTGGCCACCACCAAGGGCGTGCTGCGTCTATGCCCACGGCACGTAAGTGTCGTAATGCCTGGCCGCAGTGAAAAATCGCGTCTTGGCGGTTGCGGAAGCATTCCTGGCTTTGGAGAAAGTGCTGCCAGCAGCCAATGTCGAGGGTCCCGGTCCCTGGGTCGGTGAGTTGCTCGATGCCCACTAAATTGGCTGCTAAGTTGAGGCATATGAAATGATAAAGGATCAGGCCAAGCCTAATATCATTTGCACATGTATCCTCCTCGTCATGATGTTCTGTGGCAAGCATATACCACGATTGTAAAAGCCTCTCCGTTTCTAGCACGCTGGAGGCAGCGATCCCCCCTAATGCTGCAGAGGAGGTGCCCTTTGCACACGAAAGTAGGCCTCGAGAGTGATACATCAAAGCTTGCAGCGGGTGAAGGAGAAGCTGAAGATGCCGTGGAGGCACTCTCTCCGACGGCGTGCCATGGATAAAGTCTTGGAACAATTGCTTCAATGTTTGACGGAACTCAAAGCTTGGTGGCTCCTCTGGGTTGATGGTATCTGAGCATGTCCCGCTGATCAAATATGAACAAGTATCTTGAATGATTGTTCTCGAATACCACGGAAATTTAGGATCGGGGAGAGGCCGTGCCACATCGGAAAGCGAAAGTGTCTGCTCGACATCGTGGAACAAGCTTAGTTCTTGATCTAATTTGACCCAATTATAAGCTAATCTGTATAAAAAAAGGTTAGAAAAAGACGTTACGAAGCTGTATCCAGAAGAGACATGCCTCTCATTACTTGGATGTTGACTATCCAGATCCAACTGCGGATGAAGTGGTATTGATTCATCTACATTCATGTTCTGCTTGAGGCCGTCAAATAGTCTTTTTCGCTTCAGCCTTCTTATCCAAATTCTTGCCAAATGTAAACCTGGGACTTCTGATGAGTACGGTGGGTTAACGGTACTGCTGGCATCGAGCAAGGCATCGCAAAAGCCGCCTTGAAAGCCGGCTGTGTTTTTGCCAACGTGTTGTAGAATGTCGGTAAAGCCTCCATAAATCTTTGGCTCTTTGAAGGAGTGCATGTCCGGGAATGGAGTTGGCTTGTTAGAGCTGCTATCTGTATTCTCTAGACAGCATCGAAAGCCGTTGTGTAGGCCTATCGACGCGTCGTCGATGAGCTCCATCTTTGTAGAGAACTCTGAAAATCCGACATGTGTAGGTGAGTTCTGTCCATGTTCGAAGGCGTTTACATCTGAGTAGGATGAACTGCCCAAAGATGTAGCGGTGGCAGAGTAACCGGACAAGGGCGAAATAGGGTTGACAAAGGCGTTTTGGAAATAGTCGTCATACTGATTGGGACCTCCATGGAGGTGCTGTATCGGACTTTGGAGGAGAATAGTCTCAGAGCTATTTTCAACGGTCGATGTGAAGAGGGTATTTGTTGACAAAGACGACGCTGCTTGTGCTGCCGTTCGCTGCGCAACTTTGGATGCTCGGCGGGCGTATCGTGTGATGCAGTGGAGATTCTTTTCGAGACATCTCGAGCATGGGAACTTTTTATCGCAGCCAGTTTTGGCGCTCGCGCAGTTTTGACAAGCGATGAGCGATCGTCCAGATATACAAGAGTGACTAAAAGGCCCAGACGGTGGCTCGACGTGGCCTTTTGATCTGTGAAGCTTCATTATATAGTTGGTTTGGTATAAGGCCGGCAGAATGGAAGATGGCAGCAGTAGCCCGTCGAAAATAGCTTCTAGTTGGTCTATAGTAGCGCTGACGGCAGCGATGATGTGTATAATACTAGGTAGCAAATGTCTTGCAAGTCTTGCTGATTTCTCTCTCTCTATTAGGTGAGTAGGGCACGATGAAATGCGCATGTAGAATGAAGGATTCTGATACCTGCTTACGAAGCCAGGATGACGATATCAGGAAACCCAACTGTCCGAGGTGTTTGCTGGCTTAGATTGGCGATATCACCCAAGCGACTCGCCAGGAACACTGATAGTAGCCAAGAGTCTTGTTAAACCGATTAAAGAAGGTGCCGCGAGGAAACTGCCGCTGTAAGCAGCTATTAGATAAAGGAGGATGCTTTTTGTGGACAACGAGCTTTACTTGTGTTGCGCATGCGTCCTTACCATAGGTGCGCTACTCATCCTGTGAAAAAAGTTTGATAATTGACTAGAGAAGATTCGGTAAAAGCATCATGTCAACGTGAAACCGCAGTAAAGGACGTCTTTTGCAATAGAAGGTGGAATGAATTGGCATAATCAAAGAGCGTGTTCCGAAACTATTGGAAGACTGCTGGATCACGAAAGTCTGAACATTCCGTTGCCTTGTTTTTTATAAAAGACAAAGTAACCATCGGCTAAAAATGCAATAATAAAAACAGTCGAGCTTATAAGCAGCCGCAGATGTTGCGTCTCTGCCAAATCAGGATGAGACTCGTTGGCTACAAGAATTCCAAGGTCGATCAGACTTGCCAAGAGTATCGCCCCCCTGAGGCCCAAGGAAGGAGTGTTCAAGGTGTTTGCAAATTGAATAATCATTGGTACTGGTGGCGAGGCTTTGACTTGGTGCATATTAGCTGCGTCATTACCATTGCTCATTGCGTTGCTCGCTTTGTAAGGGGTAAAGCCTAGGAAGTACCGTTCAGTGTTCTTTTGCTTGAACAGTTGGTCGAGATGAGATACAGCGACAAGTCTCCACTTGGCTTTGAACACACTCTTTAGAATCTCACATCCAGGTATCATCTTGTTCAAAAGTGCAGGATTGCATGTGAAACAAGCCGGAGAGAGGAAATGAAACGAGGGTTGGTTTTCTGCTGATACTGGCAGCCTTTCTTCTGGAACGGGGTCCTCCATGATTGACCGCCAATATGGGACAGCGAATAGCTCATGGGATGTGTTGAAGCGAGAATGAAGTCGGATTCTCTTTCATTAGCCATTTCGAATGATGCTAACTTCCATTACATATCGCCTTGTTTTTGGCCAGCTCGTTTTCGACATGTCCTGTTTGGTGATGATCTGATGGGAGCCAAATATTCTTCATGATGATATTGAACACCATTTGGCTTGTGCGAAATATGTTACATCTGCTATTGTGAAGAGGGTGTCCTCATATGCAAGCCACACAGCTAGGTTTGATCTTTTGAGAGCCCTCGCTTTGCTAATGCTGCAGTCCCAAGCGCAATACACGAGGTGGTTGCTTTAGCCTTCAACGACTGTCTCACATATATATCCCGTATAGTCGAGTGGCTACCGTTGTGAAACTGTGTAACGGTATGTTATACGTGTTCTGGCTGACGTGTGGTGCGAAATTGGAGCTGAGTATATAAGACCACGCGGATCGTTGACCTAGCGGCTGGCTAGTCCCTGGTGTAGCATCTTGGTCGAGTGTCCTGCGGCTCGCGATTCGCCTGGCTTTGGAAGCGGTGGGCGCAGTGATGAGCCAGCCGAGTTTTGAGCTGCGTGCTCAAACGTGGAGGCGTTGGTCTTGTTGTTGCACAATCCATGCAACGAAGTTTGGGCTTTGATAGATGGTCATGATCGAGACAGTCGAGAATGACGGGCGATGTGTTGCTTCAACTCGAATGTTAAGCTCAGCTTGGTCATGAATGGCTTCGTCATGGAAAGCTCAAGCACAAATAAATTCCTCATGTTTGAAAACATGACTGAGGCGGTTCATCATAGGCTGATCCCATGATGGAACTGGGCGCCACAAGCATCTGTAAGTCGTGTGACGTACAGGTCGAGATGGAACGGATGAGCTATCCAAAGATCCGAGCCCTCGCGCGGTTTCACAAGGGAAAATAACATAGGATCGTTGAAGGTTAGCACAGAGAGAAATGCTGAAGATGGAAGATGCATTACATGGTTTTTGAGTTATCCATGTTATACTAGAAGCAGGAGAGGCAGACTCGCAGATGATTGGACTCTGCGCCTCAGTTAGAGGCTGTCGGTGGTGGAAAATGGGCCATGAGGCATGGAATTATTTATCGTCAAGTTTTGCAAAGTCTGCGAGAGATGTAGGCAGATATGAAAGAGACGAAGTTTTCTATTTCCTTGTTAAGATGACGACAAGCACGTGGTGATTCAAAATTACTCGATCGGAAAGTGCAGCCGAGCACGTAGAACCCCCACTGGTATCTCCTAGGCGTTACAATCAATGCTAATCTACTAGCACTAGGCATATAAGCTTCAATCTGCCATGGCCACGTATAGTTATTTTTTATAGAGCAAACATGTCTGTTTTGCATCTCAATGAATATCCAATTCCAGGCCCTATCTATATTAGGCGATGCTGGTAATAAAACTGTAATAACGCGAAAAGACGGAGGGTACATGTAACCTTGGCAGCAGCAGCTGACAAGCGGGCAGCTCCAAAATGCTCCCAAATGCCCCAAAATGCCCCAGAATGCGACGCTGATGCGATAAGCTCACAGCTGACCTGGCCGCCCGCCTAGCCACATCCGGCCTCCGTCGGTCTCTCACAGCCTCACTCCTGAACACCAACCACCAACAAACCTCCCCGCAGGACCAAGAAGCGCAGCCTCGTTGCATCATGAAGCCCGTCATTGCCGTGCCGGCGGTTGCGGCCCTTGTGTACAGGGCCTGGAGCAAGAAGTCGCTGACGCCAGCAGGCATCGCTGCCGCCACGGCCACCGCTATTGCGCATGCCTACCACCCGTGGAATCTTCCATTTGTGCTTCTGGTCGTCTTCTTTTTGGCGGGCACGCGAGTCACACACGTGAGTTGAAGAACATGACCATCTATCGCTACAGCTATATATATATATGTATATATATAAAAGGAAAAGAAACAGAGGCTAACGATGGCATCAGGTCAAGGAAAACGTCAAGGCCACGCTCACGCTGAGTGCAAAGGGAGCCTCCGGCGGCGAAGGCCCTCGTACGCATGTTCAAGGTATGTTGGCGGCTGTTGCTTACGGCTGAAGCTCTAGCTGTCCAAACAAAAGCTGACTCCATCAAGTCTTTGCCAATTCGCTCGTGGCATCCATCTTGTCTGTTCTCCATGCCAACCAGCTCTACGCTCGAGCTGCTGCCCTCAAAAGCCCAGGTGGCCCGGAACCCAGCGGATCAATGTGCTTCTCATGGGGAGGCGATCTCTTTGTCATCGGCATCATCGCAAACTATGCTGCGGTTGCGGCCGACACGTTCAGTTCGGAGCTGGGCATCCTGTCCAAGAGTGAACCCCGCCTCATCACATCCCTTACGCTGCGAAAGGTGCCCCGCGGCACAAACGGCGGTGTGACGCTGTTGGGTTTAGGAGCTGGGCTGTTGGGATCCATCGTCATCGTTACGGCTTCCATGCTATTCCTACCAATGTGCAACGAAGAATCTGCTGCCTGGACTCGTGGAGGTGGGATTCCTTGGACGACGGAAAATAGACGGCTACTCATGGGCTTTTTGGTCTTGTGGGGCCTTCTTGGTAGCGTCTTGGACAGCTATCTGGGTGCCATATTTCAGCGCTCAGTCAAGGATGTGCGTTCTGGAAAGATTGTCGAAGGTGATGGCGGCATTCGCGTCCTGGTCTCCGGCGAGGCCGATGGCTCAGATAAGCGCGCCGATATCAAAGCCTCTTTACTGCACGGCGAGGGCAGCAAAGCTACAGAAAAGGCAGGTTCGGCAGCTGTTGATGAGTCTGATGAGTTTGTCGACAAATTCGATCCCAAGAACAAGCACAGAAAGCCTAGCTTTGGGGATGAGAAGCCTTCTCGCATAGTTGAAAATGGCTGGGATCTGCTTGACAACAACGACGTCAATTTTCTCATGGCTGTCACTATGAGCATGAGTGCGATGGGGGCCGCGAGTTGGTACTGGGGAATTCCCTGGCAAAGTATGCTGACTCCTTGAGATGGAGATGTTGGAGACATTGCCAGCAGATAAAAAAGGAGACGAAAGGAATGAGCTCTATATGAAGGCAGCCAACATAGTGCTGACGATTAAACAATTGTGCAATATATTGGTGTATGGGCCGATGGGCAAATGGTGAACTACAGACGTCAGAACCAAGAGATTGAGTGTAATAACTTGCAGCTTTTAGCTGTGGTGACAAGTTACAATCCGACCCGTAGTCTAGGCAGAGAATATGGCATCTTCATCGGCCTCACATACACTTTTAGAACTCACGCTGATTTAGCTGCTTGAATTCGTGTACCAGAATCATGACCACAATGATGCAAATGAAGCCACGAGATCTCTTTTGCCATATGAATTGTACCATCACTAGACATTATGAATACTCAAGAAATATCACCTCCTTGCTTTCAAGAGCAACAAACGGAATGTGAATGATGTGTAGGATGACATTTGACAGCTCCTATGCTCATATACAGCTTGCAAGAACCGGCAAGATGACCATATTCCCGTTTGGCATACAAACTCTCCAGCTTCGAAAACGAACCTCCAAAGCAAACGCTTCTCCTTTCCATCAGCTCTCTTACAACTCATCTCAAACAAACATTTCCTCAAAAAGCGACAATGTGTACCGATACCAGCTGCATGGCCCAACCACTCATTTTAATCCTTCGTCGAAATCACTTGCGCCCAGCCCTTCACGTCAATCTGCCAGCTGGCGAGGCGCTCTAGATGCACCCGCCGAACCCCCAACATGCATTGCCTTGAATTCGTTTGCACTTTTTGGATGAATTTGGAATAGATAAGAGAAGAAAATTTTTATGCCACTTTTTTTTCCCCTTCTGCCAACACTCTTTTGCTTCCATCTCAACCCCCTTTTCTTTCTTTTTTTTTTTTTTCCTTTTCTTCTATCTCTTCTTGAGCTCAAGCAAATCTGTCAAGGGAAACATCTCCGTCGACAAGCAGACTCTCATTTTTGGTCCAAAAAAGAAAAGAAAAAAGTCAAAAAAAGCTCCTAATTTTTTTTTTTTTGTTAATTCTTGGATCAGAACAATGCCTCCTTCTCTCGCCGTCTCAATGGAAGACGCTCAATTTGCTCGCGACATCGCATCGGGAGTCTACACCATCGACCTCCCGTCCGCCCAGGCAGCTATCCCTGGCGGTCTTGAGTCTCCAGCTACTTCTTTTGCCGGCAGTGAAGAGACCAAGGTTGTTGAGGCGCCCATTGTTGCCGACGGTGGCAGTAGCAGCAACATTCCAGATGGCGGTTTCCGAGCTTGGCTTGTCGTGGTGGGTGGATTCTTGGACTTTGCTATTGCTTTTGGTAAGTTTGCTACTGATCTTTTCTCTCTCTCTCTCAATTGCACATTGGGGGCTAATATCCATTACATAGGACTTGTAAACTCTTTTGGCACTTTTCAGGCTCGCTACGAAACTCAATGGACTTGGCTTTCCACATCCACAATCACTTGGATTGGCAGCGTTCAGGTATGCATCAACAACAAGAAAACGATTGCGATTGGGATATACTAACTTGTTGCCATTCTCCGCAAATAGCTCTTCATTCTCTTCCTCGGGGGTGCCGTCGTCGGCCCCATCTTTGACAAGTACGGTTCTCGAGCTCTCATGTTTTCCGGCACCGCAGTGTGTCTCCTCTCTTTCATTTGCTCTAGCTTTGCTACTCGCTACTATCAATATCTGCTATCTCAAGGCATTCTTCTCGGTATCGGCAACGCTTTGCTGTGAGTTTTTCTTCTCCTCCTTCTTCTACTTGATGGCAACATCAATAGAGTCAAACAGACTACAAACCTTTGCTAACCTCTTCTTTCCACCTACACAGTTTCTATCCTGCAACCGGAGCCATCTCCGAATGGTTCAACCACAAAAGAGGCCTCGCCCTCGGCATCGCCCTCTCAGGCTCCTCCGTCGGCGGCATCTTCTGGCCCCTCATCATCAACAAGCTCTTCGCCGTCCTATCCGCCCCCTGGGTCCACCGGATCATCGCCCTCATCTCCGTCCCCATCCTCCTCATATCTTGCTTCCTCGTCAGGGAGCGCACCGCCGCCGCCGGCCAGGACACCGAGGGCCACCACACAAAATCCTCCTCCGAGGGCAGCGTCCGCCACGCCGTCTTTGAGTGGCGCTTCTTCGCCCTCTGCCTGTCCCTCTTCTTCATCTACGGCGGCATGCTCATTCCCTTTTACTTCATTCCCCTGTTTGCCATCCAGCACGGCGTGGGGTCCACCATGGCCAACAGCCTCCTCGCCATTGGATACGCCGGTTCTTTCGTCGGCCGTGTGGGGAGCGGCTGGATCGCGGACCGCTTCGGCCGGTGAGTTTCCCCACTTTGCTCCCGGGACGGGGGACGACAGCCGCTCTTAATCTTTTTGTATGTGATTCGCTAACCGAGAAACCTCACGTCAGATTTAATGTTTTATTTGTAATGGGCGTCTTGACAGCCGGAATCACCTTTTGCTGGGCAGCCATGACGACTCTGGGCTCGATGATTGCCTTCACCCTCTTATTCGGACTCTTCTCCGGGGGCCTCATCCCTCTCGGATCCGCCTGCGTCGCGCAAACCACTCCCGACATGGGCCACATCGGCCTCCGAATTGGTTTCATGATGGCTTTTGCTTCCTTCAGCGCCTTATCCGGCGGACCGGCCAGCGGCGCCATAAAGGACGCGACCACCACCTGGCTCTCCGTCCAAACTTTCTCTGCATCCCTTACTCTCTTGGGAGCGCTGATGGTCTTTGGACTGCGCCTTTGGCTGCAGCCTTTACGAAAGGGAAGTGTGTTCTGATTTTGATTGATTGGCTGAAACGCTATACTCGAGTCTGTCAGACCTGCATGCAACATTTCTTTTTGGCCATAATCGACTCTTAATCTTTGAGTATATGAGATGACTACATGGTACAAGCGTTAGACTGCATAGAATTCGGCGCACTAATTTTATTTTCCGTTATACGTGTATACTGGACAGAAAATGGCGATAGAATCAAGGGGCTGGACTCGGTATATAAGACGAGAAAGATACAGGACGAAAATGATTCCAAGTTAAATAGATGACACTCATTACTAGTCATGTGAACTATCACTTTTGACAATTATTTTTTATTAACATGATGTCGCTACTGTTAGACCCAAGGTCGTGTGGAAACACAAAATATAGAATGATTGCAAGCTCATATAGGTACTATACAGTCTTTAGACAAGCCACACATGAAAGCCTAGCCCGTCTCATCTCGCCAAACTTGTCACCACCAAACAAACAAGCAGACAGTAGTATAAGAAGACTTTAAGATAAAGTCAAAAAGGTATTGAAAATTCCAATTCTAACAAGTAATCCGCTCCGTATTCCAAAGTCGAAAACAGAAAAGAAGAGAAGAGATTTTGAGAACAAAAAAGAAGAGAAAAAAAGCTCCTAACAAGCACGGTTCCCAGTTGCTGCATGCTAGAACTAACAAAGAGGCAAAGAAGAAAGAATAGCGATAACCACGTGAGTCAACTATGTAGTAGGTATGGTGCCTGGCTACTTCTTTCTACCCTTTGCCCCTCTTGGAGGGGGTGAGTAGTCTTGTATGAAATGTGCGTCCTCCAAGCATTCGGTAACAACCGGGTTGGTAAAGACGTGATGCTGGAGCCCAGCCTTGAAAATGACTCTCATGAGGTTTGTTCTGAAATAGAGAGACCAAGTGTCGATCTTGGCAACGTGGTTACCAAGCCTCAGCTTGCACCGATAACCGTACTCTGCCTGACCATCATCGGTGCGTTGCGCGACAGGGACATGTTCGCCCTTTTCGGGAACGTATATAGCAGTAGAATAGAAAGGGCCAACGCCCCTCTCGAGAGAAGTTACCACGCTAAGCAGGTTCTCTCGTAAGCTCCGGCGGTGCTTTCTCGACACTGATTTAGCACTCAGTTTAGCCAGTTCGCTCAGACGACCGGCTAGTCTTTGCGGATCGTACTGGAGCTGAAATGGCTCGCCTGTCTCTTCAACGTGATGCCGTGATGCCTCAAAGACAAGGGCAATGCAGCCACCAGCATTGGACAGGATATCAACGTCATCGCTGTCCAGCTGATCTACAAACGCATCCATGGCTGTATCGGCATAGTCAGAAAAGTCAGCCACATGGCCGGCAACGAAACACCAGCCTTGAAGAGCGGCTGCAACAATCTCGACATTGTCATGGGCCTCGATTGACTCTCCATCGGTTCGCACAATCTCAACAAAAAACTCCATCACCTCCAGGGCGGCCTCTTCTAGGCCACCACCGTATAAGACTGTCATACAGAGCGCGTAGATTGCATAGATGCGGCAGTCATCGTCGTCGTCATCCATCATTACTTGCTTGAGTATCCTCTGCGCTCCATCAAAGATCTCTAGAGATCCGACCGTTCCGACCGTGAGAGCAAAAGCATGTAGACTCAAGAGGCGTTCCTTGGCTGTGGCCGCACGATTTGAGTCGTGAAGGAAAAGTTCTGCCAGCTCATTTGCAGCATCGTCTAGCCAAAGATGAGTTTCGGCGGTATAATGGTTGCGAACTGCCTTGATGTAGGCATTCAGGAAATATTCTCGCATCTCGCTGTTATTGCGTTTTCGATCTCGGAGGCCGTCAATAAGAGCTCTTGTATCGAAAACTGGAGCATGCGGCTCGTCGCCATTTTCGTCGACAGACTCGCCGGAGTAGACGCTTGATGCCATGTCGTCTAATTCAAAATCGCCGTCATCATCGCTGACGTCGGAAGTGACGCGGCTGTGCGCTGCGGAATGGGTGGGCGACGTCAATAGCGATGGAAGAGGAGAGCTTCGCGGCGTTGCGCTTCCTGATGCACGGCCGGATTTAATGGCCTTTTTGGAGACGGTCTTTCCATTGCCCTTGAGGGCCTTGACTCGAGCGTGGTTCATCATCTTGAGAACTCGCTGTAGTACTGTATGATAAGTAGATGAAGTAAAGAGAGAGACTAGTTTTGCTGGACTGTCGGAAATTTGGCTGTGCAAATTTTGAGTTTGAGGATGGAATTGATGAGGCTGCGCCGAATCTTCTAATCGATGGGAATGGAGTAGGGAGAAAGGATAGAATCCAACGTCCCACTGTTCCACTTCTGTAGCCCTTGGTGACCAGCCTTTTGCTCTCCCCTGCGCTTCGGTGGGATTAGTGAAAGCACAGGCGGCGTCACGTCAGTTTTCGCTTGCTTCTGTCGGATCGCAGGTTGCTTGCGAGTGCTTCGGATGCTAGTCTGGTGAGGGTATCGAGAAGTAGACCGTCCATGGGAATCCTGGGCAAGCGTCGAGATGAGATGCAGAGCAAGTTGGAGGCAGAACAGCGAGAGCAAGGCGTAAATACGAGGCGTGAAACGATGTCAAGGACGAGAATAGCGCAGGTGAGGCGAAGGCGAGGGAGAGAAACAGGGAAGATTTAAGAACGGAGCTGAGTGGCTCGGTGGCGTTAGGTTTGTGCGTTGCGCCTGCCCGGCATGACCGTCCCGCGAGAGCTCCATGTCGCCGCTACCTGCAATGGGCGTGAGATGCTGCGCGCTAGGCTGGTCGGGGCATGTAGCCGGTACATGCTTAGGGCAATGACCAGATGCCCTCGATCGGCAGACATGTGAGAGCTGCAGGAGCTGGACAGAGTGGGACGAGAGATGGGCCTCCCTGGGTGGTGTATTAGCAATTACAGGCAACATGTATGACTCTACTGGAGCGCTTCATCTCCGGATATACAATGCGGACTCGGGGGCCTTCAACAGGTACCAGGAGCTACAAACAATATACTTTCCGGGAAAAGGGAAAAATTGTTTGTTCGATGCCCATTTTCCCTTTTGGCTCTGCTCTCTACGCGCTCTTTGGGCTCGCTTCGGCCTCAATGTGCGATAATGCAAACAATGGCAAACACAGTGACGACAAATTGATGGTATGGAGGGAATCTGTACCTCTGTGCACGTCCCGCGGGCATCTCGAGCTACTCCGCAAAAGACGCAACATCCCTGCTGGTCATGCGTCATATGCTGTAGCCACTTTACGCGCCAGGACGGGCTTCAACAAAGCCGGTTTCTCAGTGCCAACTCCATGATGGGTACGAGCTGACTTGACTGTGATGACTTGGCTGCGTACGTTTAATTTGCTGCATCGCTTGCTTCGGTGAACGCTCCAACAAGAGTCCTTCTTCGCCTGCTTTGGCTTACACCACACACCCACGGACACTTCCACGTGCTGCCACGCTGATTTGTGACGAGGCCGATTAGAGCTTGAAGCTACACCAACGATACATGCGCTAGGCGTGATGCAAGGGTGGTGGGGCATGTCTCGCGACTTTGGGCTTCGGGTCAGCAGAGCTGGTGTCGAATATTGAATGCTTTATTCATGAACGGGCAGATGGCGAGGGATTTTCCAGTTGCACAAGAGCCGCAGAGCCTGCGGCGGCGAGTTTGCTCCGCATAGAAGAGGTACATGTGCTCTACATATTAACTCGCATCACTACCTACCGTAGCCTGTGAAGAATGATGCTCGCCATTGAATTTAGCCGGCAAACAGCGCTGTACGGCCTGGGGGCCGTCGCAGCAGACAGACCCTGGCAAACAACTCACCTAGTCAGGTGCTCGTACGGACAGACAATATAAATATAGACAGAGCCAGTAGTGCTGTGGACCGCGGACCCTAGCCGAGGACCCTTGTTGGATTAGGACCTCCCGAATATCGATGCAGAGCCATGACAATAGGTCATCGAGCTTGGCTTAGGACCTTTTTGCTAGAGCCCCAATACATCATTTCACAGCTCTTGTACTTGCGCTGTTGGTGGTGCTGGGCGCAACGCCACTCGTCCACCTGGCAAGTCGCCTGCCGGGTCTGCAGGCTGCTTCGACAAATCCTACTTTAGGCTATCATGCAGCTCTTCAACAGCTCCATCTGTGCCGTCTGTAATGCTGCATTGCGGTTCGTGCTCATTTTATATTGGTGCCCTCTGCTCTGCTCTGCGCTGCGCTTCGGTGACGGCGGCTACGTCGCAAATACTCGTCAACGTGCAAATGTACGACGGCAGTGACATACTCGCGCCCCACTCAAGCTCCGATAAGCCCCGCGGTGGGCTTATCGCTGCCCGCTTCTGCCTGGGGCTGCCTAGGCTGCCTGCCGCTCGACCACTCAGGCGCTGAAACACCACTGCTGCCAGGCGCTATGCAGCTGCTCCCGTCCCCTGTTATGGGCTATGGGCTATGGGCACTGGTAGCGGCCGCGGCGGACCTGGTGTCAGAACCACAGGTACCTTACATGTATGCTGCATCGGCCGGCCTGGTACTGCTTATGTCTCCCTGGGACGCTGCAGAGCGTCAGACGGACGAGCAGACAAACCGCTCCCTGAATTCCCCTCGACTCAGCGCCCAAACAGCCTCCAAGCCCGCTGTCCGGCCGCTGCCGATACAACGGGTCGAGGTACGCACAGCAAGACAGCCTGTACCTGCTGGGTACCTGCTCCGGGCTGCCCTTGGACCTTTGGCACCATCCGCTGCACCCAGCAGAGCATTAAACTCCCGTAGTGAGGACTCGAGCCCCACCTCATCCTTCACTTGAAGCCTCGACTGCCTCCCCTCCTGTCCCAATAACTTCACTCAGCCACCCACGTCCTATTTCCCGTCTCCTCTTCTCCTTTATCTTGTGCCATCGCCTTCTTCTTTTCCGCTGGTTGGAACCTTTAGTGCTTGCTTCTTCTTTCTTCTCCGCCTGGTTGGATGTGTCCATCTGCCAAAGGGAGCAGAAGCAGACCGGAAATCACCATTTGTACGGATATCAACAGCTTGGGCCAGCTCAGGAAGCCAACATCCAGATTGATCGAGAATCGTGACCACATCGCATCTATCCCTTGACTCGGATCGGATTCGCCCACATCAGCATACATCGCAGAAGCATACGCCAATCTAAACTTGGACCACCATGGCACAATCAGTCTATCGTGACGAAGGTACGTCACATTCCTCCTTGGATGCGCCGCAGCGCTCCATCGTTTCAAAGTCTGACTTGAATGCAGCTCTGGTTCGCTTAACGGTTGTTAACCCAAGCCCTGATTTTGCGTTTCCAACACGCAACCTGTTGCTCAGAAAGTCAAATACTACAATCCCGCTGGGGCGCATGAGTAAAAAGAACGGCGTGTACGCTGCCCGAGAGGATAATGGCTGGATCGACTCTGCCGTCATGTCCAGAGATCATGCCAAGCTCATCTTCGATCCGCAGTCCCATGTAGGCTCCTTTCTCTTGCTCTTTTTAGACTGCGAATCTGTTCCCGGCTAATTCATATGCAGAGCGTCTTCATCAAGGATATCGGCTCTCTCCACGGCACATTCTTCAACAATACCCGTTTGAAAAAGCACCAAGCTCAAGTGATTAAGGATGGGGATCTCATTCAGTTTGGCATTCCCATAGATCGGGGATCGGAAACCAACCCAGCCTGCATCATGCGAACCGGAATTCAGTTTGGCTCACTTAGGTATGTAACCAGCCTATCATCATGTTTTCGCTCTCTTCAACGACCTCTTCTAATATGCCAGTAGCTCCGTTCAGGGCCCAACCGTTTTCCGAGTACCAGACGATAGCGATGATGAGGCTTACTCCGAAGAAGATGATGCTATTCGGAGCTCCTCTAAAATACTGCACGATCATGGTATACGCCCAGATCCCAACTTCATGGTTTCGGACAATGCTGTCATCACCATTGAATCTGACCATGAGATGGACTCATCTGAGCCTGAACATGAAGATCATCCTTCATCTCCCAGGTCTGACCAAGATCAACTGAGGATGAAAATTCTGGAATCGGCGCCTCCTCTGGACGAAGACGCTCTTTTCTACGGAGACGATTACGAAGAAAGTTACATGTCGGAAGACAACGATGGTAAACCTTTTCATTATGCTGCCTTCCCAAATTCTACAGAGTGCAGCACAGCTAACGAAACGCTTTCCAAGATCGCTCGACTTGCTCTCTTGATCAAACCCTACGCCGCAGTTTCTTAGGCGACGACCACACCGCAGCTCACGTCGAGGCCACTGTAATCCATGAGGCCGAAATTGTGGATAGATTCGAAAACGACTGTCTTCCACCCATCCTCTCAGCATCAAGCGCAGCCGCGGCACCGAATGATTCTGCTGAAGGTGTACATCTACCCTCATTCAACGATACTTTCCGGTCCCAGGAAATCTCTATGAGTCACAACAATACAGCCACCGATATCAACAATGATGCGGCTTCCATGGAGCTTCCGTCAGACGTTCAGCCTCCACTGGCTCCTGAGTTTGTTGAACCTAAATTTTGGCCAGAGGATGTTGCTCTCAACCGAGCAACCGCATCCAGTCTTCTCCTAGATTCGGGTGCTGATTTTCTCAATTCTCCCCTCAAAGAGCATCCTAGGCTACAGAATGCCACCCCTCCTCTAGATCTCGACGAGACTTCTGCCTATCAGTTTGAAGTCACGAAAAATGCAATTACCCAGCAGCAGCAGCAGCAACAACAACAAGCTTTGGCTACTGCTCCGGAGACGGGCGCTGGCCAGCCCCTAGATCAGCAAGAGAAATCCTCTCATGGCAAGCGCAAAGCTGAAGAGATATCAGACCTGACCGCCGAGGAAATTCCTTTTGCTGAACGAGATGCATCTCAAGCACCATCTTCACTTAACCCTGAGGCTCGTGATGACTCTGCAATGGACATTGACGACCATCACTCTGGACCTAGCGAGCCACACGCAAAGCGGCTGCGCAGAGCTGCAGAAATCTTTGGATATGCGGCAATTGGAGGAGTTGCTGTTATGTCTGCTCTGATTGCAACCGCTCCAACTCTATAGATATTGCGGGCTCTTTTCCAAAGAGTCTTCTCAAGGATGCTCTTTTGTGTGCAGCTGTCGATCGACGTTGATCATTTCTCTCTCCTTTCTATCTTCCCTCTTCTCTGTTTTTTTTTTTTTTCTTCTTCTATTCTTCCTTTGTGTTAAATGATCATTTCCTTTTTTTCCCCCTTTATTATATGAAGAGAGACTCCGATGTCCGGACTTTACTTCCCAGTCTCTTACTGTTGGCGCCTCGGTATTTCATGAATTTGCGAGCTGCTTGAGATTGGCAGCCATCAATTGTTATCGGCGTCAGATGCTGATTTTCAGCTTTGGCCATCGATTTCTAACGAGGCGACTCTCTCCAATGTGACAGCTTTCTGACGGTTTATTTTTCATGTACTTGTTGTTCTTTATCTATGAAACGCTATGGTTACGAATTCCTTAATCTGTCGTCTTATTAGGGGGTCTCTGTTTATTTATTATGTATTAGGGCTATAAAGAGAAAATAAATCTTTACCCAAGAAGGGAAGCCAATAAATTGAAATCAATTGTTCTACATACCCACTACTTGATCTTGGTTCTTATCTTAACGTGACATTATTCCTGTGATCTGCACCTAGCTTGTCTTCACCGACCTTTTTATCAACTTTGTCTACAAATCCTGTATTACTTACCTACCTTCGCTTCGCCTAGGCGCCCATGCCTAGATGCAGCCACCGTATCAACGTGCTACTGACCGCAGAGAAACAGAAAGCAACCTTGACCCCGAATGCTTCACAAGCTCAACGCCTCATGGCCAATCACGTCCTCGCTACGGGGATATTTTCGTCAGCGCCGTAATACCAGTGGTACGTCCAAAGGGGGGGCTTTTGGACGTTACAGTCTTGAATCACGCGTTCTTGTCTCTCCTCTGTTTGCCAAGAAGGCTTGGCTATCTACTCGGTGCACCTTGTGCTATCGAAACAAAACTTTGCTCGTGTAAATGGCTGGTTGAAGGGGTGTATATCTGTTTGTGAGTAATTTACAAGTGAAAACAAAATGTGTGTATATATTCGCTTTTCATTCTTCTAAAGGGGTTTTAATTGCGTGATAAATGCAGTATCATCACATCACATGCGTGTAGTATTTATAAAGGAGGTAACAGCAGTGATGTCTTTCACTCTCATGAGGACCGGATGACTCCAGTAGGTTAATGGGCAAGCCATGGCGATGAAAGCTTCTTTTTTTTTCCTTTTTCCAGTTCTTAGAACCTGCAGAGATCCATTATCAAAGCAGTAAGAAAAGATTGAAAAGTTCTCGGGCAAGTTCCAGCAAATCGAGTGGCTCATTATAGTTGCTCTCCTATTGTATACATTCCATGTGTACTTGTTACACATTTTCCGACGACGCTTACCCGCAGATTGTTAATTTCGCGGCTGTCAAACGGGACGGGAGTTTGAGTCACCGCTTGTCTGGAAGAATGAGAGCAAAAGGGTTGAGTGAGAGAAAGGGGTGTATCCTCGGATAGCTTCGTGTGACACAAGTGAAAGAGACCCAGTGGCTGCTTCTTTGGGGGCCTCGACTATTTGCGTAAACCGGTTTTTTTCTACCTTGCTTACTTATAGTTCCTTGTAGAGGAAAGGGCATTACTCGAATCAAGCTGCTTTTGGTTCTTCTCTACTGCCTCTTTCCCTCAATTCAGGTCACTTTCTTAGCGGACCAAGCAGCCGCGTGTCAGAGAAGTAGATCCGAAAATGGCGTCTTTCCACACCACATGATGGGCGTACAAGTTAAATGAGGAAAAACCGGTGAGCAGCCGAAGAGCTGTGCTGCGACAGGGTCAGGATGGAAAGCAAGACATTTGATTTGGCGGAGAGCGGCAACGGGCCCCCACGTGGCGGGCCGAAGAAAGGGTTTCGGGATGGCTATCTGCATCGGCTGATTCCTAATGCAGCTTTCCTTGAGTCGATCATTGAAGCGTCCTTGCTCTTCGGCAGCGGGATTGGCATGGCATGGCTTCATGGTGCTTTGTAGAGGTGCAAGAGAATCAACAAGGCTAGATGGGGGATTCGTTCTCCCCAAAAAAAAAACGCCAGCTAGATGCTACTGGCTGGCCTGACTCCAGAGAAACGGGAGGGTACACAAAACGGATTTCGACTCGTGGCTCGTATTGTTTGGCCCAAATCTGTAGGGGGGGGAGCCAAGAGGGTTGCCGATATAGGCCTGGTGACTGGCATTGAAGGTCGCGCCTCGCCCAGCCAACTGCCCTCTCGGCGGAGAAGATGCAACCAGGGAAAGCCTGCATGCAGTTTGTGTTGCGGAACACCAGCCGCTACGTCGGATCCATCACTATCGTGAAAGCCAGGGACGGATAACACGCCCAATGGTTAGCCGTTGCATTGGGCGATAGGAGTGCAATAGCCGCCTCTTCCGTTCAGCAATATAAAAGGGCAGGATGCCATGGCTGCCAAAATTGGACAAATCGTCATCTTGCAGACGCCCATTTTGCGGCTGAAACTCCAGCACCCTCGGCAATGAGACGTTCAAGCCCAGCTAGCGAAGTGGCATGATTCGATAGAGCAATCCTCAGAGGCTTCACCGGTCCGGCTACGGGCAAATGAGAGGGCTGGGTTCCGATCACCATTGCGGGTGGCTGCATCATCTCAGCGCCATCATCTTCACACAAAACAGAGCGGACCTGTTGAGAGAGGACAGAGTATGAGCCTATTGTCGCAATGGGGCGCTCCTGTCGACCCATTGTATGATAAAGCCGTGGCTACCAGGCCTTTTATTCGACGAGAGCGATGGGTAGGAGGAGCGAAGAGGGCACTTGACGAGGCGGTAAAACTTGTTCGACGCTACAGAGAGCTCCGTCTGTGACGGTAGTGCATAGAAACCTATAGCCTGATATCAGCTCAAGCAGATGATTCTAGATAGAATCCATGTCCAGCTGGGCGGGTCGGTATCACGTTGCTTTGGCCTAGTCGCCTCAGCTATATGTCGAGGCAACCACACAAGCTGGAACAGAGACATCGGTGAGGTTTCTTGCAGCAGATGAGTTGGCCTCCTCTACGGCCGAAGATGATCGAGGCGGTCAAAGGATTCTTGGTCATTTGGATAGCTTGAAGGGAAATACGCAACATCGACTATTGCTTGGCTCCTCAAGTCTCTAACAGCGTAGATGTTAGTATTTAAGCAGCGCTTCCGCCGCATATTTTCCCAGAAAGAATCAAAATTGTAGAAATAAACACAATAGCTGGTTTCACGAACAGCCATCTCTCAGCCATCTCTCAGCCACTCGACTCCCTCTTTGAATAAGGCCGCCGTTAGCTTGATAGCCATGTCTTCTGGATTCGCCGTTGGCATGAAACCAGACCTGGTTCCAATCACCTGCGACATGTGCAGCATTAGACAGTAAGTCTTGATCATCTCTATATACTTTGATTGATGTGATGGCTGAGACAGAAAGTGAAGACCCAGCTGCGAGTACTGTGGGGGGTCGCTTGTCAGATTTGTTCCGTCCAACTATCAAGATCTGTCATCAGCATCGACTTCGCCTTTTGCCTGCCAGAGCGGCAGGCCATCAACAGGGCAAGATAATCGGCCAAGTTCAGGCTCAGGCCACAGACCTGCAGGCGTCTGTTCAAAACGCAGATAGGCCGCGTTGGACAGAACTTTCAGGTTCCACGCATCCACGCGAGTCCTTTCAGAATTTATTTCCTTCTTATATCCCTCTTCTTTCTTTTTTCTTTTTCGCTCAAAATGGGGAGGCTAGGTAGCCTTGCTGTGTGGTTACATGGAGGGGAAGGTGGAGTTCAATCTTATATATAATGTAGAAGGCTCTCACTTGAGATGCTTGGAGGATGGTTCGAACTTGACCACTCAAATGGGGCGGCTGGCTGTTTACCGTTGGAATTTTCCAGGCGCGGCGTATTTTGCGAAAATAGTAAAGATTATACAACTAAGATAGATCAATGCACACGACTCGGTACATCTCAAAGTCGTTCGTTTTATCCAGCCCAGCTGAAAGCAGGTTGAGCCAGTGAATAATAGCGTCACAGATGGACAGGCGCATGTGTAAATCAGGGGAGGAGTCAACGACAGAAGAGTTTGAACGAAACCCATTCACATTGAATGCTGTTCTTGACTTCTTGTCCCACGCCGATGCCATAGGACGATGGACACATCATCCGAGCAGGTAATGGAGCAGCCAGCAGAGGAGTGCTGTGTCCATGTTTCACTTCCATACTAAGCCACTCGGCTAACTGAATGGCGGGCTCGGGACCGAGTAAATTCCGCCGTGGGAGTGAAATCAGACAGGAAACGAGGTCGACATTGACAATGACAGCTTGAGCCGATGCCATCCTGGAGCCGACGGCCAGACGCATCTGCGGTTCGTCACGTGTTTTCATCTGAAACTGGCGAAGGAGCACAAGCTGCAAGAATGCAAGAATGCATCCTGTTGCAATGAATTCTCACACGGCGGATGATTGAGTGTATTCCCAGCCGAGTTGTCCTGCACTTGTTGTTGAAGTTGGAAGCTGCTCATGCCTCGGCGGTGTAAATGGTAGCTGGCCTAGTAGTGCGAGGCAGCTGCGGCCCGGGCTCTCTTCGGAACAACATTCGTCCACAGCCTCGCCAAACGGACCTCGAGCACTTTAACTCTACTTCACAACGGCGTAATATCTCATCTAGCGACCAAGTGCGCGTAGCATTGTTAATATCCGCCGCCATGTCTGTAATTCTATGCACAGGTCAGTCCCGACCCCCCTCTCGCCCGCCAGTTGTCGCGAACTTGGGAGCTAACAATGTGTGACAGCGGGCTACGACCACACGATCCGGTTCGCAAACCCACGGCAAAGCAGCTTCCTTTACACCCGATGCTAACTCGACGCAATGCAGGTTTTGGGAAGCTTTATCGGGGATATGCTCCCGCACGATCCAACACCCAGACTCCCAGGTCAACCGTCTATGTATCTCTCCCGACAAGAGGTACCTCGCCGCGGCCGGCCACCATACAGTGAAGCTGTACGATATCAAATCTACGAATCCTAATCCGCTTCTTACATTTGAGGGACATACGGGGAATATCACTGGAGTAGCCTTTCACTGCGAAGGTAAATGGATGGTCACGAGCTCCGAGGATGGCTGCGTCAAGATTTGGGAAACGCGGACGGGCTCAATACAGAGGAGCTACAACCACGGCCACCCTGTCAACGATGTCGTCATTCACCCAAATCAAGGCGAGATTATTAGCTGCGATAGGTCGGGCAGCGTGAGAATATGGGATCTGGCTGAGAATACTTGCGCACACGAGCTTATTCCAGAAGAAGACGTGTCGGTATCGAGCGTAACGGTTGCGAGTGACGGATCCCTGTTATGCGCTGCGAATACAGCAGTACGTCAATTGCAGAAGCAGTTTCCCCCTCAACTTGACTAACACTCTCTCAGGGCAATGTATTCATATGGCATCTTCGCCAAAACTACGAACAGACGGAGCTGCTCCCGGTGACGCATTTTAACGCTCACAAAGAGTACATTACGCGAATTCTGCTTTCTCCCGATGTGAAGAAGCTGGCAACATGCAGCGCCGACCACACAGCCAAGATCTGGGAGATTAAAGATGTAAAGCCGCGAATAGATGGCAAGACGGACGAACCGAGACCGCTGCCTCTCGAGGCCACGCTGACTGGGCATCAACGGTGGGTATGGGACTGCGCGTTCAGCGCAGACTCGGCATATCTGGTGACGGCATGCTCCGATCACTATGCCCGGCTGTGGGAGCTGCACAGTCAACAGATTATACGCCAGTACAACGGCCACCACAGAGGAGCTGTCTGCGTAGCACTTAATGACTACTCGGAGACGCGCTAGGATCTTGCTCGGGGGGTGTATGGTACGGGAGCTGCACATTCAACAGGTTATACGCCAGTACAACGGCCACCACAGACCTGTCTGCGTAACTACTCGGAGGCGCGCTAGAATCTTGCTCGGGATGTGGATGATACGGGTGCGGCTAATACGGGTGAAGCTAATACGGGTGTGGAAGAGATTATGTTATGGATGTGATGGCGTGGCGTTGGGGTGTTCTTTATGTTTAATCAAGTTGTTTTTTTCGTGTTAATTATTCTTTTGCCCTTGTCTCGGCAGCTTTTTTCTACGCCATGCAAACTGTTCAAACTGTTTCCCCCTCGTCAGTCTAGAGATACAGTTAGGCAGCAGCTTGTATAGTCCAGGTGATAGCCGGGCTTCATAGGTATGGTAGGTTTCAATACACACGGGAGATGTATTGTGAGCAAGCTTGTCCACGTCTTTGATGAATATACGAGCCAGTATGTCTAGGCATGGATGCGAACCGATCAAAGCGTTAGACTTGAATGAGCTCCCTTTTTCTGCCAAGACTTTGCGTTGTACGATGATGGCTGAAGAAGCCGCTCCAGTAGAAGAGTCATGAAAAATGATAGCATCACCAGGACATGTCGCATCTTATGGCCATTCACGGCTCAATCAGCTCCCTTCACAACCAGGGTAGCGGCAGTATGCGGCGGAATAAAAAAGAAAGAAAGAAAGAAAGAAACCAAAAAGTCTCGGCCCCGGAAGAAGCAAAAGGCAACCTAAATCCCGGCTCCGAGCAGGGAGTGAAGCACAACCACAGACTCGTATATTAGGCACCCTCCAACATGTCCCTGCTCTTGCGCATCGTCAAAAGCCGACTGGCCAGGAGAGGCGCCCATGGCAGCGGGAAGGAAGATGCCCATCCATCTGTCCGTATCACGCAGATCCCTACTTGATCTCCCAACGTTGATGATACCCAAGGGCCGTCCCAGGGAACGATGAATTCCCTTGTCGGTTCTCATCGATGGAAGATCCTGGGCCAGGTGAAACGGTCCGAGAGCTAGTCTCCATTCTCCCCTCCGATGGGGCCTCCTTGGTTTAGTCCCCCCGGCTCGTCGGGACAAGAACGACTGGCTCGCCGACGGCATTGGCAAAAGAGATTGATTGAATTGTGACGGCGCTGGTGTCTTTCCAGCTGGACAAGGATCTTTGACGGGTACGCTAAAACTTGACTGGGGCGGAGGGGGGGACCCCTGGGCATTTTTTGGACAGCCCTGCCATGAGGGACACATTGCTGCATAATTCCATGAGGGAGGGGGCGTGTGCTGATGGGTGTTTTTGTGATATTGATGAGAAAAAAAAAAGGTGAGACTATTGAAAATCGTAGATGAGCTGCTAAAATTTTTGTGAATTATGACGTGATGCAAGCATGTACAGCCATACAGGCAGTGAAAAGAGACAAGAAGAGTCTATTGACAGCTTTTTTTTTTTTTTTGCGGTGAAGCATTTGCGCGTATACGACAACGTGCTGGTCTGGGCGCTATGGGCTGCCTCTTTGGTCCCTGGGAACCGCTGCGGGCCGAACGAGAGAAAAAAAAAACAAAAAAGACAAGACAAAAAGTGGAATATTGGCTGTTTTGATACTGCTAGTACCGTTTTAGTTTTTTTTTTTTCTTGGGGCAGTTTAACGTGTACCTTGCTTTAGTGTCTGCAGCCAAACAATGATGCCTTTTTTCAAGAACTATATAGAAAGCGGGTACTGTACGCATTTGCAGATGGAAAACACTACTGTAAGATAGATGGGCCATGAAACGCCTCTAGCACACGTTACAGAAACTGAAAAAAAAAGGAAATCGGCCGTGCAGCAAGTGCCGATGTCTCCATCCAACCCTCCCAAAGATAGAAACATGACATTCTTGTCCAACTTTTTTTTTTCGCCACCAGCTACAAACTGCAGTCTCCCCATATTCCCTTTCCGGCAATCGCTTCCCAACGTCGCCTTGTCCGAACCCATGCATGCCAATGCGCAAGAGACTGTTTATTGGGAAAATGCCTACTAGTACTCACTTCAAATTCTACTAGCACAGTTCAATATTTGACATGCCCGCCCCAGCCCCCAGCCTCGGCTCGCAAGCCACACCTACCGAAGCCTTGGCGGGCTGTGCGCCGTGCCGTGCCATTGAAGCCCGCGTGGCTCGTTTTAGCGTCTTGACAGCAGAAACAACTCAAACAGCTAGCCGTCGTCATAGATGGCGCTTGAAACTACCTACGTACAAGTAGCAGTTTGAGATGGCCTCTAAAAACCGAGGTGGTCACAGCGCCCAATCACCGGTCTCCAACGGCAGTCATTTAAGATCTCTGGTCTGGTCCCCCATAAGTTAGTTGCCTTGACTGATGACACCCCTAGTCCCACGCAAGTAGACTAGACCGCAAAAGCCACGAGGCTATGGCAAAGTAAGAAAGCGCCAAACCCTCGGTCCCCTCTCAAAAACTCACCACCAAAACACACATCATCGTCACCACTTCCACAGCTTCAGCCCTGCCAACACGTCACACGTCACAATCAAAACAGCAAACAATGCCAGACACAGACACAGACCACCGCCCCCCCGCCATCAACTACATCCTCAGCTTCGTCCTCGTCGGCCTCGCCTGGGGCCTCACCACGCCCTTCATCCGCCGCGCCGCCCGCGCCCACAAGCCGGACCCTGCCCACGCCGCCATCCTCGACCGCCCGGCCATCAAAGCAAACTGGCTCCGGCGCACCCTCTACGGCGCCTTTTTCTCTGTTGTCGACTTGCTGCGCAACCCGCGCTATGCCGTGCCGCTGGTGCTCAACCTCACCGGCAGCGTCTGGTTCTTTCTTCTCATTGGCAAGGCCGGTATGTATCACCAGTACTTGTACAAATACATCTCTCTCCTTTCAGCTCCACAAATCTTGAGAGAGAAAAAAAAGAAAATTCATTCCCATCTGTCCGATTTGTTTTTTGGCAAAGTTGCATCCATTCAATCCCCTGCAGGCCTCCCATGTCTTAGATCCCCCCACCAACCCTCCCATCCACACCAAAACCGCCCTACCGGGCTAGCCAGCACAGCAAAAGCAAAACAGGCAGCCTTCACTCACTCTCTTCTACTTGGTATAAAACAAATTCTTGAGATCTGAACCCAATTCTTTTTTTCACTAACGCGTTTCGTATTTTTTACCACCTACTAGAGTTAAGTCTTACCGTCCCGATTGTGAATGCCATGGCTTTCCTCTTTACCGTTTTGGGTGAGTGGTTAGTTGAGGGCAAAGTCATCAGTAGAGGTATGTCACGTTCCGCCCCATGGCGGGTATCATCGGTAATCCGTGTCGATTATCAAGAGCTAATAATAGGAAAAAAGAAACTGGTATTGGAATGGTTTTGTCATTGGCCGGAATAGCCCTGTGTGTTCAAAGCAAAAACTAAGAGCTCGCTTATAGCTAGGAGTGTTAGTAGTATCATGTTAGTATCTGAGAGAGAAAAGTCGTTTCCATGTTATAGAACCATGAATAGGGATGAATAAAATTTGTATTCATGCAAAAAGAACTTGAAACAAAAAACTGGGAGCCTGCTCCAGGCAGCTCTGAAGAAAAGAAGAGAAAAGAAGAAAGAAAAAGATGTCTATGGCCCATATAGTATCCTCCAGTTGTGCCCTTGAAATGCTTGCTTTTCATCACTCAGTCTGCAGCAGCACGCTATACCCGCAACCTGCAAATAATGTCAAAAAGGACGCCAAAAAAATAACCAAATATGAAGAAAGAAATAACCAAGAAAAACGATAGGTATCCCCCTGTCCTTGTGCTTTGCTGCTGCCTGTCATCCTTGCCCATACGCCCAAATCATACATCCAAGAAAGATATGGAGAAAAAAAGATTCCATGCAAAGAGGAAAGGCCTTGGAATAATCGCTGCATGAAACTCGCTCCAGAAATAAATAAGAAATGTTGGTATCCGGGGACGATGGCTGTCCCCCCCCAGGAGCTGAATACCATGGGAAAATTCTGCTGTTGTCGGTCCTGGCGCGACGGTGTCGTAAATACGTAGCTTCTGATTCGTCGTCGCCTTTAGTTCTGTCATTAATAATGAAGCACATCATCGTCGTCGGGATTGAAGCCAGTGCTGGATTCTGTGCAGGCTGGGATCTTCCATAGTCCAGCGCCCCTGTGATTGGTCCGCCGTCAACAGCTCGGCGTACACGTACTCGTCACTGATTGCAGCCATTTCCTAAGCACGCGCGAGTTAGTACGACCAGTCTCAAAACTCCACTACTTTGTCCGTGCATATGCCCGTAAGACAGGATTTTCCCGACAAGTACCGGGTGGAGACCGAGGCTGTGTGGTCAACCTCCCACTCGGTACCTGGAGTCAGAAAAAATAGAGCCTGGTCCAGCTGGACAAGGAAGAAAAAAAAAAAGACTGGGTGTAAGCTTACTGCTCGAAGTTGGTTATCAATAGCCTGCAGCTGAGCATGGTTCCCCGGGTGCGGTCTTTGGCCCTGTAGTATTTGATCTCGGTATTCGATCCATCGCTGTGCAGCCGCCTGTCTCAGGAGGATTTTCTGCCCCTCGTGCCGGCGCGCATATGCATCAAGCAAAATCCTTTGGAGGAGAAGGGAGAGTTAGCAATCTTCAACTCGAGTGTACAAGGTCAAGTCAAATAGAGGCTTCATCATATCCTGTCAAGACTTACTGTTGCAATTCGGCTCTGGTCTGTTCCTCCTCTCCACCCTGTGCTGCAGGCACCCTGGTATCAGCAGCAACGTCCAGGATATACTGTCCGTCGATTGTGCATTGACGCAGGGCGGCCCATCCTTCGGTGTAGTAGTCCTCCTCGTTCTCTGGCTCGACAGGTCCAGCCGAGATGTAGTATTGGAGTGCTCGGAAGTCGGCGAGGACCTCAGCAACTCGGGCGGTACGGCACTCGTTCACTTTTCGCGGAGTATCTTTATCAGTCATTGCTCTCGCCAAGGAATCAAAAAGAGGTAGTTGGAGGCTGGTGAGGGTCATCTTTACGCATGGAGCTTCTCGGTGAGTTGCGTGTAGGAGGTAGTTCTAGTATGAACAGGTGGGTTCCTACCACGCGTCGAGTGCATATGCAGAGTCTCGAGGGCTAAGGGGGAAACGGCGTAGCCTGCCGGTCGTAGCTTTTACTTGGGGCACGGGGAAAGGCAGGAATAGCGGGACAATAAGAGGGAAAAGCTATTTGCTGGAGCTGGGGACTAGTGAGTGACCTACATCCGTCCATGGCTTCCTAGGGAAAGATGCCGAATCAGACTTTTTGGGGGCCAGGCGCGAAAAGGGGGGGCCAAAGAAGCCTAGCGAGTTTCCGTAGATGGAAATAGGTGAAGAGATGGATATAACCGCCGCGTAAACAAAAGACAATGGCTGATGATGGCGATGGGGGTGCCGATGATGGCCCTTCTGCAACAGTGACGCGCAGTGATTCTGATGCTAACTGGACAACGAAAGGAGCAAGAGTGGTGGCAAAAAAAGAATGAATAGTCGATGATGCTGAATGCCAACAGGTGATGCAGCGAAAACACCAAGCAACTTGGCTTCGTCGGCTTCGTGGAGACGGGAGGTGGTCGTAGTCTGGCAAGTGAAGCTGAAAAAAAGCTGGCTATTGAAGTGGCGAGGACCGAAAGAGGTTTGCGGGCTGGCTCGATTTGCCTTGAACTTGGACGGGAGCGAGATGCTCCATTCCTTTTGTACGATTTCTCCATCATCAACCCCGTCCGGTGGTTGCGGGAGGATCCAGCAAGTGTCGACGGGCTCGCTGGCCATCTCCGCCTTACAAAGCTACGGTAGACTTGAAGCTCTGGTTCAACGTCTGAGGGTCCAAGAGAGGGTGACCAGGCTGAACCATCAGCTATCACGAAGCCGTGCTGCAAACACCAACGAGAGGTCTGCGCGGGTCCTCCACCCCCGGTGGCTCTTTGCAAGCTCAGACCTGAAGAATCCCGGACGAGCTGGCAATCGGGCAGCAGCCGTCCAACCGGAGGCGTGGTCAGCCCTATCCTAGCCCCTTGATGGCGTCGAGGCCAGCCAGCCTGGGCGCCGAGGCGTGGACAGGAGACGGGCTAGGGCATTCGGGCATGCGGCGACTGTGACTGTCGATCTCAGCAGCGCGCCGGCTAGGCAGAGCCAGAGCCAGGCGAGGCTAACGAGTCGCGAGCCAGAGGAAAGCCTTGCGGGCGAGGCCCAAGGCCCAAGACCCAAGACCCAGGACCCTGACGTCCCCGTTCCGTGGGTCGGGCCATTGGCAGCAGGGACTACGAGCATGTACAGCAGGTACAGACTTGTGCATACGAGTCGACCATACGAGTACCATCCAGCATGGTGTGCGGCATGGAGTCGAGCCCCGGACGCGCCGTTTGGTCCCAGCCAGCACTAGCCCAGCGCCCCGGCGTTTGTGATTGCTAGTGATTCCCAAAGCGACGGAGCCCACAAACAGCCGCGTGCCCCGGCCTGCACAAGCGAGCAGCAGCAAGTCAAAGAGATGCGTGGAATGCCATCGCAGCCATCGCCGTGCGGTTGGTGAGAGGCGCCGCTGGCTGCACGTCTCGCCTGAAAACCCCTGTCGGCGGGGACGGCCATCGGACCTATGGCGTGCAGCGCTCGACGCCTCAGCTCCGGGCCAGCGACGCTACCACGCGCAGCCTTGCCGAACGAAGCCAGAGCGACGGGCCCTGCATGAGCTGCGTGCGCCAGGGACGGTTGGCGTGGCCAATGGCAGCGCGGCGAGGCCTGCCAGGATCGCAGGGGTGGGAGGGTGGCATCTCGGCTTTGGGGAGTCGATGGTGGATGGGCGATGGGCGATGGGCGATGGATGATGGATGACGGATTCTGGCAGTTGCACGAGATGCGCTGCGCAAGGTCGCTGCAGGCACTGGCGACCTGCCTATGCAGAGGAAAGCGACAGGGCGCAGCGACTGCTCGTCACTTTGCTTCGCAGTCATAGTGCTTTATTGGCTTGGGCTGCGTTTGGCGTGGCTGCCAGCTTCGTTTATCGAATTTTTAATTTAATGTGCAGCAATAGATGATGACTCCATTCTTATTTTAGCCTTATTTGTTCTTGTCAACGGCTGCCTTGTCAATATACGTCGGTCCTTTTTCTTCCTTTCTCTTCACCTGAATAACTCTTACATGCAGCCATCTCCACCAAATACAGAATGTTCATCTGCCTAACCGAGTACTTATGACACGCCAAAAATAAATAAATTCAAAATAAACATTCTTCTGTCGCCACAGACTGTGACTCGCATGTCATCCGGAGCCACGTCACACAAACATGGTTTGGCTCGCATCTCCACCTTCAACTGCAGGTCCCGGGGGCGCTGCGCCTTACTGGCCCCATCGCCTGCTGAAAGTTTTTTGAAACCACATTCCCGCCCCGATGATCCACGACAAGGGAGAGGTCCCCGTTCGTCTCATGTCACCTCGTGCAATGGATCCACGGATACTCGTGTGTCTTGTGTTCCCACTGATACCCGACTCGACCAGCATCAAACCAAACCCCCGAACCCAAGGGAACGTATCGACTTCTACGCTCTGATTGGAGCGTGTAGGCCCGGAAAGGGAAATGAGGCTGCTGCCTAGCACCCGAAACATAATTCATCCAAGGGGACCGTGCAGTTGCAGATTTGACCCTTTTCACGATCAAGCATGCTGTTCTGTAACGATGATTTGACTGCCTCATCCTCGTCAGCATGCTGGTATCGATGCCATTGCAGCTGAACACATGTGCAGCCCGATGAATCAACCTTGATGCCCTGCTTACGGGCTTCGTAATGAAGATTGATATCTCGTACGTGTGTCATGCCGGCAACATTTCAGCTATACTGAAGAGGCCTCAACCATGACAATGACATGATTCGTCCATATGAGGATATTGCTCGGGGACCAATCGTTTATCAAAGGCATCGTGAGGCTCTTCCTGAGGATAGGGCCAAGGGAACAAGGAATAATTAATAATGGCCATGATACCCTCGACTTCAGCACGACAGGCCCCCAGCTCAAGGGGATGCAGCCAAGTCAGCATTTCGCATGCAACGTCGGATGCCCCAGCCGTGGAGATTTTGATATCTTGGCCACCAAGTGTCGCCAATCTGACGAATCTTCATACCGTCTTCGTCTCTAGCTCAGATCACATCCTCAGCAGCGTCACCGAATCTAGACCCAAGAGCTGGCTGGGCATACCGAATGACGATGTAGGGCCGAAGCAATCTTGCCAATGTGCCGGCGTCAGGAAACTCTTGCCTCGCTCTCTCCTCTCCAACTGGCATAGTGACTCTTTGCCTCACAGCCCTACACTATCATGCCAACGAACTCCTACTTTGTTTAGCATCAATCATTCTTGTCTACTCTTCGGCGCTTTCCACCTACCTATACCATATTAGGACCATCAATACGCCCTCGTATAAACGCCACCCGTGGTGGAAACCCCCAGCTCCGGCCAATAACACTCCATAACAGCCCTCATCACATGCCGCGACGAACACTTCACAGGGCGACTGCCTTGTTTCCTTCCCCCACACAGCTCGGATCTTGCACAATGGCGAACCCATGGCTGACTGCAGGAGAGTGGGAAACAACGGTATTAGGCGAATACGCCCCCCAAAGAAACAACTGGTTGCCCCTTATACCCCTCCCCCCCTGGTGAGAAGTGGCTGACAGTCTCAGTTATGGCGTTTGGTCACCTTGCTCATTTTTCAACGCCACACCAAAGAAAAACACACATATACCTATGTCCCATCCTACGCTATTACACGATATAAATTGCAAGGCGTTCCCAACTCGAGCAGGTTTGAAAGGTAATGACATCAACGGTAAGAAAAAAAAATCCGTCGCTATCCTCCCTCCTTCCAGGGCGCTTAAAGCAGATCCGCGGGCCACGCAAGCCGAGCCAAAGCGAACAAGGGCGAATGCGATAGCTGTATACAAGGAAACTGGCAGTTATTGCCCCCAAGCATGGCTTTGGGAAGGTATACCCGTGTAGAACGCAGAAAATACCTACTAGCCGCCTACGAAGCGACTCTCTCTCTCTCTCCTCAATTTTCTTACCGATATATGCGCAGCACATATTCTTGCTTATTCATGACTTTTTGATATCTAGGAAACAGCTTGATTTCAGTATTGTCTTGGCCAAATGGTGTACAGAAAGATATATTTCCTTCTTCACACACACGCTCCTCGCTCCCTGACTTTCAAAGCGATCAAAATGCATTCAAATTCTCGACACGGCTAGATTCTTAAATACATACACCTCAATTTTTCTTCCCACTTCTCATAAAAGCGCCACATGGCAATGTCCCTAATACTTGATTAACTCGACTCTTATCTTTGTTTTGTCAACCCTTAGGTCCCATATACCATTACCCACCCAGAGTGGCCCATGTGTGTATACTAATCCAACTGCACAGCGTGTATTCAAACTTCCGATAAATTCAGTTCCATCAGCTTTCTTGTGATGGAAAAGTCATATTAATCTGGCGGCTAGAGCCGGTACCGCCAACCTTGCTTCAAGGTTGCTAATAAAGATGTGCACGCTTCTTTGCCTTGGCTCAGTTTCTGGTCTCTCTAGAACATATGATAGGCCATCACAGACGTAAACTGCATGTGTTTCGGATTTCAGATATACTTTATACTACATGGCATATGATGATTGCTGCCTTTGCAGCGAAAAGAAGAAGAAAAGGCAAAGTCAGGCTATTCCTTCCGGTTTCTACGTCTGGCACTCTCCTAATGTTGTCAGCAGCCAAACAACATATCTAGTCTTGTCTCTCCTAGCTCCATTACAACTTGCTCCATAACAGTTGTGATACGCAATTCCTGGAGCAGGGCCTAGTTAATCAGCACTATCACGAGTTAGATCTGCATATATTCACACCCATGACATGTACACGAACAAAAGTCACGGTTACTCATGATTTGAGCCCAGAGGTATTATTGAAGAGCCTATTTAAAACAGTATAGCTTGATCGTAAAAAGGGGGGGCTTGCATCTAACAATTAACCCCAGTGAAGTCAAAGAAGTTTTCCATCCCCAGTCCCCAAAGGTATAAATAATGTCAGTGTCAAGACATTTACTCCTCCATAGGAGCATCCTCCTCGTACTCCTCGCCATCGTCGGCCGAGGCATCCTGGTATTGCTGGTACTCGGAAACAAGATCGTTCATGTTGGATTCAGCCTCAGTAAACTCCATCTCGTCCATGCCTTCACTAGTGTACCAGTGCAAGAAAGCCTTGCGGCGGAACATGGCAGAGAATTGTTCACCAACGCGACGGAAAATTTCCTGAATAGCAGTAGAGTTACCGACAAAGGTGGAAGAAATCTTGAGGCCCTTGGGGGGGATAGAGCACAGGGCGGTTTGGATGTTGTTGGGAATCCACTCCACAAAGTAGGCAGAGTTCTTGTTCTGGACGGTGCGCATCTGGTCCTCGACCTCCTTCATGGCAACCTTGCCACGGAAGATGGTGGAGCAGGTCAGATAACGGCCGTTGCGGAAATCGGAGGCAGCCATCATGTTCTTGGGATCCATCATCTGCTGGGTCAACTCGGGAACAGTAACGGCGCGGAAAGAATGGGCGCCAGGGCTAGTCAGGGGCGCAAAGCCGACCATGAAGAAATGCAGACGAGGGAACGGCACCATGTTGACGGCGAGCTTACGAAGGTCAGAGTTCAGCTGGCCAGGGAATCGGAGAGATGTAGAGACACCAGACATGACGGCAGAAACCAGATGGTTCAGATCGCCGTATGACGGGTTGGACAGCTTGAGGGTCCTCATGCAGATATCGTACAGGGCTTCGTTGTCGATACAGAACGTCTCGTCGGAGTTTTCAACCAGCTGGTGCATAGACAGGGTGGCGTTGTAAGGCTCGACGACGGTGTCGGAGACCTTGGGCGAAGGAACGACGGAAAATGTGGCCATCATACGATCGGGGAACTCCTCACGGATCTTGGAGATCAACAAGGTACCCATACCGGAACCGGTACCACCACCCAGGGAGTGCGTAATCTGGAAGCCCTGAAGGCACTCACAGTTCTCAGCCTCGCGACGAACGACATCGAGAACCTGGTCAACCAGCTCAGCACCCTCAGTATAGTGACCCTTTGCCCAGTTGTTACCAGCACCGGACTGGCCAAAGACAAAGTTGTCAGGGCGGAACAGCTGGCCAAAGGGGCCAGAGCGAACGGCATCCATGGTACCAGGCTCGAGATCGACGAGAACAGCACGAGGAACATATTTGTTGTTGGACGCCTATGATAAACAAAAGACGTTAGATTCCACAGTCTAGGCTGAAATCGAAAGTCAAGTAGGGCGCTGGCAAAAGTTACACACCTCGTTAAAGTAGACGTTCAAACGGTCGAGCTGCTGGTCGGAAGTACCACCATAAACACCGCTGGAGTCAAGGCCGTGCTCGCCAGAGATGGTCTGCCTATAAGTATGAATGAGTATGCGATTCGTCAAGACGCGTGGAGCCGATTTTTCGCTGTTTTTTCGAAGGAAAAACGTACCAGAAGGCAGAACCAACTTGGTTACCCTGCGCAAATTGTTAGCATCGCGATGTCGCGTTTTGTGCGGGGAGGCAGCGCCCCTAGGAGGGGCAAAAGAGCAGAGTACTTACACACTGACCGGTCTGGAGGTGAACCTGCGCGTCGAAGAAAAATCATATGTCAGTTTGTATTCACATCAAAAGGGTATAGCCATGTTGATCGTCCATGCAGACTGCCGAGTTGGGAGCTCTGCAACAATTGACGAGCGGTGGGCGCGTGAGGAAAGCTTCCTCAGCTCTGATAGTGGGGGGGACGAGGCGTCAAAACAAACTCACAATCTCACGCATTTTGCAGACTGACGGATGAAGCTAAAGAAAAGATTTGTATTAAAAGGAAATAGGAAGAATCGAGTGTTCCGTAGCTTCGGATGCGAGGAAATGTAGGAGGTGGAAGATGTAGAGAGAGAAAGAAAGGAAGGGAGGGCGAGTTGGTAATAAGAAAAAAAAACCGGCTGGATGAGGTGGACAGTCGGCGCGGCAGGCAGGCGCAAAATCAACAATGAAAAATAAGAAATATTAGTACCGCTTCGGGCAAAGCCTGCGGCGGGATGATCCGGTCTAGCTCTGCAAGTTGCAGAGGGCTGTGGCGCTAGTCCTGACTGGGAGCTGCCAAATTGTGCCGTCCCCAGCTCGACCGCAAGACAATTTCCAAGGGGAAATTCTGTGGCCAGCTGTGCTACCTGGTTTAGGGGTTGCGTTGTTGTAATTAGGGGTAATCTCTGTTCTGCGGTGCAAGTTCTGTCTTGTTCTGTCTCTGCTGCCACTCTGTGCCTCGTATTTCCTGTTGTTCAAATAGTTTTTCTGTTCAAGCCCGGTGCGGCTCAGGCACCGCTTAGTCTCGCCCAAAGATGCATACACTTGGCCGTTATGGAGCCAGGTGGTGGTTAATCTACAGGCACCCGGCAGGCACCTACTTTACCAGACATTTCTAGTACGATTCTTAGCTGCCTAACAGTTTTAGCACATACAATGGCATCAATGCTTCTCGATCCGACGAATTGGTTGGCGCCTAAAGTCCTACAGAAGACGGCCAAAGGCTGCATCTTTGGCAGCCCCCTGCTTGCCCATGGCATCCACCTGCGGGGCCATGTCAAATCCAAAATGACAACCTCATCTTCCCTTTTCAGCATCCACCAGCTAATGATAGCCCCTGGAAGTAGAGGCTACGGCGGAATTGCCCACTTTTCATAATCCTCCCTCCAAGAGTTGACATGGCAATGGCTGTCCGAGGTACGGAGTACAAGTCCAGAGCACTTCCCCAGATGGCTTAATTGTTTAATTGTCAGCAGGTGGGTTCAAGCGCCCGTCACCTGAGCTTCTCCTTTACCGGCTGCCTGGATTTCACTATCCTTGATTAGTATGCTGTAGACTAAGTAGGTTATAGGCTCTTCACCGGTGCTGCTTTATTTCGCAGCACAATTATGTACGAATAGAAGTTTCTTATCCTAGGGGTAAGACGCACTGCCTTCCGCCTCCCTAGGTACTAGTAACCTTCAAGTGAAGCAAGGAGTACTTTAGGCACTCACTTCAAAGTAAGATAACAATATGAGCTGTCGACCCTAAGAAAGCACTGACATTACTGTTTGAGGTAAGATACCAACCAAGGCTCCAGCGACATGGCCTTCAAGAGGCGAGACTCAATGCTCCGAGCCCTTTTGGTAGAAAATGACGTCTCTAACGTTGCTTCATTAACCCATCTATACGTTTACTAGTCCTTCTCGGCAATGGCTTGTAATCTCTCCTCAATCTCGTCCTCGGTGAGCTTTCTAAAACCCGGGTCCGTACCCTCTTTGCCGTCTGTTCGAGGGCCGCCAACAATACCAATCTCAATCTCTCCCTTCTTGAAGTCCATGCTGAGAACCGTGCTCAATGTTGTAATGGCCAGCTCAACAACCTCTTCCCATGATCCTTCGGCATGCTCCTTGTTCCGCAGCTTCTTTTCCAGATGGTTCATAGCCTCCTGCTGTTTGGGGCCTGCGGCAGTGCCCTTGTAGCCGATAAAGTATCCAGCCGGATCACACTTGAAGAGTTGGGGTCCCCGCTCGTCGTCCAGGCTGATAATGGTGGTAGCAACACCGTAAGGTCGCATGTAAGCCTAGTAAAAAGCGTCAGTTATATGGGTCCAAAAGTTACATCTCATAGAAACAGGCCGTCCTTACACGCTGGGTGTACACTTGGCTGATGTTGGCCAGTCGTTTGGCCAGGACATCAGCCGGCATCTCGTAGCCGTATTTGTATCGAAACTCTGCGGCTTCTCCTTGGGCACGCTGAGAAAAGGCTCTGGCGTCGGCAATAGAGCCTGTGATGACGCATCCGACGGAGGGGGAGATTTGGAAGATGTGAGAGACAGATGAGGGGTCGATGAGCTTATCCTGCGCCCAAGAGATCAGTCAATGTAAGGCAGCATTTGGGCGATGCCAATACCCACGGGAACTTTCTTCTGTGACAAGACAACGGCGCAGTCCTTGCCTCGCAGGCCTACAGACATGATGTTTGCGGCTGTGATTGCCTTGAAGGCATATTCTAGGTTGGAGATGTCAGCTAGGTCGGCTCGGGCTGGGCGACAAGATGCAGGCGGCGGAACTCGACTCAAGCGTTCGAATCGGTCTTGTTATTCGGGGCTGTGAACTTACCGACTTGGTACAGACGACCATTGTCGGCGAAGATGGTGATATGTCGGTCGTATGCGCTGGCTAAGGGCGTTGCAAGTCAGTATGCGGGAGGGATGATGGCGGGGATAGCTATGATGTAGCCTAGCTTACCAGACATGGTGACGGCAGTGTTGGCCCTATCGAGGGCAGTCGCAAGAAGATATATTCACGGCAGCTGCTCGAGTCTGCTATTGTCTGGGTCCGAAGGGAGGAATTGCGAATGTCAAGGTCGATTGTCGATATGGGCTGCTGGTAGCTTCATCAAGGCCGTACGCGTTAGCACAGCTTGCCTAGAGCACAAGTCACTGGCAGCTTGGCCGGAAAGGCTGAAGGTGCATGGTTACGTAATGTCGGAGCCTGAGGCGCCATTCAAGAGAAGGCTCAAGCATCCACCCTGGACGCGGCCACCGATATGCAGTGGAGCTTTTAGAAAAAAAAACCGGCGGGGCATCTTATCAGTGAGCGCCCAGCAGAAATCAAATAAGAGACCATTCGCGCAAACAACTTTTTGAGGATATCAATTAGCTTTTAATTGAAGATTTGCAGCAAGCAATTGGGGACCTGCATTGGCTCGTTTTCCTCCTGGACTGTCCTTTCAACCTCCCAAGACCACCGTCGTCTGTGAAGTCTTGTCAATTGCGCAGAGCGTGGCTCTCCTACAACCACACGCGATCAGAGCCCAATCGACGATTGTTTGCGCCTCTCGTTCTACCAGCTTTCGAATCACCACAATCGAGGGCTTTCCACCACCTTCTACGCACCATGATTTCCTCGGGCGACGGAGCGTCGGCTCGTGCGCCAGCCTGGAAGAGATTGGGCCTGAAGCTCAAGCAGTCTTCCGCACCCGAAGCAGCAAATGAAACCCTGCAGGTTGGGCATCCAAGCAGTAGCAGGACCCAGCAGACACCGTCCAAGCGGAAGCCCGAAGCCCCGCCAGCGGGCGAACCTCTGTCGGCATTGAAAAAGTTTCGGAACGACTCGCATCCTGCAGCTTCTAACCCTCAGCTGAAGAAGAGAAAGTCGGTTTCGTTTGGGGAGACGCCCACAAAAAGTGGAATCGATGCCAAGGGGCCCGTCAACAAACCACCTCCCAAGAAAGCAAAAACCCCTGGCAAGAAGAAGGCCAATGCTGCCGTTGCCCCTTCGGATATCAAGCCTGCGCTCGAGTATTTGAGCCAGTGGAAGTCTGCTCGGGACTCGTGGAAGTTTAACAAGAACTACCAGACCATCCTCATCAAGCACGCATTCGACCCCGTGCTCTTCCCTTCGGCCAACATTGATACCTTTTATCTTTATATCCGAGACATCAAGGGCTTTGTTCGCACGAGACTACAAGAAACCGCCATGGAAATCCGAACCAAGGACAGCACAGAAGGAGCCGCAGGCTTCCCGGAAGGTTCAGTGAACCTCCCGGAGAAGCAACTAAGATACGACCAGCTGCTCGCGCAATTGCTTCATTCGCAGGCGGGGCAGAAGAGGAAGACCTTCCATGAGGTCGAATACCGGACTTCATCAGAGGACGTCGACGATGTAATCAGGCGTGTGATCAAGCGAATGCGCGCAGAGCTAGTTCTAGACCAACTGTCCGAGGGCGAGGAGTCCGATGCCAGCCACACCACCACGGCCACAGCGTCTTCCGGAGTGAGCATCGCCGAAAGCAACACAACCAAGGCTACCGAAGGTGATAACCAGGTCAAATTAAAGGAGGGGCCCAGCAAGCGCAAGAGAAAGCTGCGTACCACTGTGGACGACAGCAGCTCCTCGGAATCAGAGAGCGACTCGGACGACAGCAGCAGCTCTTCAGACGATTCTGATTCCGATTCTGACTCTGACGATGGAAAGGAGGCTGATAAGGGCCACGAGTCTTCCAGCAGCGAATCCTCCTCTTCTTCCTCTTCATCCTCTTCATCAGAAGACGAGTCTGGCTCGGACGACGAGAGCTCAGATGAAGAGTAAGAAAAGCCACAATCTACTCTTTTCCAATCTTGTACTGTTTCTCTTTGGCCTTGCTAGCCGACTGGGAGTTTGCTTTTCTATCATCCACGGTTACGACTTTTTTTTTTTTTTCTGTTTGTTTTATTAAATCAGCCATCATACGTAGACTGCTACATGCAGTCACGCCACATGGGAGATTGTATGATACCTGGAGATTTCCAAGTTTTGGAGGGCTTTCTTTTCGAGTATATATAGAACGGGGGTGGCCATTTATTCTTCGTTTCTGTGGGAGGACCTGTATATACATGTATGTACTATACCATTAGAGCGCATGAGCGACGGATAGATTTCCTAAAGACATGAGGAGCAGATGAAAGAAAAGAATTTCCTTTTGGTATATACGAACTTTTCCCCCTTGATCGATTATATCTTTTCTGCTCTTGACTAGACTTAGACAAACAATTTGGTAAACCCTTCCCTTGGCGGCTGCAGCCAATTCCTCTCATCATACTCTCTACCCTCACCCTCAATAATATGAAAGGTGTAAATGATTCTCCCCTTCTGGCTCGTATTCCTCTCGCTCTTATGCAGCATGTTGCCATGAATCAGCACCAAATCTCCCGCCTTGACTTCACCAGGGACATACTCCCCGCCCCTTTGCTCACCACCATACTCGTCCCCAGGAGGAAACCTCAGCCCATCATTATCCACAATCTCCGTGCCCGCGCCGCCCGCCTTGCGCACCAGCCTCTTCTCAATCGGCGCCCAGCGATGCGACCCGGGCAGAAAGCTCAGGCACCCATTCTCCAGCGTGGCATCCTCCAGCGCGTACCAGAAGCCCACGGCCGACGGCGCACTCGTGTACAGAAACGTCGAGTCCTGGTGTGGCGGCACGGCGCCGCCAATCTCGGGCTGCTTGCAGATGACCATGCTCTGCAGGCATCTGGCGTCCTTGAAGCCGAGATCTCTCGCCACGGCAGCAGGGCTGACCTCGCCTGCTGCGCTGGTGGCCTTGGAGTCGATGAGACGCGCAAACGGCGGCGATAGGGCGTGCAGGTAGTGCCCAATCTTGTTGACGGCGCGCTCCTTTGGCTTCGTCAGGTTGCCCGCCTCGTCAAAGGCGTCCTCCTCGAAGAAGAAGCGGACTTTGTCCCCCGACGAGAGGAAGTAGTCGTCGCCGACATGGTCGGACTTTTCGCCGGTGGAGAAGCGCGTGAGGGGGTGGTCCTTGAGGGAGAAGTTCTCCAGCAGGCTGTGAGTCTCGTTTAAGAGAGAGGCTACGGTTTCGGGGCGGAGAGCATTTCGGATGATGAGGTAGCCGTCCTTGTTGAAGGATGAGAGCTGCTCGGATGTGAGGCCGGGAGCTGCTGATTCGGCCATGATGAAGGCTGGAGCTTGTTTCTTAAGAAGGACGGTGATAAACAAGGAGAGATTAGAGAATTACATGGAAATCCTGGGGAAATTAGTCCAGGCGTCTTACGGCCTATCGGCGAACTTTTGATAATGAATGTAGTCTCTCTCTTCTCTAAGTGGGGTGATATTGATCTTTTTACTCCATGTTTACTATCAACCCCGCCACAAGCCGCCTCGTGTCAACCGGTTCGCTCCCCGAAAGTCGGACTCCGCCGACGGCCTAGGACAATTTCAAAGTTACTAAATACATATCACAGCTTTTTTTTTTTTCCTTTCTTGCAACCAAGTACTCAAAACATCGAGGCTTGGTTGTTTCATTACTCCGTCATATATATAGAGAATTAACCATGATATGGCTGTACATTGCGTACTGCAAGCCTGAAAACATATGAATAGCGCCGTTTGCGTATAACTTTCAAAAACAAGTCGTTTATGTATACACTGACCAATGTGTAACAACTCCCAAAACGCCAGACTATATACCAAATGTGCGGTTTCACTGATAAGAGAAGACAAAGAGAGAATCAACAGTCATGAGAAGAATCGGATGCGCCGGATGGAAACAGCCAAGAATTCGTAAAGCACAGCCTTTGCATCGCTTTCAAACACGTTGTGAAAAGAATCAAGCATTAAGCGGATCATCGAGAAATTCGTAGCCCTCTTCGGGCGGGAGCAAGTAGGCAGACGCCGCGAGACCAGCCGCGATGACCAAGGAGATGCCAGCACTAACAGTGCCAAGGTACCACGAGACATCGAGATTCCACCCCGGAACGGTAAACTGGTCGTCATGGTCGTACAAGTACGCCTGTGCAACAACAAAACAGTCAGTGCTGAAGGCGTATCTTTGGCTCTGAAATGACAACGTACCACTATGGAGATGATGATGAACTCGACAACAGATACCAGCGTCAACAGGGCAGAGACAAACGGCCAGCCCGTCTCGCGCCTGTACTTTCCGCCGCCCATGACGAGCGCAAAGGCGATCAAGCTGGCGAGACACAGGATAATGGTGAATGAGGCCATGAAGCCGACCGTCCGCCACATGGAGCAAAAGTACCGCTCGCCATACTGGCAGAGCTCCTTGGAGGGGAAATCGCGACAGTGCGGATCGTCGAGGCTGGAGCAGCTCTTGTGCAGGCCAATGTGCTTCTCGAGCGTCTCGCCGGCGGTCGTGGTCACCGAGTACGAAACCCAATGGGGCTCTGTGATGGAGGCGACAATCATGGCCGTGGCTATACCGGCGCAGTTAGTTCCATTTTTTTCTTTCCTTGCGCTTGGCACAAATCCATCGCAACTTCAAAGCTCGTGGTATGTGGTGGTAGCTGCTCTTGTTTGGGGCGCACGTTGGACTTCGATGACGTACCGGCAACAAAGGCCACCAGGCCAGCTGTGTAGACATAGACCCGAGTCATGGCTGAGCACGAAAACAAAACAAAAAAAAAATCCCTATCGCAGACTATTTCCTCAAGGACCAAAAAGAACAAGTGTTGAGATGGGAATTGAGCAATGAGGTGAAAGGGGATGAGAGCCAACCAGCGCTGCCTGGCCAGATTGAGGCTGTGGCAGATCGCAGGCACTCGATCCCTGGTGGGTGGGAAAGCAAGGCAGCGCAATAAGAGAAACGTACTGCGAGCTAGCCTATTAACATAAATAGCGCTATGCGTCGAGCAATCCTGTTAGCTGCCTACTGTAAACAAGTCCCAGCTACCTCAATAGGTGGCCTCTCCCTTCGCCTAGCCATTTTGCATGACGAATGCGACATCTCATCGCAAACACATCACGGCGCTCTGCATGACGCTTCCCCTTTGCATCGCCTCCAATGGCCGCACAGCTCGAGGCAACCACCAGCCGATTAGCCCGCAGCTCTTTGTCTCATTTGTCATTCAGTCACATCCTCGACCCAAGCACATGCTGATAGGATGCTCGGGGTCTCACTCGTCTCACTCTGCGCGATAAGGACAATCGCCCATTCAACGTTCACAGGCGTATCCACTTCATCGTGAGAAAGGGCTATATAATGAGTCATACCACGACGCAATATCACCAAGAAAAAGCAATTTGGCGCAGTGGAAGCGCGCCGGGCTCATAACCCGGAGGTCGCACGATCGAAACGTGCAATTGCTAAATTGGTTCCTTTCTTTTTTTGCTCTTTTTTTGTGATGAATTAGCTGTGCAGTCTGTTTCTCTTCTCTAAATTCATTTCTTGCAGTGCCTTCTTTTTGTTGTTCGAGGTCGCATGGTCTCCGAATGACGTGCATGATGCATGTACAAGTACGAGCTTGTACCCGCATGGCGCTTGCAAAGCAACCGTACTCTGTACATTCTGTCGCTCAGCTCTCCGCAAACTTCTAGGCTCAAAGCGGCAGCAGCAGCTCCGAAGCGCCGGCATCGCCATCGGGCGTCAACCGGAAGCTCTTAGTATCTTACCTCACTATAAGCCAATTTCTCTCTCCTTGTCTCCCCGCCCACTACACATGCTTCTCCGCCATGCGAATGCTGTTTAGGCCAATCTCACTCTTGCAAAGCCCTAGATACTTGTCCAAGCCAACAACAGCCCTTTCACCCCTCCTTCGCTCTGCAGCCTTTCGTAAAATGTCGTCCTCGGGTCCAGCTCCGGTGCTCAAAAAGCCCATCAAAATCTCCTGCATCCAGCTGGCCTCTGGTGCCGACAAGGATGCCAACCTCAAGCATGCCGCCGAAAAGGTAGCCGAGGCCGCCCAGTCCGGCTCCAAGCTCGTCGTCCTGCCCGAATGCTTCAACTCTCCCTACGGAACAAACTACTTCCCCAACTACGCCGAGACGCTGCTCCCCTCGCCGCCCACAAAGGAGCAGTCTCCTTCGTTCCACGCATTGTCCGCCATGGCCGCCGAGAACGGCATCTACCTCGTCGGCGGCTCCATCCCCGAGCTCGAGCCCGAGACCAAAAAGTACTACAACACGAGCCTGACCTTTGGGCCCGACGGCAAGCTGCTGGCCACCCACCGCAAGACGCACCTCTTCGACATTGACATCCCCGGCAAGATCACCTTCAAGGAGTCCGAGGTCCTCAGCGCCGGCAACAAGGTGACGCTCGTCGACCTACCCGAGTACGGCAAGATTGGCATCGCCATCTGCTACGACGTGCGCTTCCCCGAGCTGGCCACCATTGCTGCCCGCCGCGGTGCTTTCGCCCTCATCTATCCGGGAGCCTTCAACCTCACCACTGGCAACTTGCACTGGCGTTTGTTGGCTCAGGGCCGTGCTGTGGATAACCAGATCTATGTGGCCTTTTGCAGTCCCGCCAGAGACATGAGCGCCAGCTACAACGCCTGGGGACACAGCTTGATTGTGAACCCCATGGCCAAGATTTTGGTCGAGGCGGATGAGAATGAGACTACTGTCCAGGCAGAGCTAGTGGGCGAGGATATCGCCGAGGCGCGGAAGAATATCCCGCTGAATACTCAGCGGAGATTTGACGTGTATCCTGACGTTAGTCAGAGAGAGATTTCGTTTGACAGGTTGTAGAGGCATAATATAGACATGAAAGCAGGTAAAGACCAAACAAGATAAAGGTTAATGATAATACAATTATGAGAGACGCTGTGCGTACTCATTCAAGACATGATGATCCAATTACAAAGTCAGTTGTCGCGGTCTTCATGCACTGTAGGCTAAATCAATCAACAAGGCAGTCATTGTCATGAGAAAAGCGATCTATTAGATCTTTATTTCAGCTTCTCTCTACATTTAGAGCGTAGCACTCTATATTTCCCTTGATCCTTTTCACGGCCTGAAGTCCAACTTTTTTTATCCTTCTGCGCTAATGCCATTGCTCATCAAAGGAAAATTCAAATCCTTCTTGTTTCATTTTTTTGTTTTCTAACACTCTTTATTTCGTCCATGTCAACTTCCCTTACTCCAGAGCCTTCTTAGCAAAGGTAGGCAGGATGAAGCTGGCCTTGTGGATCTCGGCGTTGTAGTAGCGGCACTTCTGCTCCTCCTCCTCGGGGGTCCAGCTGCGCAGGGGAACGCGGACGTTGCGGTTGGCGTCCTTGCAGCAGACCATGAAGCCGATCTGGCCGGAGGGGTAGGTGGGGATGGTGGTGTAGGCGTACTCGGCGACGGGGAAGATCTCCTTGCAGTCCTTCTTCAGCTGGGTGATGAGAGGAAGGTGGAGCCATTGGTTCTCAGCTGTAGGAATTACAAGAGTTAGTTATCTACCAAGTGCATCAACGATGGAAATAAAAGCAAAAAAAGCATAGGGAGCTGAAGCTCTAGCGGAACAATGAATGTTCTGCCCTATGGTCTTTCATAATAAGCGGCTGTACTCGGAACTACCGAGCGGCCCTCGTGAGAAAGCAGCACTAGCTCTGGCAGCCCCTAGGGAGTCGGAGTATGGATGCAGTCACCAAAGCTGGTTCCAAAATGCACACCAAAGATGCAAAATGCAGGAAACCAGAACGGGTCGCTCTAGCATGCCGGCCAAAACCCTAAAGGGGCTACACGCCTTCTCGAAGAAAAAAGAGACATACAACCTTGGGTCGTGATGACACCTCCCTCGCGGAGGGCGTCGTGGAGAAGCTGGAAGTAGGGCTTCTTGAAGAGGCTCTCGGCGGGGCCCTCGGGATCAGAAGAGTCGGTGATGATGACGTCGAAGGTGTTCTTGTAGTCGTCCAGGAACTTGAAGCCGTCGCCAACGTGGGTCTTGGACTTGGGGTGGTCAAAGCCGACGGACATGTGGGGGAGGAACTGCTTGGACAGGCGGATGACGGCCTCGTCAATGTCGCAGAGGATGGCCTCCTCGACGCAGTCGTGCTTGACAACCTCGCGGAGGACACCGCCGTCACCACCGCCGATGACGAGGACCTTCTTGGGGTTGGGGTGGGAGTTCATGGCCAGGTGGGTGATCATCTCCTGGTAGGAGAACTCGTCGCGCTCGGTGGCCTGGATGACGTTGTCGAGGACGAGGACGTTGCCGTAGTCGGTGGACTTGAAGATGAGCACGTCTTGGTACTGGCTCTTCTCGTGGTGCAGGACCTTTTCGACCTTGAGGGTCATGGCCTGGCCGGGCCACATGTTGGAGATTTCGCGGAACCAGCCATCTGGTTGGAGCTGTTAGCACATCTACACGCAACGGCAGTAATGATGGGTGAATGAAATATCGAGAGCACAGCTTGATTGAGGCTGGAGTTCCATGCTGCAACTTCTACTCCAGCTCAATTGGGGATTCCACGCTGACTTTTTTTTTTCTTATCACGATTTCTTATCGCAGCATCTGGAATCAACAAAACGGACACCCTAGCTGTCTCAAGGCATATCCAGCATCTCACAGCTTCTGCTCCTCTTATACATCAAATAAAAACATTCAATGGAGTCGCAGAAGCATGTGCCGATGCTTTCAACGTCATGCCCCGCCATCCATGAACACGGTCATGGAGGGGCAATTGGAACAAAAATTTCCAGAGCAGCGGGGTATGAGCACAAGGTGAAGATGGGATTCAGCAGCAGACCTACCTTGGATGGTGGGGTGGACAATTTCGTTGGACATTTTGGCTGTGGTGTGAAGGACTCGTGAGGATAAAACACGGGGTATCAATATGGGAATAAAAGAAGATGAAGAGGAAGAAAAAGAAGGAGGAGGAGGAAAAGAGAGTGACGGCGGGCGACGAAAATTCGGGGGCCCAGACGCAGGGAGCCGAGCGCCTAACTCGCAACGACGAGCCGTAGCTGGGCTCGAGTCTGGTGGGGTGAAAATTTTTGGCGCACTTTTCAACTTGAGCCCAAGAATGTGGTTCTGGATCTGATGCCGGCTCTGGGGCTGCACGACGGACAGCAGCCGTGGGCGGGCTGCTGGAATCATTTGGACCAAGTCATGGAGATGTCTGATTTGTTACTTTATATATAATATCCCAGAAGAGATGTTAATTAGAGCAGCATCAACAACGAATTATGAGGTTTGGTACCTGTCGATTGGGTTTACACCTTGCAGAGTGCTTGCAGCCTGTACCTTGCCGGTACCCCTTTGAGAAACATGACGTCGGGAAGCTTCAAGCTAACCGAGACCAGTCATTGCACCCCAAGCCCTCCATTGAGCTCCCACACGGCCGAATGATTGGCTCAGCTGCCCAGCTCTAAGCCCGAAAATGATAACCTTATAAGTATTTTTTTGACTAGGCCGTCGCAGGTACTTGGGGCGGCATGGGAGGAAAAAAAGTTAGTGGGCAATGCGGAAGAAAGCTTCATGATGGAGCAATTCGTGACTGGCTACCAAGTTCCGCTTGCAATAACCATGAACCCACCAGGCCTGGAATTTCTCGGGAAATTCCCGCATCAGGCAATGCATCACGCTATCAACTATAACAGACTATCACTCTTATGAACATTTTATAGCAGTTCTTGCAGCTATTAGTGGGCTGGCAAGCTTGGGGGCATTTGCTGTGAGACTACCGGATGGTGGGCAAAGTATTCAGCGAGACTGCAATTTCTACATGACTTGGTACAACCAAATACATCTCATTCAACTTACTCATATGCCATGTTGATCATGTATTGTAGATGGAACTCTTTGGCAATTTATCCTGCATTATCTACTGCCTAGATGCTTTTTACACCCGTCAAAAGTTGAAAACTTCTCTATACCCAGAATTCACCTACCCTGAAACTCGTTAGAATTATACTTTTCTCTCTCCTTCCATGCAAAATTGTGATTGCCATCACACCTTATATCTTCAGTATCTGCATCAGCAGTCCTTCGTCCTGTAAGTCTATCATCTCTACTTGTAGCCATAGCTTTCAATCGGGTTTCATGTCCTAGGTGAACACAGATATGAATCAGCATGCTGCAAAAAGAAAAAAAGAATGGAGACATACGCCAAGATGAAAACTTGACAAAAGAGCAAAAAAAGAAACCAATCATTTTTGGAAATATAGGAAAAGCCCAACGCGGGGGTCGAACCCGCAACCTTGAGATTGTAATACAGAATGTGTAACTCATAAGAGTCTCACGCTCTACCGATTGAGCTAGCCGGGCAGGCTATTGTTGAATGGACGATGTGGATAAACTGCCTATGAGGGTTTGCTACCAAGCGCCACACAGATCGCTATTAACAGCCCAAACGTTTGTTCTGCTCATAAGATATTTGCAAAACGCTCTCAAATCTTGCTTGGATATCATTTCTTGAAGATTTTCTTTTCTCTACATTTTGTGAATATTAATAGAGTGTCTCGCCCAAAAATGACACATAGGAGCTGTGATACAACTCCTTTCTGCGCTCCGCACGCCTTCTGCCGCAGGATGAAGACGATCGTCTACATGTACATATTAGCACAGAATATCATAGCAGGAAGCATGATGTCCAAAATGTTTTATTATTTGATATGGATTCTATCTAGAGATACTGCAAGCACTATTGATTGGCATACAGTCAGTTGAAGTTCATCCGAAACCCATCCTAGAGGTGTGGTAGGGTTCGCGTCCAAGGAGCGTCACAATCTATCCGTATCTGCTGCAGTGAAATAGGCCGGACTACTCGCTCTGAAACCTCCAGTCCAATAATCGCGTCGCCATGAGACCGAATAGTATCGCTGTCAAGCGTTTCGTATACAATATCAAGCCTAAAGCCGCCACGCCTGGTAGTGACGGCTTCCCAGATCTCGACGACTGAAGGCTGCAAGGTGAGGCCCCATGTACCTTTCCATGTGATAATAGCAGATCGATCTTCTTTCATCAGCTCGTATTTAAAGTGAGCTGCGAGTTTCTTTCGTCCGTTCCAAATTTCCATAGTCTCGAGCTTTGGCATACGAGTGGCCGCGCATCCTGCTCGTTGAAGCATATCTATGATGTCTGTGTGGCTTTGTTGAGGCGTCAATAGTTGCGAAGTGAGAACCAACAACGTCAAATTAGGCCACTCCTGTGAAGATTGGCCATGGGCGTTGAAGAATTCGCAAGCGTCCACCATGAATGACCCCGAGAGAGACTCAAAATTGAGACTGACTTTCGAGAGGATTCGACTAAGAGCTGTACTTGGAGTCCGAATGCTCTTGAACCTAGAATCCATGATGCTGAAGGTCTCCGCATACTTTTCGTTAAAGTTTTCGAAGATTGTCAGGTTTTTTAGATCTGTCAAGGCAAGGGACTCGAGAAATTTGAGATGGGCTACATCAACGGTAAACGTCAGTAACAGCAACACCGCCAGACAGTATTTTAATACACGCAGTATACTGTCCTTGTGAGTATATATCAAGAAAATTGCTTACATTCGTCTCTGGATTCCTGTTTCCCATTACCCCATTCCCTCCATGGCTCATAATAGAGCTGTCGAAGCATTGGCAACCGAGAGAGCATTTGAGCAAGCGCCCGAGGCTTCCAACGCCGGCGATTCTGTTGACGTAATAACACACTGGTCACCGCTGGGGCCAATGGCAATTGCTGCCACCATTCATCTTCTTGCTCGTCATTGGTGAATGGAAGAAGAAAAGCATCATCCTGATTCATAATCTCGCCGAATACTCTGTCAATGGCGGCCCTTGGCGTATGGTCTTCCACATTCACGTTGTTCAAGTCATGTTGATCATCAGCAGCTCTGGCCCGGCCTGCTTGCTCAACTACTCGATCATGACCTCCCGTGTTCCATGGAATATCGGGCTCAAAGGTAAGATGTGGAAACCAGTGCTCTGAGTCGCTAGGCGAGTATACAGAGATGTCAAGTGATAAGTTGCTCTCCGACCCCCAGGTGCTGAGGACTGAGAAAAGTTTCTGCAGTGCTGTCATGATAACTTCGCCCTCATCATCATTCGTATTGAACACCCACGTTGGTAGTGCGCAATCAATGCAACAGTATTTGTCCAGTTCAAGACATAGCCACAAGTAGCGCACCAGAGATCGGTTGCGGGATGTCATTGAATCAAACTTGGCGAGACGTGAAGGCGTCAATCTAATTCGTGCAAATGTATGTTGCTCGATTTTCTCTTGCCATTCACGCGATACTGTAGCGAAATCGGCCAACTTGCCGCCATCTTCTATCAGTTTTTGGAGTATCTGATGCTTAATTTCCAGAGGAAACACGTGCCAGGACATCTTGTTGGCTGTTGCTGTGTTAAGTGTTGATTGTATTGATGCCAAAATAAAAAGGGAGAGTAGATTCCGGGAAGACAACAAGAAGACAAACAAACATCGAAGGCTAGGTTTATAGAGGGAGGAATTGTGGGTTGGCCAGATTGACGCGTATTCAAGCTTTACAATATTGTCCACCAGTGGATAATTTAGTCAAAGTTTGACAGTTCTTCAGAGAAAGTTTAAAAGTTCCAGCCGGCCGAATTATAACGTGGCTTTGGGATATATATAGATGTAGCTATCGATACATCTACTTAGGAGTGTAATGGTAGGAGAAAGATTGGCCTTGCATTTGCGTTGCAGAACAACACAGAAGTTAGTTTCAAGAGACATCATCTTACAATCACTATCCCCCAACAACTAGTTCAAACACTGTCTATTCTCACTTGAAGGTCATCTTTCGCTCGCATCCATGGTAAGTAAGTCTAGGAAGTAGAGTTTGCTTGCTAATGTAGCCCAGCCACCAATGTACATCCAACTTCTCTCAAAAACTGTACTATCACGGTTCTGTCTAGGTTAGCGATAGCGAAAGCCTTATTGTGGCCGTTCACCAGATTGCTTGTTGTGAGTATTGCGCTTGAAGGTAGCTTGAAATTACTAACGAACATGTCGTAAGATAGTAGGCAATGTCATCTAGAGGCAATGTCTTGGGAATCACGATATGAAGTACACGCCTGTGCATGTAGTACCTAGGTAGGTAGTAGTCTTCTTCCAGGTACTTCTTTTATGGAGGCACTAATGCAGCTTACTTTTCGGGCCGCTACATGTAGTTGACACGTGTTTATAGCACACAATAGGTAGATTTGTTAGGGCCACCGACGCGATAATAGTCTGACTTGATACCTAGTCAATGCCTAGTCAATTCAAAGATCTCTAGGTATATAAAAATCATCCAACACTATATAATATTCAGCTAAGCATTATACTTATGGAAGTAATGGGTTATGAAAAAGAAGTAGGTTATTTGAAGGTACAAAAAAATGCTCCGTATCTAAGTAGTAAGAAGCACCTGCCTTACTACCGCATCGAGGTATAAAGTATAGAATTCGGAGGAAAACATCCGATTTCTCAGGTTACACATGTGCGTATTACCTGAATGGACCATCTGTAGCGACTCAGCCTCGCCATGGTCATTGTGCGATAGATGCCTGACGTATATGCCCAACCCCGCCGGGTTGCTTCCAGTATTTCTTCTTTCCAAAAGTCACATTTTCTGCTATTGAAATGGTCTGTAATCGTTCCTCCGTCCACTCCTCTAGTTATTGACCGGAACGCAAAACGGACGAATATATAATGGCGCTCAATTCGCAATTCATTGCTTCAATATTTTCTGCTAGAAATGAAAATAGCTTCTCACTTGCGAATGCGAGCGTGGACTTTGCTCTCGTCAGAGTGGAAGTTCCCAAGCAATTCGAAGGATTGGGCAATGCACTCTCTCAACACCGTCGACAAAATGCCGAGTCCGGGTCACAACATAGAATAGCTCGCAGGCTTGGGGCCTTGTTCGAGCAGATTATTCCGAACATCGAAATTCTCACTGCTGCATATGGGGAGAGAGCCTCAGAAATTGCGACCTCGCCCCTATTCGATCTGAAGGTATGTAGAACTACTACTCATCAGCTCCATATTGTACTCGAATGTGTTGATTCTAAAAAAAACTTTTATTCAAGAACGTTGATCACGGTCCGTTTTCCGGTCATGTGGGAGTAGACGGCACTTCTATCTACGCAGCAGTATCTTCTGGACCAAGTATCATCGCACTACATCTGCTTGCTTGTATGCTGGCTCGAATGTTTTCCAATGTTGAGGCCACGGCTATCTGGATGCAGCTCGTTGACGGTCGGCTGAAAGATCTCGAAAGGGCTTCCGAGACTTCTCAAATACAGGGCCTTGCAGCTTTATATGCGGCGGAACAGGGCCGTCAGATCTTGCGAGACGATCTAGCGAGCTGGGACGCCAGCGCACGCGCGTGGTTGCAGACCGCGAACGAAGTGAAGAAGCGCGAAGATACGCAATTGAAACTCATTGTCAAGAACATTCCATCAATACACAGCTCCGGTACAACCTACTCAAACGTGGTGGAGAACTGGATTTTGGCGATGAAGACGGCCCAAGACCTGATACAGGGCGTACCACAGGATGTAACAAATGGCTCTGTAATATTGGGACTCATGTCATGGCACATCTATCCAGACTTGAACGTCTTCTCTCCGAACCGAGATGTTAAATTCAACGATCGGCTTGTTAAGCCTGGGGGCGTTATCACTCTTGGGCTAGAGGCAAAAGAGAAGAATTGCTCTGGAGTTAGCTGGTCAGTGTCGCTTTCACACTTGCGTTTCTATGGAGATCCGGTTGTTATTGAAAAGCGATTTGAAGAGGACAGTGACCGGATCACAGTTGAAGAGCTCCGCTACATCACTTTCGGATGTGTCCTTGGAAGTTGGGCCCAGCCAGCATCAATTTATATCGAGGAAGCAGCAGAATGTTTTTCCGCACTGGGAGAAGCCATTGGATATTGCAGCAACTCGACCGACGATAAAAGCTATGATATCGCCCTAGGCTGGATCACCCCTCTCATTGATACAGCAAATAGTTTCCTATCTGCTGTCGAAAAGGAGAGAGAGACAGCGCTCTACTTCATTGAATTCGGCCGACGGAGAGGCCGGAATTTCCTGGACGATAAATTTCGCGATATTGTCCCCATGTTTGGGCTGCTTAATCCATACCTTCTATTCAGACTTTCGCCAGATTTTTTTGGTCAGTGTCATGACATTGAAGGATCCATCTCCGTGCTCCGACGCCTCGCTCAAAACATAAATTTGCGTAGCGATGATTGTATCATCGTTACTAAATCTCATATAGAGCCCAAATTTGACGAGGCGGCCCAGGGCGGTTTTAGTTACGAAGGCAATTGGGAATATGCTTCCGCAGTTCCCATCGCACGTCAAAGCAGAAAACGGGCTTACGGGGGAGAGCCCCAAGTTATACAACGGTATTCTCGATGGATCCATATCGATCGCACTAAAGACCCTCTATTGCAAAGATATATTAAGATTCCTGACGACACTGCTACTGAACCGTCACTCCCACACCAGGATTGGAGCCCCGGAGGATTTTACTGGCTACCGGATGAAACTGCCTTTATGCGCATTCAAGGCTGCAACTGTGCTAAAACAGACAAAGCGTCTTGTCACTCCTATTGCCCATGTGCGGAGCAAGGGCTCCAATGCACTTCACAGTGTTTGTGCCTATCAACTTTTGCGGGCACGGAGCGAATTCTACAGTGCGCAAACGTTCGAAGCTGTCAGCCCACCTCAGGGTATGTAGATGAAGATTGCTACTGGCTCTCCGTAAGAAGCACTATGTATATGGGTGGTGGTGATATACTTTCTTCTCGCAGATGTGAAATGCAATGGATTGATCCTCCTACAGAATACGCTCAGAATTCTTGTTCAACATACGATAGCACAGACGAACAGTACGGTCGCTTTATAAATTCCCTAGAGGAGCCAGAGTACCAATATCACCCTCCTTGTTTGCGCAATGCAACTGAGCCTGCAGGTCTATTCTGGTCCGTGGAGGCGAATGGAACCGCCGCGTTGCTTCTCAGAAATTCAGCCGAGGTTAAGGTTCCCTCGTACACGCTTCCCAAGTTAACAGCTATCCTTCGCTCCAGTGCCCTGGATCCCAGCTTCTTGAGAGAATACCTCGAAGAACTTCCAGAAACTGGAATAATGGACTGCTCAGATTCTTTGGATGGGGTGTATCAACAAAGCGCTCTATTTTTTAGATCTTTGAGAGCCATATCTGCTATATCAGACTTGTACAGCGATTGGCCGGGAGCGACGATGTCAATTGGCATTACCAAGCAGCCCATAGGGCGTGCAAACTGGGCTACTAATGTTTTTGATCAGACTGAACGCGAGGAAGAAAAGTTCTGGCGAGCCATCAAGTTTTCGTGCCTGGCAATGCTTGAATCCGGTGGATGCGACTTGCACCCAGACCAAGTTAAGCACGTCATGGCCATGGCGACCGGGAATTCTATCTATACTTCAGAGGCCCTGCTTCAAGACCCGGCATTGCAAGACCACTCAGGTAAACCACCTTTCAAGGGAATTCGACGTATTCATGGTAACTTGGGCTATCCTGGCGTTGTCATGCTCATCCCGCCCCCAGTGCCTCGGGTGCTGCAAGCCAACTCGATGCGAGGGAGATTTGTTCAGGCGGCTAGCTTTGATGGACAGCCCAAGAACTCTTTCACTCAGACATCCCTACACCTTAAGCTTACCGACTACAAAGTTCCATTGGCTAATGCTCGAGGCGCTGTTGACGCAGACATTGTGATGCGCGAGGCTTTAATGTCAGTGTACGATGGATCAAGATGGGTCGCTGATTTGGACATCATACGTGCATTACAGAGCCAAGACTTGACTCGTTTCTTCGGCTGCAGTTGCGTCCGCGACGATGTTGATAACAAAACTCTTTGTCAGCTTCTCGCCGACAAGTTCGGCAATCAGCTCAAAGTAATAACTTCATGGGAAGAGCTTCTCTTATACCAAGAGAATTTAATGGTTGGGGAGTTTGGTACTGTGCTTGTCTATGGGAGCTGGTTTGCCCGACTGGCTGTGACAACAGTCGCATTTCAGATGAAATATCCTGCGATTACTTTGCCATCTCACTGCATATGTTTCCAATGTGGACAGAAGATTCTGGGGGAGGGTTCTTGGACTTCGCCAGTAAAAGAGTCGACGTCTCCCCTACTGTTTATTATATAATTCGCAATGGCCATCATCTATGGCAACTAAATATTAGACACAGCAGTAAATGCATGCGTTGTCAGAAAAGCTCAAATACTCGACGAGAGCTTACTCGTTTCATAGAGATATCGTAAGAGAATAGGAATCGATTATTATAGGCAATGCTTTGGAATACAATACCTACCCGTCAAGTACAGTGATGGGTCGAAAGTCTGCGAACGCTATACTGAGTACCACCAAAAGTCACAGTTTTCAAAATTTAATAATCAAATCTACAAAATACGTATGCAGGTGATGAAAGTCAAAATTTAATAACAATTGATGAATATTTTATATTTTAATAGTACTTACTTATAATACTTAATTTTATAGCAGCTGTTGTGGATTGAATCTGCAATAGATTATCCCCTCCTAAACTGAGTGTATCTTTATTTTTTTTTTTGTTTGCAGACTTTTGTCCCCTGACTGTACACAGAAGTGTACTTCAATTCAACGGCCACACAACGCGGAACTGTCTTATCAAATTTCAGAAGAGGTTGACCTTTTGCGCGCAAAAGACAGAAAGCTAAATGAGACAACACAGATGAAGCTACCGTCAGAATTTTGGATGGCTACTCCTTACGACAAGGCAATCTGGAACTGGATTAGATCACCGCTGGGTCAGCATGCCTTTACGGCAGGTCAAATGGCTTACGGCGATCTGCATGACATAGATTGGTTTCTTTCCTGTTGGGGCATTCTGCACAATGTCGGTGTTAGCTGCAGTTGGCAATAATATATAGAAAGGACGTTCGCAAAGGGCACAGTGCTTATAAGGCACCACGTAGTCTAGGATAAAAAAGGTTTCTCTTTCTGGAATTTCTTAGCGGCCGGCACCCGTATTTGGTCCTTGTTGTAGGATGCCAAGGTCTCTCCATGGCTGCTTTTGGTTCAATGCCCGATGTAAGAATGGTCAGCTCAGAGTGGCATGGGTGTAACGAGTGAGCACAGATTCTATGAGATGTCGACGATCCTTGATCACGGCCTGGTATGGAAGCTGTTCACTTGTTTTAGTAAAGGGGTAGACTGTATGTTGTCTCCTTTCAGTTGATAGATAGCATCAGAGATAAGGGGCGGCTAAATGACTGGGGTTTCGTTGTTTGTTGGTTGCAACAGTGTTATATCTCAAGGATGCTCCGACCTGCATGGGCATCAACTCCACTCATCAAGCTGACATGCAATATCAGATCGGTAGAACAGTTCTACCGTGCCACTAGATTTTGTTGGATGTCTCATCAAGTTTTTGTATGTTATATCTCTTTTCCTCGTGATATTCTGCATGTCACTCAATCCCAGTGGCGTGGTGATATCACGATGGAAAATGATGGACCTACTTCGCGCTTGTAACTACAATATCATAGCAGTTGTGATTAGTAGCTTGGTGCTACCCTACAATAGCGGGCATGAAATAAAAAAGGCCTTGTGCCTTTATTATTACATTTTAACAGATAAATAAACAGTAAGGCTATATTCCGCCGTTTGACTATCTGCAGGTAACAGTATGTACGTATCAACCATCGAGTCTCAAATGCATCCAAGACATTACAAGGCTACGCGATCCGATGAACGCCTGCAAGCAGTGAACCATATTATATGACGTATCAGTAAATGCGGAGCGGAAGACTGAAGCACAGCGCAGCATTTCCCAAGAATCTAGCATTACAAAGCATCTGTGATGGCGTTATCAACCGAATCGCCCAAAATCTGACTGACCATTGCGGAGATGAGAAGCTGCACAAACGCCTTGTTCCAGGGTACACGAGCAGATGTCCACGGAATTCAACGATTCAAACCACAGACGCAACAGTTGGCGAAAGCCAAGGCGACTCCCCGTCCCCTGTCCAGCCTAGTCTTACTCGTAGCAGTCAAGAGGCACCCTTTTCGAATCTAGTCCAGCAGGGATCAGGCCCCCGGCACAACTCCCAACGCTACTCTATCCTGGCCATGGCGCCGATGTTTCAAATCAAACATGGCCCGCCATCGGCGCACTAATCTTTTCTCTCTCGCCCAAGTTTTGACATGTCACAACCCTGGCCAGTCAGGCCAAGAGCACGTTGCGAAATTGCCACGCGGTTTTCCTGGTGCCGTGCCGTCGAGCCAAATGAGGCTTCGAGTCGCGGGCTGGGGGCGGGAAGAAGAGAAGGACAGTCGAGCAAAAAAAGCTGACAGGTGACAAGACCCGGGAGTTGGCAGCAGCACACCAAGTGAGCCAAAACGTGCGTGAGGGAGGGTTGCACGAACCCAGAAGGAGGTTGGGCTGCTGCTTTTGTTTGTCATTTGTTTGCCAGTTTGCCCATACTTGTAACATACATGGACGCTACTACTGCACAGTTGTTGGACTGGACTCAAAGGTCCGGGCTGAGCCATGAGCAGCAGCGGCAAAATGTCCGGCTTTGCTACCTGCGGAATACAACCGAGTCCATTGTTGTGCTCGAGGCAATATGTACTACTGGCTAGCGGCTTCAACAATATACCAGACACTGGAGCCAATACGACAAGAGTTCTCCATACTGCCAGCATTCTGTCCTGCACTTACCCAACGAGGCATTTTTTAGACTAAATGTCATTGACTAAGCCGGCCCTGGCAAAATGCACCTGTAATTGCACACTCGCCAGGAGAAAGTTGCCCAGAAGATCGTCTTGCTAGCATCCATGGACACATGTATATGTATGTATACTAGGCATGAGATGCAAAGAATGCTGCAAATCACTTGCATACCCATGAAAGAAGACGAGCACTTGTGAGCTTGATTTTCAAGGATGGACACAAGCTTCTCTACTCGTGACACTTTGCCTCGTAGTAAGTGGAGTCTGCACCATGACTTGCACGGATACTTACTCGCACCTGTTCTCATGTATCTACACTGTATCTACCCATCAACCCATCCACCTCCCTCCTCAACTTGGTGTGAAATGCCACTGCTGCACAGGCAAGGCCAGTCTGCAAAGCGAGGTAGCAGCAGTGCCACCTCGACGACTCCTCTTCTGCCACCTCCACGGCCGCTCAAAGTGCCGAGCCCACGCTGCAGCCCCAAGTGTCTTGGAAGCCACGAGGCCGGCGGAGGATGGATGCGAGACAAATGGAAACCTAACCTTAAATCTCCGTTTGCGGCCGATGCCTCCACCGACTGGAAATGCGAACTGCGCCGTTGACAAGATGGAGTCCATGTTATCTCGGGCCTCACTCACGATGCAGAAGGGATCATCGCCGCTACGCGCCTAGCAGGTACTGTTATTTGGCATGCCGCGTACTATAACGACCTAATGGCAGCTATAATAAGCAATGCCAGTAGAAAGGAGCTATATACACGCATCGATGCCATTGATGGCTTCTCGTATGCAAAAAGAACCCAGGCTAATTATGATTAGAGGAGGCCACTAAAGACGACATTAACCGGCCGGTCTTTTTTTTTTTTTTTTTTCTTCCTCACTAGCATACCCATCAGCAGGCTCTTATACAACTTGAACCAAACTACCGCATCTACCGCATCTCCATTATACTACTACTACAATGTACATGCTGTGTACCACTCAATGTACACGCAACTCCACTCAGCACGCGAAGGCGGAGAGCCTCCCCCTGGCACGGGCCGCCTTTTGCCACGGCCGCGTCAAGTAGCATCTTCACTGCAAAAAAAGCGAAGAAGAGAATTTTCTGTTTCTGGCAGAGGTGTTTATGCATGCTATGCTCCAAATGACTTAAAATGTTATTTTTATAAAAAAAAAAGAACAAAGCCACGCGGTTTCGAATATGCAGTGGCTGAGACGGGCGAGGTTGGTTAGTGGAACGCTGGCGTCATGGGCATTGATTCGCATCCTTCGTCATCAGATGTCACTTTTTTATCTTCAACCCCCAAATCGAAACAAAGAGGCACTGGCTAGACGTCTCCCTACATACTGTAACGCAGCCGATATCTTCAATGCTTACCCGCACTACCTAAACTAGCACTATCACTACCACCGCTGTATATCCCGAGAAGCATTTCAAGGGCGATTATAATAAATCGTGGTGGACTGGTTTTTGAGTCAAGCGGTGCGAACTCGGATTTTTGCAATGGGCATGTTGGTTGCTTGGTGCCCGACTAGTAGGTAGGTAGTGCATTGAGGTATCAAACGCCAAGTTTTCTTTTCTCTTCTCTTCTTCTTTCCTTTCTGTCTAGAGTTTGCCGTCCCCGGTGATGAGTAGTTTGTCTTCTTGGGTAGCAGCGCAAAGTCGTAGCGCATGAATCCTGCGAATCAAAATCGTCAGCAGGCTGCAGCCGTCTCTGTGCTCACGTCGTACATACATGTGGCTGCAGAAGAAGTGCTCACAGAAACAGGAATCCTGCAGCCTGTATGATGCATGCGATGCGCAAAGCGATGACCTATAGCTGTGAACATACTGTACGATGCCTGTACCGTGCAACTACTTTCGTAACTCTTACTCGTACAGCTAGATACTAGACTACTACTTGTATGTACAGTAGTACCTCTTCTTCCAAAACTTTTACGTATTTTGCCTTGCACTTGTCTGCAAATTTTTCTTCGTCTCTCTCTTGATATCACCACCAGCCTCCGCATGGCCCAATGCAGGGATAGCCAGACTTCTTCATGTCATGCCACGCCCATGCCACGAGTCGTCTCGATCCGCCATTCCGGTAGTCACCACCGTGTCTCGCCAAGTTGGTGTGCAAAAACGTGTGCGCTGCATGCAGGGACCACTAATATGGAGTTGAAGATGAAGAGCTTCTCCGGTGGTAGGTCGGCAGGTCAATAGCCGTGCGGAGTGCGCAGCCGCAGGTCTCGAGTACCTGCGCCGCGACAACGCATCTGGCCCGCCCGGTACTGGCGACCTCGGGCGTCTCTGTTCCGCCACTCCCGCAGAGTGCGCGTTGCTGCAAATGGCACGCCATGAGTGCGTAGCCGGAACGTCGCAAATGAGAGCCCACCTTCATGAGTGCTAGTACTGTCTACTCTGCACTTGACTTGCGCTGCAGAACCTGAGCGCTACGCATATCCAGCTAGAGCGGTACCATCCCGCCGCTGTCAATGCACGCTGACGAAGCCTCCAATTTCGCGCCGTTTCAAGGTACCTGCTGGCGCTCGGCCGAGTAGCGCCCAAGTACCGCCTCGCCGAGTCCACCAAGAGCCCCTTATTTGCCCCCCCCAGCAGAGCGCCGTCGAAGGCCGCTAGAGCGTCTTGGTGTCTCGAACAGAAGCTCGATGGCAGGCTCGGCTGCAGCAGCCACTAGAACGGGCCCTGGTCGCTGCAGGCTGGGCTGGCACCGAGCCGGGACCCCCATGCCAAATGCCATCCATGGATGCTTCAGCGGCAGCTTGCTCAATCCAGGTTCGTTCAACTCCTGCGGTACGGTGCTGTACAGTACTGTCAGAAATCCATGCCCCGGAGGCAGAAACAGGCTGGCTGTTGCATTTGGCCATCCCCGGCTGTGGATGGGGACGAGCGAATCCCGATTCTGCCGCATCTTCGCGTCTCGTTTTTCCTCCTCCTCTTCCTCTTCTTCCTCGTCTGAACCTTACTGTAGCCGTTGGTCGCCACTTTTCCGCCGTTGCTTATCTTATTAGTACGGCACAGTACGTAGTTGCTGGAGAGGCTTGATCTTGGTTGTGGCCTTGCTCGGTGGAATTGCTCTTCCGCGCTGGCCTTCTTCTCTTCTCCATCGGTGCTCTGATCTCTCTAATCCCCTTCCGCTCCCGATCGACGACGAACAGCGACGATTGACGGACATCACTCGTGCAGAGGCGACGGGTCGACAGGGACCTTGGAGATTGACAGGGGCTTTTCGCGCAACATTTCGACCACGATCGCGAAACATAGGGGTCGAAAGCGAGAGAGGCAGCCTTGGAAGCACCGCTTTCTTTGCACTTCCGTACCGTCGCTTGCTGCACTACGGCCGCAACCTTTGTTGCTAAGCGACGACCTTTTCTTCATTTGCAATAGTCATCGTGACGTCCCGGGCGTACACGTTTGCGCATAATAAAAATAAAAAAAACGACATCGAAAAAGTCTGCTGCTCGTTGGCTCAAGACTTTCCGCAAAGCGCTACTTCCGTGAACGCGACTCCACGGCAATTCGGCTTTTGCATACTCTTTCCGGCATTTGCTCACCACGACGGCCAAGCTGTGGCCACACAACACGACAATGTGCTTCGGGGCTCGGAATAAGAACGAGGATGGCGAGGCCCATTCTCGGGAGCTGGATAAGGTCCTGCGCCAGGATGAGAAGCGCATGGCTAAGGAGGTGAAGCTGCTACTATTGGGTAAGTCTTGATTGCGATATCCGCTTTCCTTTGGTCAACCTCAATCAATCGCGCCAAACAAGGAGGGGGAAAAGAAGGAGGGGAGAAAGAAGAGAGATATGTTGGGGAACATATACTGAGAGAGAGAGAGAGAGAGAGAGAGAGAGAGAGCAAGAAATGGATTTATACGTACCGCCGATGGCGTCGCTGTATTGCATGTGCTAACGCGACTCGTCTTTATAGGGGCTGGAGAATCAGGAAAATCTACCATCCTGAAGCAAATGAAGCTCATATATGCTCAAGGCTTCAACAAAAACGAGAGGCTAGATTTCAAGCCCGTCATCTTCAACAACATTGTTCAGTCATTCAAGACCATCTCCGAGGCCATGGCTGAGATGGGTTTCGACTATGACAGCCCTGATAACGAGGTTAGTAGCTTTGCCTCTTGGTGTGGCACCCCGGCATTTTATATGATTTACATGTGCCTTCTTTCACAAGCTTGTGCTTGTGTTACGTCGTTCACGGATGCAAGATGTAGCCCGAGGAGGAACGACGGCGTGCTACACGGGTCATCACAATGAACCCTGGCTGACACAAAATGTTATTTATAGAAACACATGGCGCACATTTTGGTTGATGGCGAAATCAGCCCAGACAGCAAGATGCCCGAGGATTACCTAGAGCCTATCAAATTGCTATGGCAAGACAGTGGTGTCATGGCCGCAATTGCCAAGGGCAACGAATACGCTCTGCACGACAATCTCACATAGTCAGTTCTAATTCTGCTTTTCTTTTGACGCTCCAGTAACTACTGCGAGGTTTTTTAATCTTTCCGCCCCCATCCCACCCCATTTCGTTATTCATTATTATTTCTCTCAGAGTACACGTATGGCCTTGACTAACCCCAACTCAGCTTCGTGACCGACATCGATCGGATATGGGCCGACGGTTATGTACCGAATGACCAAGACTTACTCCGCTCTCGATTGAGAACAACAGGTATCATAGAAACTGTCTTTGATCTAGGTCAGTTGACATACCGCATGTTTGACGTCGGTGGCCAGAGGTCAGAACGAAAGAAGTGGATCCATTGCTTCGAGAATGTCAACTGCCTGCTCTTCCTCGTCGCCATCAGTGGTTATGACCAGTGCCTTGTTGAGGATAAGGACGGCGTAAGTGCCCAAATAGATGTATGCCATGATATGATACAATCAACTAACGCAGGCGGCTACAGAACCAAATGAACGAAGCTCTGATGCTGTGGGAGTCCATCTCCAACTCACATTGGTTCGCCATGACGTCGTTGATCCTTTTCCTCAACAAGATGGATCTCTTCAAGGAGAAGCTGCCCAAGAGCCCCATCTCCAAGTACGGCTTCACCGACTACCACGGACCTGAAGACGACTACAAGGCGGCCAGCAAATACTTCCTCGACAAATTCCGCGCGCTAAGCAGAAACCCCGAGAAGGAGATTTACGGCCACTTCACCAACGCCACTGACACAAACTTGCTGAAAATCACAATGGGTTCCGTGCAGGACATGATTATTCAGAGAAACCTCAAAAAGTTAATACTATAAACACCCCAGTTCATCATCTTTGTTTAATTCGTTTTGCACCGCGCTGAGAACCTTTTTGCCAACTCTTTTTCAGGTTACTTATTTGAAGCGGCCTTCAATTTGCCAAAGTACTGATTATTATTATTATCGCCCAACCTCTTTCTTTTTTTTCTTATATTATCATCATCATCTGCCTGGCTGTCGGTCTTTGATTCAACAAATACATACGAGTTGACTCCTCGGTTTAGGCTGCCCGAATCGACCCGGGCACCTTTTCATGCATGATTACGGCATCTTACGGCTTTCACCTTCATTATTCATCAGCAGTGAAGCTCTCGGCTGCTATTTGCGTTGTTTTATCTTAACACATATACACTAGCGGGGAATATGTCACACTCTTCCGTATTTTTTTTTTATCCCTTATCTTACTGTTATTTATTTTTCTTTATTATTATTATATTCATGGCCATTTACGGGGGAGGAAGAAGATTATTGCAAGCTGGGTGGAAAGGCAGCAAGATGTCTGTTTTTATTACTGCACGTTATTAGGACTGGAAGTGAAGTGAAGGGGGAATGATTTGAAGTGGAATGGGAAAGAGAGGAGGAAAAGGAAACCAGGAAATCTTTTATTGGATAAGAGAAAGATATTGGTGGATTTTGTTATTTTTTTTTTTTTTGAACCTTTCAGTGATACCTAACTCTTCTTTTCTTCATTTTTTCTTTCTCTTTCGCTCCTTGATCTTATATGTCTACAATATTACGTGGGCATATATTGAGAATAACGCCTATTACTCTCCTCTTTTTTTTTTGGTTCATTTGAAGACGGTGTGCCGGCGGCTTATAGCACGTGGTAGATTGATAGGCGGCGAATGCTGTTTGAAGCTTGGCTAATGAATGCTGGAGGCTGCAATACCCCCGTACAATTTACCTTGAAGCGCTAATGTGCAAAAATTAGGTATCAAATTTGATCTATTGCTTCAAATTTGCCTTGAAAACTGAAAGAGATGTGCTGGTTTACCATTTTTTCTCTGTTTTTGGAACATGAATGTTTAGTGGTGCTGTATTTCAAGGCTCAGATAGTGTGCTCAATTTGGCTGTACCTTCGTAAGCCAATTACCGCCCGCTCTAACCTAAGCAAGTCACAAAGCAATTTGGCGCAGTGGAAGCGCGCCGGGCTCATAACCCGGAGGTCGCACGATCGAAACGTGCAATTGCTACTTGCTCATCTATTTTTTTTTTTCCGTTCCTTATAATACCCAAGTTCATATTTTCAAATGTCCTAGTATAATATTATAAATATTAAGGCTTATAATATTACACTTAATATCTTTAAGGCATTTAATAATTATTAAGGGAATTTACTACTACTATATGCAACCAATTTTTCTTCGTCTCAAATCTATAATTACTAGCAGGTAATAGGTAGTATCTCGTGTTTGCTCCATAAACAGGTCACCACCGCCGCACAAAGAAGCAATCTTTAAGTTCTTTTTTTTTTTTTGCCTGCGTCATCAACACTCAAATCGTCATAATGGTTCCACACACGGGTAAACCGCCAAGCTGAATTCCCATTGGCCAGGTCCCCTCGCCAATCGGGCTAATGATGCGTCTTCCTTCCCGCATTCATTTTGCGGGGAAAGAAGCAGCCACCATTTGATGGAAAGAAAGAGCCAAAAGGCCATAAACAGCAACAATAGCGCGGGTACATGGCAACAAACTGCCGGTTGCGGTTGCATTCAAGTCGGATGTCACTCCGTAGAAGCGAATCAATACAGGTTTCTTCTCCCTCTTTCCCCTCTCTTTCATTTAGCGGGTACCTTTAGCTGGCCGAGCATCTACAACAGCTGCTAAACAGCTGCCGCCCAATTTGTCAGTGAATGAGTGACGAGGTAACCCGAGCTGCGTGGGATGCGGAGATTGAAGCGGCCCGTATAGAAAGGGAGCCTTTTTGTCATGCATGCATGTCTTGGATATTCGGAAGAAACTACTGCTCCTAGCATGAACAATCGACCAACGTCTTTTCCCTGCCCCTTGTCGCGTCTCTCGCATTTCTTTCCCTTCTTCGTCCTCGTCATTTTCGTCTTCACTGTTCTTGCTGCGTGACATGGCATTGCTTCGTTTGTTGCAGCGTTCGAATTCGCGATAGTCAAAGCACTTGAGTCTCACGGCATTGTTTTTCTAAGCTTGCAAGCGAGCGAGTGCTTCTTTCCACCGATTCTAGTTACTCTACATTGCAGAACACGCCTTGCTGTTATAGCTTGGCGATTCCCACCCACGTTGATTGATCATTTGTTTTTTGCCCTTTGGCACAAATCATGGTTGCCATCAAGCGGGCTGCCCTGCTTGCAGGCCTGGCGCAGTTGATAGGCACAAGCGCTGCCCAAGATGCCATCACGGACGACTCTCACTTCTATGGCCAGTCACCGCCGGTTTATCCATCACGTAGGTTGCACCAGACAGGGCTTGTGGAGGGAAGATGGCCTCTTTGAATACTATACTAATGCTGTCGGTTGCTGAATCAGCTGAAATGGTGGGCGGCAACGAGTGGGAGGCGGCATTTCAAAAGGCGAAACTGCTGGTTGGCCAGATGACTTTGGAAGAAAAAGTGAGGCACAGAGACGCGGCGAAATTCAACAAGCCACTGCAAATAATTTCAACTTCTTTTCTAACTCTTTTGTTTGTTAGGTCAATCTGACGGCAGGCGTCACAAAGGATTCTACATGTTCTGGCAATATTCCTGCCATTGAGCGTCTACGCTTTCCGGGCATGTGTCTCAGCGATGCCGGTAATGGTCTTCGCAACACAGACTTTGTCAGCGGTTTTCCGAGTGGAATCCATGTTGGTGCTAGGTGAGAATCCTCCAACTTTACTTGATATATGCTGTCTTAGAGATTCAATATTCCGACCAAAAAGACATTGCCATGCTAACCATGCTGTAGCTGGAGCAAGGACTTGGCTTTCCGGCGTGGCACTACCATGGGTGGTGAGTTCAAGACGAAAGGCGTCAATGTCCTGCTCGGCCCCGTTGTTGGTCCTGCTTGGCGTATCGTACGTGGAGGTAGAAACTGGGAAGGCTTCTCTGTCGACCCATGGCTGTCTGGACAATTGGTAGCTCAGACTGTCTCTGGCATACAGGGGCAGGGCGTCATCACCAGTACCAAGGTAAGCATTCTTCGCGCAACTTTGTGCATTTCCAAGGAGAGTTGAAGATCAATATTGATTCCAAATGTTTTGCAGCACTATATCGGTAACGAACAAGAAACCAACCGGAATCCAGAAGGAAATATCTCTAGTGTATCTTCCAACATTGATGATAAAACAATTCATGAAGTATATCTATGGTAAGCATTGCCACCTTCTAGAGGCCCACCTAGAACTAAATACTAATTGCCCATCTTCAACAGGCCTTTTCAGGACGCTGTAAGAGCCGGTAGCGGAAACATTATGTGCTCTTATCAACGGGTCAATAATTCGTATGGATGCTCCAATAGCAAGACGTTGAATGGTCTTTTAAAGTCTGAACTTGGCTTCCAGGTACGTAAATCCTCACACAGAAGCCCTAATTTCTCACCTCTCTCCTACCTTTTTGCTACTATTATCGCAATACTGACCAAGTATTCGAATCTAGGGGTTTGTTGTTTCTGATTGGGGTGCCCAGCACGCAGGAGTTGCTACTGCAAAAGCTGGCCTCGACGTAGCCATGCCTTCGAATGGTGGTTTCTGGGGGGATCATCTCATTGAAGCTGTGAAGAATGGTTCACTGCCCGAGTCCCGAGTGACAGACATGGCAATGAGGTAATGGTCCTGACGACTGTTGGAATTCACAAACGCTGACACACATCTAGAGTCATCGCTTCTTGGTATCAATTCAATCAAGACCAAGACTTTCCAAAGCCCGGAATCGGCATGCCTTCCAATGTCCTTGATCCTCATGAGATTGTGGACGGGCGGGATCCAGCTGCCGCTCCAGTTCTCCTCAACGGAGCCATTGAAGGCCACGTTCTTGTCAAAAATACAAAGGATACTTTGCCCTTGAAGTCACCTCGCATGCTTTCCCTCTTTGGCTACTCAGCCAAGACTCCAGACGACTTTAATCCGTCCGCAAATTCATTATTCAGTCAAAATTGGATTACAGGTCAAGAAGCGCTCAATTCCAACTATGATTCAGAGAATGGAGTGGCGGCATTCGGTGAAAATGGTACCATGTTCGGCGGTGGTGGCTCTGGCGCCATCACGCCGGCGCTCGCCATCTCTCCCTTTGAAGCCTTGAAAATGAGGGCTTACCAAGATGGCACGGCGGTGTTCAACGATTTCATCTCCGATAGGCCATCTGTTGAGCCTAGCTCTGACGCCTGCATCGTTTTTGGTAATGCGTGGGCCTCTGAAGGATCTGATCGTCCCGCGATTCGAGATGACTATTCAGATTCACTAATCAAATCGGTGGCGGATCAGTGTAACAAGACAGTTGTCATCTTCCATAACGCAGGACCTCGACTAGTTGAAGGCTTTATTGATCATCCAAATGTTACAGCAGTCATCTTTGCCCATTTACCTGGTCAAGAGAGCGGCCCTGCACTCGTTTCCCTCCTCTTTGGAGATACGAGTCCCTCTGGTAAACTTCCATACACAGTTGCGAAAAATGAATCCGACTACGGCGATGTGCTTGATCCGGCACAGCCGAAAGGGGAGTTTGCGAACTTTCCCCAGGCCGACTTCAACGAAGGAATATACCTCGACTATCGCTACTTTGACAAAAAGGGCATCGAACCTCGGTACGAATTCGGGTTTGGACTCAGCTACACGACCTTTGCATATTCCAACATATCGATCAACTACATCGAGGGGGCAAATACATATCCCTGGCCGGGAGGCCCCATCGTAAGCGGCGGGCAGACTGATCTCTGGGATGCAATCGCCACCGTCAGCGTAAATGTCAAAAACACAGGCAGCGTTGCTGGCGCAGAGGTGGCGCAGCTCTATGTTGGCATTCCAGGAGCCCCAACGAAGCAGCAGCTTCGTGGGTTTGAAAAGCCCTTTCTACAACCTAGCCAGTCAGAAACAGTGACTTTCCATCTCACGAGAAGGGATTTGAGCGTTTGGAGCGTTGAGAGACAGAAGTGGCAACTACAGCAGGGCACGTACAAGTTTTACGTGGGGAGCAGCAGCAGACGGCTACCCCTGAACGGGACGATGCATTTGTAAGAAGCAATACCACTATGATTACTTGAAATGGGATCTCAGATTCAGATCATGTATGACGAAATACAGCAATGTGTCATAAAGTATAGTAAGCTACATAAAGTATTTGCCAAGATTGCATGATGTATATGCAGCCACTACTACGTTATACTTGTAGCATGTTAGATCTTTGTTTCTTCCAAGTAAGCCATCTAATAAGAAGAAGGCTTAAAAAAGATGATAAAAAGGGTACTACTCCCATTGGACCGATCGTATTCACCACTTTTGAGGTACTCCAGTCGCTTCATTGGGCAAACTTGTCTTTAAGCTGACGGCCGCCCGTGAACCGTATTTCGTACAATCAGAAGGTGAGTAGGCATGCCAGACACACGTCTCACCGCCTAGGTTTACGGTTGGCTTGCATGCTTACTGTACCTACCTACCCATCAGACAAGCACGCTTTTGAACACCGGCCTTTTTTTTTTCCTGGCCTCTTATATCAGCAAATCAGCCGAGTTTATGCCTTTGGTCATGATGATTCAACGCGCCCCCGGGGCTCCCGCGACCCCGTTGCGAATTCAGACATGAGTCGTACATGGAATACTTGCTCCCCTTCTCGTAAGCCATCTTGGCAGCTTTTTCTCTGCTGGGCAGTTTCAGCGTAATATCCATACTATTTCCACGTAGGTAGGCAGCCAAGCAGTCGAAAATAAAAATAAAAAGGGGGGGCGGGGGGAAGCAAAAGAGAGAGAGAGGAAGAAAAAAGGCAACTTTGATGTCATAGAGCATTATCACATACTACAGTACTCCGTATTGCCTATATCATCTCCAATGCAACGCACGCTTGTTTAAGCTCCGCTGCCAGAGAGAGGAGGGAGGGTCGGAGGAAATGCCGCCAATTGCACGCCTCTTGGCTGTCAGTATGGAGAACTTACTAGGTATACACACTTCGAGGCAACACACACTAATTAGCACTTACCTATGCCCTAATCTGGGAGTTTTTTTCTTTTTTTTCATCCTTCTCTGTCGTTTCTTCTTTTCTCCTCCCCCATACACAGTCCATTTCTGGTCTCGATATGGGTCCCCCCCATTCTCCAAATGTCGCGGACGAGATTACGTTTAATGCATGGCCAGAAGCCTGGGTCGCGTAACCCGTTTTCTGCCTCTCTCCCTTGACATCGTCGCTTGCCCCGATATGGGGCGAGACCGGCTGCTTTAGATATATGATCGAGTAGACCGTAGTGGGAGAAGTGGGCGCGCTCTAAATTGCAAATAGAGATCGCTTCGCTTCCAGAGAAGGAGAAAAAAAAAAAAAAAGGGACTCCCCTCCACCCCGGCGCCGGGCGCGGACAAAGTCACACGATCGACGATCGCATGAACTGTTTACTGCTCGAAACAGAAAAAGTGGCTACCCGTCGCAAATTGCTTGGCCACGTTAGGCTGTCCTCTGCTTGATTCTTTTCTCCTCCCGGACGGAGCTCCGTCCTCAGTCCACTCAAGTTAGCCAATCTTCTCAACAGTGCGGCTAGATTTAAGCGATCGGCATCATTGACAGCGGGCAGCACCACCGAGGCCCATCCTTGGGATTTTTCAACGCCTGCTGGTACTTGTAAAAGATTCTGCCAGGGGCCCCCTCGACTACTGATCTCAAAAGTCGGCCAGCATCCCTGCCCCCAAGCAGAACCTTTTCGGCAAAGCCGATTTCGAAGACGCCCCTTACCAAAGCCGAGATATCGCTGGCACAGTAGAGTAGTTAGAGTGCTCCAAGTAAGAGAGCGGCTTCCGGCGGACACGATGCTCTTTTGGGGAAAGACGAGGGCTGCCGGTGTCCGGAGCGGCTACTTGTATATAGCACTGGCGAGGGAAAAAAAAGACGACCAAAGGACGACAACAAAGGGTTCAAAGACACTCTCGGACAAACATGTCTTTTTCCCCACGCCGGGTGAAAAGTCGTACGATTTTCTCGCAACTAGTAATATTAGAACCCTCGCAACGCACACTAGCGGCTGGAGGTTGTTCATCTGGGCCGCTCCATTTAGATTCCGTGTCTCGGAATGGCGATGGCCACGGATCAGTGTATGTACCCCATATTTCCATTGGTAATTAATCAGTAGAGCGTGCTCTAGTGGTGTAGCACGCTATGGCGATCTCACATCTTGCAACTCCGCGCGTGTAGTGGTGGCGGTAGGTAGCCGACCATCTGGATGAATCCTCGCGACACACCCGCATTATTGCCGGTTCTTTCCCTCCGACAATGCTGAAACTGAATCATTCATCACTCGCAAAAGCTGTTGATTGGTACCATCTCGGAAGAGCCCACGAGTTACAAGGGGAAGGGAAACACCAGCAGTGCAATCAATACCTACATGTATAGATAGACGGCATTGCCACGTTCTGGCCCTTTTGTGAAAGGATTAAGCTGCACAGGGTGCTCCGTACACGCCTGTCAGTATCCTTCCTAGTGAGATGCTCGATAGACTCGCAAGGAGGCAGGTTTACCCTCATAATACAAGCCTGCGTACTTTGCGATCTTTGACCCAAAGAGAAGAAGAGCAAGGGTAGGGGGGTTTGAACAGGCGGAAATCAAGCATACAGTACAGTAGGGGACCAGAAGAAGGAAAAGAAGAAAAGGCCCGCAGAGGGTGGCTTTGTATCAGGCTCAGGCCACCAGGTTCTGAGCAAGGATATCTAGAATCTATCAGATGTGACATGATGCTTTCAGATGGGACTAACTCGGTGCTCCGATGTGATGTATAGCTGCGCGCGTAAGCGGCCGGCAGTTACAGTATGTCCTAGGCCAGGGTTAGGAAAGGGGTGTCTCGAGGAAATGTCGACAGAAGGACTGAAGTGGAGCTGTTGCCCAGACTCGATACCACCACGCGGAGCGTACTCCGGGGAGTTAAACATGAAGCGCTCAAGCGCAGTCCAGGTGTGAGGTAGCGTACGAGGTCCAAGGTCCAAGATAGGATAGCCAGCACGACTCCATATTCCATATTTCGTACTTGGACAGCTCTCACATATACCTTGGCTTGGCAAATGCTTCTCGCATTCTCCCTTGCATCGCCGATAATTTGCGCGGATAAACCCCGAAGCACCAGACTCATCATTCCGATAGTGTAAAACTATAAGCAAGATGGGATTCGCTTCCCTGGACTTGCCGCATGGCTAGGCAGAAACCTTGTGAAGTCACATGGGTTATATACATGTACGAATAGGCACTTTCGTTGTGTGAACCCGTTGTTCTATTCGTCCACGTACCAGAGGGCGAGCGAAGAGCGAAGAGCGTCGGCACGGCACGGCCCATCAGCTGCTGCGGCAGTGACTGTGTGATCTTCTAATCCACCTGAAGAGGAGCGAATCTGAGGCCGCAAAAGCCTCGATCAACATCTTTCAGCGCTGCCAAAAAAGGATGAAGGAGCTTAGGGCAGACCCAATCGCGAAACACGGATAGATCACCGACGCAGATGGTAGTCGCCGATACCCGTCAATCTCTAATGTCAGCTTGTCGACTGATGGGTACTCGCATGTGCAAAAAATGAGCCGATGAATGGGGATTTGTTGAGGACCAATGGGGAACGAGACAGTCCACACAGGCTGCTTCTCCCTTTTCCTGGCCTGCTAAACTAGACACAGCTGTTGTCACCGTCTCCGTGGCATTGGGCTAAAGCTGTCACTCAATCGCACCAGGCAGCCGATTGATTCACGCCTGTAAGCCTAGGCTGTACTGGGGGGTGTATAACCCGGGTATACTTTCGAAACCGCTGGACAGCTTTATAGAGAGAAAAGAGCTGCTTGCTTATACTACTGTAGTCAACTAAGACAGCGGCAGAGGAAGAGAGACTGCACCGCGAAGCTTCAGCAAGCTTCCAGTGCGTATTAGTAGCTGCCTTTGGCAGTGTGATATCTCTGAAGGCTTGCATATAAGACGCGCGTGAGCATACACACGTACATCCTATGTACATACGTACAGGTACGCACATGCACGTTCCAAGCGTCGAGATGCAAACTCGATAAGGTCGGCGCTCGGTTTTGGGGGCTGCGCATGCACGGTATGGAGCAAGTGACTAGAACTTGCATGATCCTTGCACCCCCTTCGGCGAACTCGTGAGCAAACGCGGTTAATGGCCAATCTAGACCCAGGTTGGCCGAGAATCGAACCAATCTGACCGCTGTCGACCGCAAGACGAAGTTGTCAGAGAATCAGGCTTTTCCCGTCCCCCAGTTAGCGCATCCCAAGCTGATGATGCCGGACCGTCCCTTGTCCTTGTCAGTAGAAGCGAGATCTTTCGACTCCTCGTGCGCGATCTAGGAACAAATCGAAGCGTGTTATAGAAAGAGTCTGCGTTGTGTCGAGCGTAGCATTGCAGCCTCTGTTTCGAGCTTCGCATCATGATATTGCCAGTAGTACAACCTCCTATTCCATATCATGTGCTTTGCCCGTTTTGGCGTGATTGTATCAGCATACTGTTTGTTTCTGACTGTGCAATAGACACACAAGTATATAGTGCTGCGTGCATGAATTCCTTTGCCAAACGGTGGTTAAATTTGACCAATGATGCACGGAGTAGCCGTGAAAAAAAGGTGTAGTCATTTCTTATGCTCCAATCGTAATCGGCAGCGCTTTCGTAGCACCCAGTAGGCACCCCATCCAAGTTCAGCATACTGTATACAATATGATTGTCGGCTGCAGGGCACGACATGGAGCCCATATTCCAGCTATTCCAGCTAGAATCGAGTCCCAGCCGCCATGAACCGGGGTATCATGCTCTGGATACAGCCGACCTATAAATTGCCCGTAAATAATGGTACGATTTCAGATGACGATAGATGTAAAGTGGGGACGCCATTAAAGCGTGTGGAGAGAGTGCAAGATGCTTGTAGTGCTTCGTATATGGTACAAGGGACATGCCATTTCTGGCCGAAGCCGACTTCCTTGCTCCTTTACAGTATCAGATGAGTAGTATTTCGTATCGAGCCACTACTACCAAAATTGATATATGCTTGAATAGCGACGGAGACAGTCCGAGAAAAGCGGGATGCTAGCCCCGATTGGGTCTCAGATGAGATTTTGTGATTCTCAAAGGGTAGGTAGCAGGCATATGGCGAATCAGAGATGGGAGACAGCCGGCTGTCTTCGTGTCGCCGGCTCCATCAAACTGGAGTGTAACATCGAGCCTCCTTAGTTATGTTGATATTGTAAGGCTGAGCGGCCAGCAGGAGATACAGGTCCGCGGGCTCTATCGACAAAGAGGAAGGCTTGTAAAGTGAGGCTGCTCCCCACTACTCTCGTACTGGTTGTAGTCGGTCTAGAGCTTCTAGAGCTACTGTTTGCAGCACCAAGGGAATGGAAAGCTGCCGCCATGCTCTCAGGATACCCTGGCGTCAGCTTCTACCGGCTTTGGATGTATAGTATCTTTGTCTCGTCGCATCTTTAGTTTGAAATAGCGGGGTTGGCGTGCGCTTTACAAACATGAAGCCGGGCGCATGAGAATCGCGCTATCGACCGTGTGCCAGTCGATTTGTCTAGTGGCGCCTGAGTTGCGTTGCCAGCATCCATTGTTTGCCATTCAAAGAGGAGGGTTACTACTGCAACACTGCGCCTGCAAAGTTATCACAGCCCATCGCCAGCGCGCAGGTGGGTCGATATAGCCTCCCGCCGATCCATGCCGGTACCGATTTGCAAATGATGCTGTGTTTTCAGTACACACTTGCACGCAGCACTTGTCCGTCCATGTATATAGCAGTGTTTCGTGTGCCGATGCATGTGTCTGCCCCGAGTGCGAGAGTGTGTAATCACCGAGATCTGATCGAGTTCATCGTTTCAGGAGAGAGCCATTACTCATAGGTCAAAAGGAGAGCTGTCGAGAGGCCTGCCGAGTTCCGCTAGCAAAGAAGGCTCACTGTCCTTTTCGTCTTTGCTTTCTTTTCTTAGGAAGGAGCTGTGCTTTCCCCCCCTTGTCGGGATGATGCGGAGTCACAGAGCGTGCAAAAGTAACACGGCTCTAATACCACGAGAGCGAGGCAGCACTCCATATCTGCCAGTCCCAATGGGGGAAATCTGCCGTAGCATATCGACATGGGGATCGACCCAGAACTTGGAGACGGCGTCGATGGCCCGGCTATTCCACGCGACGAGTAGGTACCAACGGCGTCGTATCAGCGGCCCCCCCCCTTGCCCCCTTGTCTAACGGTCAACAGAGCCTCCTTAATACCAAGTGGCTAAAGCTTTGAGGGGGGAAAGGCAAAAGCGAAAAGAAACGAAAAGAAAAGAAAAAGAGACCTGTCACGTCGGCAAGAAGTCTAGCTATGGTAAGTAAAGCCGAGGGCAAGAACTTACTCATGCATCTCGTAAAGGGAGCGATTGGTGGCCGCAAAGCCAGTCAATGCCCAAGGATGACGCTGCCTAGGCTGTTCTCTCGCGGCAAGGAGCTAAGATTGGCTCGACGACGCGCGCGAAAAGAAAGCACTGCCATTCGAGCTTCGCCTAGGTAGACGCAGCTCACGGGCGAGGGTGTCGAGCTGGGGAGGGAAAGGAGGGAAGAAAAAAAGGTGAAAAGACGCAAATCACGGCGATGGCGTGGGAGTAGAAAATTCGGCGCAGACGCTGAGGGTATCCTGCAGTCGCGCTTTCCTGCTTCTTACAGCATGGCGATGAGGGAAGCTGCGCCCTGCTCCTGCACTTTCCCATTAACCCCATGGCAGCTGCTTAGTTTGTCCACATTGTGCGCGCACCCATCTGCCTGACATAAGACGGCTCTGCCCTGAAAAGGCACCTGAAGTCAGTCGCACACAGTACATGCCGAAATCAAAGGCAAAAATAAACCGTCAAATAAAGATGCGCCAGCCCATGCTAAAAATATCGCTGCCACCACATCAAGTACTAGACAGGTACTGCAATCGATCTAGCCCGCTGTGCATCTACATTGAATCTACCACCACATCCCAGTAGCATTTATACCGACAAGTACCTACTACCTATGACTTACAGCAGAAACAGGTAACTTGTCAAGTCACCCTTTTGCATCTTCGCATTTCTCGTAAGAATAGCCAATCTCTGGCTCCCAAAAGAGATAAATGACTGCTTGTGCTAGCCACATGAGGAATTCGATTAAAGCAGGGCATCATAGATACTGTACATGAATCGGAGGCATCCCATTCGAAAAACCCAGCAGAAAGGAAAAAACGAGAGCCAATGGGAAAAAAGTAATTCGAAATATCACCCCCCTCATATACATACCTAGTTCATCTACTGTATGGAAACAAAATATTAAATACACACACCCTTCCTTTCAAAACTTGAATGGATCTCAGTCTAAATCAAGGCAGCCAAGAAATGGGAAGAAGAAGAAAAGAACTCATAAAACAGACCCAACAAAGTGGCGTGAGTTTTTTTTTTTTTTTTTTTGGGCAAAGAGCCTGGCCTAGAGACCAAATGGCTGGGGCGACGCATGAACAGTCCAATCTCATTCATTTCG